CAAAGCCGTCGTGGACGTAGGTGAGGATTAGGGTGACGACATAATCCGGCTGCTGAGGAGCGATCGCGGTCAGCGCGAACGTTTCAACTAGTGCCCACTTTATTAAAGTGGCAACGCATCTGCAACCCTACGGGTGTTGCAAACGTCAATGGGCGGCGGCTGTCACTTGACATCAGGCGAACCAGCTCGCTTACCACCATAAAAAATTGGAAATGCCCTTCGACGACTCGACTGTTAAACGCTGTGCATAAAAAAACCTATTAAGCTGAAAGCAATACGCATAATTGAACGATAACAGCTATCTGAATACACAACTGTGGCGTAGCTATGTACAACTTCCTCATGTCTATCTAAGGGAACCGTTACACTACGCATTAACAGAATCATTACTTTCGTTCTTTTTGTGTGAAAGGTAAAATAAGCAGCTTTACAAGTCAACATTTCATCGTCATTATCATCAGCCGGTCCCTGCTGGATATATTCCCCAATGCGTACGGCCAACGAAGTTTGTCTAGACAGAAAGCATAATACGATCTATCAGTTCTCCGTGGTGCAATTGCCAAGGTATTGGCTTTAGCGCCGGCTCGGTTTCGATTTCCACATGGGACAACTATTTGTGTGACCCATAGATAATGGTTTCGGATCTGGGTGTTTATCCAAGTGAAATTTATATGTTTGTAACGTCCTTAAACAGGATAATATTATCATAGGGTAGTTCCATGCTTACGCGATTTTTAAATAAATTTATTTTTAATATGTCCCGACTGAGGTGTATTCCTAATGTTTTAACCGTAAGCTGTTAATGTTTTATTATAGAAGGTGCTAACGGTATTTTGCACCGTTTGCGTGTTGGGATTAAGTTTTATTATTGTAAGAACGCGTAGACTAACACCCAATTTATGTAGATAGGCAAAATATCGTATAATAGGCGCTATAGACAATGATAATTTCAACAGTACCATATATAAAGTATCCTAATTCTGATATCGAGATATTTTGACAGGACATTCATCCTACTCCTTAACGGACGCAGTACCGAAACTTTCGTTAGCACACTGCTCAAGATTTACGAGGGAAAGTAACAAAACTTCCACCAACATAAATTCTTCAAATGCCGCCGCCCAGCCGAGACTGTTTTGACTTACCGACGCAAATAACGTGTTTTCTATCACATTATTATTTTACCTACAATGCTAACTACAAATTAACAATGCTGAGACATTGTGACTGCTCCCCAATCGTGGTCCTTTATACGTATTACATTACAACATTTTCCTTGAAAACATCAATACGAAATTCATGTATAAAAAATAATAGACAAATATTTTACTGAAGGAAAATGTTTTTCTTACAAATCGAGAGTTTACGACATACATTAATATGGAGACATTTGGAAAACGTTCGTTGAAATGTTTTTAGTTACAGAATTGAGTATTAATTATACGTTATGACGATATGGACAGTCGACAACTAATTATATGTTAAAATACAGCTCACACAATCGCAAATCTTAAATAACACAGTCTGTGTTGATTTTGTGCATAACGATGATGGCAAAACTGATCATAAGGAAACCTGCAAATCAACAAAAACTAAATGTTTCGTCAATCAAGATATGTGTCGCGTGGTGGACCATGCCCTAACACCCTCTTTCTTTTATGTGAAAAGTTGCCAAGCGAGCAGACGGTTCACCTGATGTTAAGTATATACCACCGCCCATGTACATCTGCTACACCCAAGGGTTGCAGATGTTTTGAAAATCTTTTGAAATTTGGGCTCCGTTCACCTCATTCACAAGACGAAACGCGAAAGTATTATACTTTCACTTTACGCCGATCTTCTGGGAGGTCGTGGTACTTACAAGGACGAGCCTCCCCATTCGTGCAATTCAAGTCCACTGCTGCGTGACCCTACCACCCTCTGTACGGAGGAGGCCCTTGCCCACTAGTGGGACATTTATATGATACTTTTTACTTTACATATGTAGCCTACACAACAATATACATTTGTTAAGAACTTTAACTTATCGATCTTAGATTTTATGGCAATAAGTGTGAATAATTTAAATTGTTATAAAATCGATGTATGTATGTTGTATAGACTCCGTAAAGGGCTGGGCCGATTTTCTGAAATGTTCAGGCAATCTTCAAATTAGCCCAGTGGGTGATCATAGAGAGGTTGTTAGCGATCGGAGATACATCATGTTTATTATGTAAAATAGTGCTACTCTTGCGAAATCGGTTAACTATTTATACAATAAGATAACATATAAGAGATAACTGCCATTACCCGGCGCGCAATACAATGACATGTGTCAATGACAGACATAGTGATTACAATATTTAAGGACAATCATCAAAGGAAAACTTTTTTAAGAAAAAGTTCATTTACAATATATATCGGATGAATGGTTTAAGAACGCAAAGAGGACAAATATACAAATATTCAAACTTATTTTTAAGAAGAGGATACATGAAATAATTAAAATCATGCTAAAATTTTTTACATCCTATAAACATTATAAAATCCTTACACAATCTTTTAAAACGATAAATAACTTACATTTAGCTTTATCGATTTTGTAATTTTTTTGTTGCTTATTTCATCTAGCAAAGTTTACTCTGAAAATTCTCATAGAACACAGTCATTTTATTCTATTTTTTTATTAAATTCTCCCCAGTTGTATTTATTATCAGGTTAAAAAGACATTTTGACCTAAAGATTTTAGTAAATTGTTAAAAATCGTTTTAATTATATTAAATTAGAGACTGAAAATTTAAATGACTATTGTCCAGAGTTATTAGATAACATAAGTTTAAGAGTTCCAACCGCCGCATATCGCAAACCTGCAGTCTTACAGTATCATAGTACGAATTACAGGCAGAATTCCTTCTTTATTCGAGCAAGCAGATGTTTTAACGCGGTAGCTAAGCAACACGACGTTGATTGTTATAATACCTCTGTCTATCAGATTAAAAAACTGCTTAGCAACGCCTTATTAAAAAAAAATACGATTAGGTAAACATTTTTTTTTATAAATTTTGTAAATTTTATCATAATTGTTACTGTACACTATGTCCGTTATACTTCTATGTACGCGTTATATTCTTTTATATTTAACTAATTGTGGAAACTTATAATTGGCCTTCTGTACTTATAATCAAATACTTTAATTATGTGCTAGCTCTTAGATTCCCTAAAACTGTAAAATAAAAATAAAAAATAAAATAAATAATACCTAGGTGTACATGTTAGATCAATCAATCAATCCATCAAATATATATTTATTCAAATAAACGCTAGCGCGTTCTTATGAATTGTCAAATTTTACATAAAAAATTATAAATATAGGTTCGTAAGGTTCATAGTCACGGGACAGACTCGGGACAGTCCATGACGATAGAAAGGGTTCTAAACGTCGGGAATTTCAAAACAAAGTAAAAACGCGATAAAATCCGTATACTAGTTTCATTTAATAGAATGTATAATATTCGCGTAAAATCAAGAGGTCAATAAGTGTACATGTTGTTTAGCCATATCATTTTAGCGGCTTGCAATTTATATATCTTCGTGATTACGAGTGATTACTCGAGTAAAAAGTATTGCACCTTTAAAAGTATAGCAGGGATGGTTAATATTTTATCCGCGACAGGGCCATTTGTCTTCGGAGTCTCTCTCCTTTTTATTTTCACACAAACTGCTACAATTTCTCGGACGCCACACTTATCCCGATTGCATCAGCTTACGGCTCGGGTAGCTTAAACCGTTTTAGTTGAAGCAGCGAAGTTTGCTAGGTCGGTTGAACTCGGATTGCAGCATCTTGTTGTTGCTATATCGTAGACTCGATCGCACTCTAACCATAACGACACAGCAAAGTAGTCGACTTGATGCAAAGTAGCCGAGTTGATAAATAAATAAAAAAATTGTAAAGCCGACACCGTTCATTGCTTAATGCCGATATGTATAAAAATTTAGAAATTCGTTCGGCGGATGACGTAGTTTCAGCCCACTCTTCTATAAGATGGCCATTTAGTAGGTGTAGGGGATATCTATGGCCGTAGGTATACGCTAGTCGCTAATCAGTTCAACCGACTGTTTGTTGCCAGCTTCTCAAAAAACCGGCAAAGTACGAGTCAGACTCGTGCACGAAGAGTTCCGTGCCATTATCTATAAAAACTACAAAAAATAATGTCTGTTGTATGGGAGCCCCACTTAAATATTCTTTATTCTGTTTTTTAGTATTTGCTGTAATAGCGGCAATAAAAATACATAATCTGTGAAAATTTCAACTGTCTAACTATCACGGCTCATGAGATACAGCCTGCCATTTATTAAAGAAAGAAGAAGAGATACAGCCTGGTGACAGACGAACAGACAGACAGACAGCAGAGTCTTATTAATAGGGTCCCGTTTTATCCTTTCGTTACGTAACCCTAATAAAACCCTAAAAAAACAGCCCGAAGAAAAGACGCTGTCGCGGATACAATCTTTACTATTGGATAAGAAATTCTTTAGAGTGACAAACTCGCACAAACAAACCGCAATGTAGGACAAACACCTATAAGATATTATAACCACCTGCATATGTGCAGTTGTGAGGAACCGTTGCATTTAGATGGTTCAGGACTTAAAAGGCTTTAAAACGATAATGATGTCATTATTTTAGTGGTATAAGATGGTCACCATGAAAAGTATACAAATGTTTGTTGGTCGATGGATGCCTTAAAACATCAAGGCAGTCTTCAGAAGACCTGTATTAAGCTGGAATGTTGATAAGAGTGCCGTTCAGCAAATTTCTTCCATAGATATTATTGAATTTTATTACCATTCATCATTCAATCATTCAATTCATATAATCACCATTCTGTTATTTATTCTAACGTAATAGCCTATTGGATACGAGCCTCATGATTCGAGTTGAAATTGTTATTTAAAAGAACTTTTCTGACGACGACTAAATTAGGTTGCTGGTAATTTATAAATTTGTAATAAGGACTCACCATGTTCATCTTTGTATCTTCGACATAGGGAGAACATACTGTAACTCTTTTCTGGAAGGCGCGGCCGTAGCTTATCTGTTGACAAATAATAAGAACAGTTAATGCACGATAATTATAACGGTATATGGCAAAGAGAATATAACCACTACGTTTGGTATATGGTTTGGTATATGGCAGTGACAGTACGAGTACATATATGTGGTTTGTTTGATCTCCTACTAAACGGCACTTTGTCATGAACATCTTTTTTTTTTTACGGAAGTATTTTAATTTAAAGGTGTGATGCATGAAAGATATCACATTAATAATAAACTTTTTGAAAATTTGTAAAAAATTGTTATTCCTTATCGCATGATCTGCAAAAAGGCAGTTGAAAAATAAAGATAACTACCGTCAAGCATGGCACGGATATATACAGCATCCATGGGGTTGCAGATGCGTTCTTATGACATGTTGGGTGAGATATTTTAACCTGCTTCTATAATACTTAATTTCGATTCCTTGTAAGGCTCTTTGGATTTGCAAATTTCCACGGACGATAGGGCCATTCAGTTAACAGCGGAAGCATCTGTTCAACTCTATCTTTTTATTGTTTTACAACTAGTCTTGCACAAACTTTACAATAATATTATGCTTACGTAGACCGAATTGGATAAAAAGTTTATGTAAGTGTTAAAGTAAATGTTTCAGAGTAATATACGGATGAAATCGATAATTTTGTCGTTTTTCGTTTTCCGGAGTATAATTCCTATCAAATAAGGTCCCTGGACCTGTGAGAGCCCTTGCGTGATGGATTCCCTCGGTTGAAGTTTAAGGATTTGAAAATAAATAGCGAAATTAAATATTGCGTATAATTTACATGTTAAAGGTAGGTGTTACAGTTGTGGTAGCCAACAGAGAATGGCCGAAAGCTAAGATGGCGTACAAGACGTAGTCGAGGTGGTGTGATGGACTTTGGGCTGTGACGTATACATAATTACAACTGCAGATATTGATCGTTTTAGTTATCTAGAATGTAGTCGTAAATCTTTAATATATAAACTTTTAGTTTTTCTCGTGTGCATTCATGCCAATCTACAAATTACGATGAAACTTTGAGAAGCAATAGTGAGGAAGACAAAATAAAAAAAAATCCAAAGAGTCTCATTCCCACCCAAATATATCAAAGTCTACACACATTCCATTAACAATAGAGATCAGCTAGTCACTACTCATAGGGAATTGCATTACTTCAGTGTGATAGAGATTAGCGTTGAACAAGCACCGACGGTATATACGCAAAATATATCTGAAAAATACAACTGAACGCTATGACTAAAACTACGGTTGTTACTAGATAACTAATTGCAAGTTTCAAGCCAAAAACGAAACCTGGTTTTGAGACCACAGATATTGTAACTAGCAATCTCAATTCCATCGAACCCAACCAATGGGTCACAACGGAGAAGCTAATTATTTTGCGAGAAACAAACGCCTGATCCTGTCCACTGTGTCACGTAGAAGTAGAACAATCAAATTAAAAATGAATAATTTTAATGAAACACTATTGTTTCCCCGTTCAAAGTTAAAAGTCCTCGAAAGATACTTGACACAGTTCTGGACATCTCGTTTAAACGTTCTCCGCGGCTTCATAAATAAAATAGTTTTAGACGCGAAGTAAGCGTGCGTTTAGAAATATATGTATCATGAAATATGCACAACGGACGGAGAAGGGGGATCCCTTTATTGTTTTACATGTAGAGCTTACGTAAAGTTAACAGATATTAAGGTCACGAAGATCGTGTAGCGTTTTCACTGTAATAATAAAAGTAAATAAACATTATAATCTTCATATTAGCAGTACTAGAGAAGACTTTTTATATATTTTTTTTATTTTACCTCTTTCATTTCTTCTGTAATATCTTATTTCAATAACTTATTAAAATACCAGCATACTTTCCTGAAGTTTACGCACGGACAAAAATCATTTTTAGGGTTTCTTACCCAAAGGGTAAAACAGGACCTTATTACTAAGATTACGCTGTCTGTCTGCCTGTCTGTCTCTCTGAATAGTATGTAAAAATGAAAAATAGAATAAAGAAATATTTAAGTGTAGCCCCACTTAAATATTAATTCATTGAGTTTTCTGAGTGCCAAAGTAGTATTATATATTAAATTAAATTTATTTTTTAATTTTTAGCTTCGGACTTAAAATTTCATAGCAAAACTTTTGGCCGCTTCCAGGATTCGAACCTACGCTTTTTGTATTACGCGTCTAGACGCTCTAGCCAATAAGCCACCGACATCCGCACGAAAATCACCGTCTTGTCTTTTTTATATTGATTTCATTTGTAACAATCTAAATCTAATCGTTCTATCCCTAATTCTAGACATGGGCCGACAGTGGACTTGCTGACTAGCCGACTAGACGACTTGTCGGCACTCAGAGGGCCGATTAGTTGGCCGACTAGTAGGCAATGACGATCAATGGTTTCAATTATATTAATTCAACAAAGGAGCATTACACTCACTTATTGATGGTCAAAATACTACTACCGCTACTGAAAATAAAAGCCACTGACCTGAGAAGAACCAGAAATAGCTTTTTTTTTAATCTATCTTAATTGGCTAGAAAGTCAGCTTTTCTGATCCATTTCTACTAAATTTGTCTAGCTTGTTACTCGTCATCTCAGGTGAGCCCATAAAAAAAATGTAGCCATCCTTTTAATTTAACTTCCTTTTAAATCAAACGGGATGGTCATGCCACCATTGTAATCCATTTGTGTATACTACATAGTGTAAAACAAAGTCGTCCCGCTGTCTGTCTGTCCCTATGTATGCTTAGATCTAGCGAAGCCAGGCGGGTCGCTAGTAAATTTGTAAATTTTTTAATTAATTGACGACCCGAATGGCGTAGTCGGTAGTGTACCTGCCTTCTGCGCCAGAGGGTGTGGGTTCGATCCCCACTACTGGAAAAATATTGTGTGATGAGCATAGTGTTTTTCTAGTGTCAGGGTGTTTATATATGTATAATGTGTATTTATTTACAAAAAAAAAGTATGTTTAAGTATGTCTATCAGTTTTCTAGTACCCATAGTACAAGCGTTGCTTAGTACGGGACTAGAGAACTTTGTGTAAAAAGAATGTATCCTAAAAAAAAAGAACTTACCGCGACGCGAACCACACAAAAATAGAAAAGTCGTGATCGATCAAAACGTTTTGTGCGTTCCATTGCGTTCATGCACGATCCATTTGTTGCTTTTTTTATGTGAAAAGTTGCCAAACGGGCAGACGGGTCACCTGATGGTAAGTGAATACCGCCGCCCATGGACATCTGCCACACACGAGGGTTACAGGTGCGTTGACAACCTTTTGAAAATTGGGCTCCGGCTACCTCACTCACCAGACGAAACGCGAAAGTATTTGTCATACTTCCACTTTACGCTGGTCTTCTGTGAGGTCGTGGTACTTACTCGGACGGGCCTGCCCATTCGTGCAACAGGCTGAGGCTGCTACGTGGCCCTACCACCGTTATGTTTCCTTCATAATTATATATTTGTGAAGCGAAATAGATAGATTATATAAACGTAATTTCTTATATATCATACCAATAATAACGTGAAAGACGGTTTCACGGTTTAGATGAGTATTCGTATTACAACTGTCAGTTTCACGAGCCCGTTTGAAAGTGAGCTTATTATACGAATGGATTATATATTCGTCCTTTTGTTACGAAACAAACAATACTTATTACGTAATACAACAATCGTATTCTGTGGTAAATTTATTAAATACTTTATTCTGAAACTCATTTACAAAGTAAAGCCTACATACGAGCAGGTCAATGTTGGATAAATTTAAATGTCCCACTGTTGGGTTTATTAAAAAAAATAGGCCTCTGTAAAAAGCATATTAGGACATAGGGAGTCCTCAGCGGATTTACAGATTTCATATATTTTCGAAATATTTTTATTTAAACTTAAAATTACAACTACCATAATCATTGACGCCGCTATTTACGTTTACGTTTTGTTATCACGTAGTACAACTCTCTCTTTCAACCAAAAGACCCTATGACCCTAAGGTTTAATCATATCACGAATGTGAATCGTATTACCCTAATATTGAATGCACCCAACGCAACAATATACAGTACCAGAGTTTTGTAGGGTGGAAGCCTCGAAACATCTATTTCACATGAAATGAAAAAGAAATGCGGGGACAGCTCCGCACTTTTTAGGTTATGTAATTTAAAAAAAGACACGTTAATTAAAGGTTCGTGTTCATTGAACATTCCACGCACTCGGCACGACTTCGAAACGACTCCCACTGGAGCTTGCTATGATTCAAAATTAAAATGTTCGAGAGTCAGCTACGCCTGATACGTGCATACGTTTTAATTATTATTGAGGTTTCTCATAGATTTCTCCGTGATAGCTCAGTGTCCGGGTCCAATTCAATTTACTCGAGCAACCTGAGTTCGAGCCCCAGTGCCGGCACCTATGAAATTGTTGATCCTAAATTATCACGTGCTCTGTGATGGAGGAAAACATTGTAAGGAAACCGGCATATTTTCGAAATAATAACAAAAAATGAGTTAAGTCCGCCAATCTGCAGTGGGGCCGCCCTCTATGTAGAGGAGGCCTTTGCCCAGCAGTGGGACATTACTTTACTTTTTTTTACTTTTAGATCCGCCTAAACAAGGAAATGTATATAAATATGTCAACTCAATTTGTCATCCGAAGAAGTGGATGGATTTGGAGTTTATCTTAATTTGACGTTAAATTAAACTTTAACTTATTTTATTTCAGTCCCGTGTGCAGTTTCCAGTAAAAAATCAAAGAGGGCGTTATTTTGAAAATATTCGTACACAAAGATACCACAAGTACCACATACTACAAGTATTATCCGGAAGCCGTGCTCGAAAATGACCGCGCCAGGCTCTATTGGGACCGGCCCATCATCAAGGACAGGACGATTGTCACGAACAAACCTGATATCGTGGTGATGGACCGGGCACAGTCGCTGGTATTTTTGGTCGACATTCCCATTCCATATGACGAAAACCTCGTGAAAGCCGAAACAGATAAGAAGACAAAGTATCTGAACCTGGCTCACGAGGTGACCGACATGTGGGGTGGTATGCCGACCGAAATTATCCCGATAGTCGTTTCTGCCAATGGGTTAATCCCAGTCAGCCTCTCTAAACATCTGAGGCGACTGGGACTCCGGGACGGATCACTCCAAGCTCAAATGCAGAATGCGGTGCTCCTCGATACCGCCCGCATCGTCCGCCGGTTTCTCTCCCTTTCGCCCTAACCCTCGGCCGTTTGGTCTCCCCTGCCGAGGGCTTCCGTCTGGTTGGATCCTATTTATGTATGTATTATATAAAATATTTATATATGTATGTTTATTTTTATCCATAATATTTATTTTATATATGCAATATATATCTATATTTTTATTTTTATTCATAAACCCAACCAGACGAGAAAACAAATGAATATTCCATCATCTTATCATTATTAATGTCTGTGATTACATATGTGGACTAAAAATCTCGTTATTTACTGACCACCGTGTTGTAATTCAAAAATAAAACGTTATAATAATAAAAATCTTCTTCTTCTACTTTCTCCTGCCCTTATCCAACCCTAGGTGGGTTTGGCAAAACATAAAAAAGTAAAGTAAAAAAAGTAAAGTAACAGCCTATACATGTCCCACTGCTGGGCAAAGGCCTCCTCTATACAGAGGGTATCAGGGCATAGTCCACCACGCGCCCCACTGCGGATTGGCGGACTTCACATAACTTCGAAATATATATTTTTTTGTTATTATTTCGAAAATATGCAGGTTTCCTCACGATGTTTTCCTTCACCGCGGACCACGTGATAAGTCAGCACTTAAAGTTAATGAAGTTTTCATTGGTGCCGGCACCGGGGATCGAACTCGGGTTGCTCGAGTACATTGAATTAAAGGCGAGCGCCCGGACACAGCTATCACGGCTCTTAACATAAAAAAATATATAACAAATTTATTCGCGTATAAAATGCTTCCTTTGTTTGCCGTTCCCACATAAATGGCTTTCGAGTCTGCTGAGAGAGCTCCGTGTGTTATTTACGCCGGTTTTTTTGCTTCGCAAGATCGGCAAAGTCATAGAAGGTCGGGGAAATGGTGCACTTTTTATTGACAATTTTATATTTGTTGTCTTACTGTTGAATGCTACGAAACAGTTGTAATTGAAAGAGAAGCGTAGCCACAGAGGATATATTTTTTTTTAATATTGTTTTCCTCACAGATTTCAGTAACAATGAAAACATTTGAAAGCAATCAAAACTTCTTCATACAAAGTTATCATTTAACACTAAAATAAACTATTTAAATGTAATGTTTTAATGAAATAACTTTGTAAATGCAAACTTTTCGTTATTTTCTAAGAATTTAAACAAAATTAGGATAGTCTAGTAAGCTTTGTATTAAGTATCTTTTCAAAAATAAGATAAGACAAAGTTTGTAGTTGTTTATTATAAAGCAATAACTGTACGCAACTCAATTGATATTCGTTTCATATAAAAGGACGTATTATTTATGGTTCACGGTTGCTTTTACGAGCGCTACGCGGATACTTTTCACGTAAAGAAGCGAATATATTATAAAACAAGCAATAAAAAATGTTTATTACATTAAAAACTACGGGAAGGTTTTATAAGCAGGATTAAAAATAAATAAATAAAAAAAATAAGTAAGTTATAATTAATTAAATTTCCTCTGTAAAAATTCTTAACAAAAAACGTCCTTTTCTATTTGTGATCAAGTTCTCATCAATATTATCAGGTTAACAAGCAAAGGGAAAACGGGAAACGCGAGCCTTGTAATTTCCGAATTCTTACGAAACACCAGAGCGGCCAGCGGACACAAACATCTACGTTGGGTATTTACACAAACCTGCGCTGACCTAGAGTTTGCGCCTGACCGACGTGCTGTCCAAAGCCATCGTCGATACGTGGCCACGTTAAGTTATCGATACGAAGGCCTGGGCTCGTGTCGGCACAGCACTAGGTTGGGCAAAAAGTTTATCACATGTGGCGGGACGGCGGTATGTCCGCGTGCGGCGCGTGTGTCGTCTGCTGCTCGACTGCCGAGCTTTCGGCCCCACGGCGGCGGGATCGGGAGCTTTCGGCTTCGGCCGTCAGAGGTCTCTCAGGGCGAACGGAGTGGCGCGAGTGTGTACAAGCTCGGGCGTCTACGGAAAACGCAATGGACGCTTCGTTGTGGTCCGACTTTGGCTGGGGGGTAGCGCGTGGACGCCGCGCTGTATCTCGTGGGATACCGGAACGGGAATCGAAATAATGTCTGGAGTAATTTTGTCAAATATAACAATATAAGCGAACCTATTGCGTTTATATTTTTAACCGACTTCAAAAAAGGAGAAGGAGGAGTATTTCTTTTATGTTTGTTACCCCTGAACTTTCGACTGAGTGAATCGATTTTGATGAGTCCTTTTTTTAAAGCTGGTGCTTCCCATGTGGTTCCATATTAATTTCATCTGTATTTGATCTTGCACTCCGGAGATACGTAGGGAACTCCTGAAAATCAATTATAAAATAATTACAGAGCGGGATATTTGATGTCGGTTTTTTTTTTCGTGGATAAAAAATGGACTTGTTTAAATTACGGATATTTCGATTGCTCTAACCATTTAGTCCACAACGTGGCCCCATTGACGGACCTCGTTTCATTTGTTGACATAGATTAGAGACTAGTGGTAAATCATTATTTAAAAATGAACTTTTATTACCGGTATTGCGTAGTTTTAGAAACAAGCACCAGAAAACTGACCTACCTCATTTGTGTAAACGTTTTCCAGCCACGTTTCGGGATAGAAATGAATAAAAAAGTAAGAAAACTTACGTATCACTATCGACCCTGCCACGTTTTTTGTGTAGGTGTGTGTGTTTGTTGACTTCCTGGCGCAGTTTCCAAGGCATCGCCTTCGGCGTCGTGGGGCCGATTCCCACATGAGACAACCATTCGTGTGACCGACAGATGATTGTTTCGGTTCTGGGTGTTTGTCCACGTGAAATATGCACATGTAAAGCCGAATTACAGCGTTAACGTTATCCGACAATAAGCGGAAAATGTTTTGGAAGGGAATACAGGGAATACTACAATAGATCTTTCAGGGTCGCCGTGGTCTTTGGGACTTACCAACTCCTTCCACACAAAACAAAATAAAAATGTGTGTTTTGTGATGTAAACATTCAATGAATAAAAAAACCGGCCAAGTGCGGTTCAGACTCGCGCACGAAGGGTTCGGTACCTACCATTATCTATAATAAATTTATATGGGAGCACCCTTAAATATTTCTTATTTTATTCTGTTTTTTAGCATTTGTTGTTATAGCGGCAACAGAAATAAATCATCTGTGAAAATTTCAACTGTCTAACTATCCACGGTTCATAAGATAGAGCCTGGTGACAGACGAACAGACGCACAGAGACAGACAGCGGTACTACTACTATAGTATCAGTAGATCCCTTTTTAGTACGAAACTTTCGGTACGAAACCCTAAAAACTAATTTAGAGTCAGAGGTTGTCCCACTCGTACAGCCGGTGTACCTCAGGCGTATCCCTAGTCACGTTTCGAGCCATAATAAGCTCGGCGAGACGTGAACAGGAAGATATATCTGGCCACTATGGACGACAAAATCGCGAGAGCTCACAGAGTGAAGTATCCTAGGGCTGCTCCCAGTCATTATAAACTATTCTAAATAATTTATGATACATTTTATTATTTTATTGTTTATTTTTATTATTATATTATTGTAAGTTTTACTTGAGTGTGCACTCAAGTAAAACTTAAAATGTGATCTTTTTGTGACTATTCTCGATAGATATTGTTAGCAGTAAGTACCACGAGCTAGCAGAGGACCGACGTGAAGTGGAAATGTTATACTTCTGCATTTCGTCTGGTAAGGGAAGGTAACCGGGGCCCACTTTATTAAAAAGGTCGCGATGTGGGCGGTAAAAATAGGTTTTTCAAAAATTTTTTTACAAAATCTATACATCTATACATTAAAATACAATCATGGTCTATAAAAGATATTATAGGGATCATCTGTGTACATTTTCGAAGGCCTTCCATGATACTATCGATAGTATCCTACGGCCCATCACTACACACTAGGTAATGAATGGTCTAGCGGCGCGTCGACGAAACTCGCGCGCTGCGCGCCGCTAAACGGCGTTACCCCTACTCCGCTTCCTCATACTTCTCCACCCGAATAGTTAAAAATTCACTGCATACAGCGTCTTAACATAAGGTTAACCGCCTGCTCGCTTGCCACGTTCTGACATAAAAAAAACATAACTTAGTTTACTGTTGAACAAAGGGGGGTGGGGGAGGCCCTTAGAACGCCACAACGAACGACACTTTGCCATTTGAATCCACCGGTTGCCCGTGAATCTTATGATGTCGTCGGTCCAGCTACTGGGAGGCCTTCCAACGCTACGTCTTCTGGTTCGTGTTTGCCACTCAATAACTTTTAGTCCCCATCGGCCGTTAGTTCTTCGGGCGATATGGCCTGCCCATTGCCACTTCATAAAACCTGCCCATTGCCATTGCATAAAACTAATAATAGATAAACAAACAAAAGCTTCTCTTCCGGCTTGTCATTGCTTTTTTCTGTTTCAATATCGATATTTCATTCTTTGTACATTTTCTTCGACTCCTATAAAATATTTCTTAACTCTTTATGTTATCTTACTACATTTTTGATACGAATAATAAGACGCTCTTTATATTAAGCAAATGTTAGAAAATCAAAGTGCATTTTTTTATCTGGCCGCAGCATACAGCCTTAAATGGTGAAGACATTTGCTTAGCTAAGGCTTCTCGTAAGGCGTCACTTAACATATTTTTTATGTGAGAAAATGGCAAACGAGCTGGCGGTTCACTTGATGTTGTGATAACCGCCACCCATTGCAAAACCCGTAGGGTTTCAAATGCGTTGCCACCTCTAAATAAAATGGGCCCCGGCTACCTCACTCACCAGACGAAACGCAGAAGTGTAACACTTCACACTTTACGCCGGTCTTCTGTGAGGTACTTACCCGGACGGACCTGCCCATTCGTGCAACAGGGAATACTCTATTCTATATTCACTGTTGCCTTCATGTTGCCACACTTTATTTGGACGGAAGGATATATTTACTGAGTTTTCTTAGTTGCTGTTTAGTTGACGTTCGAATGTGACTTTAGTTAAGTTAGATTAAAGTTATACAGCGTGTCGTTACCACCGCGACAATAAATGAACACACATATAGAGGTAACTTTTTAAATTTTTATTAAATATTTACATTCTTTAAACATCAGTATTTACCGAGTTATTAAATTTTCCAAAACAAACAATATTAGAACACCCTTACTATAACAACGTATAAAACTGTAACGTAAAGTTCATTTGTAAAGGTCACAAAGCATATGAATGGGTTGAATGAATTTAAAAGAGACAAAACATACTGTTAGAAGGAGGGGCTTGTAATGCGACGCTGTGGCGCGAGTTATATAGGATGTTACAAATTTTGTTTCTTTTTTACTTAATTAGTTTGTTTGAAAAATATTTTTTTTAATTATGGATTTTGTTTAACGTTAATATTTTTTTTATGAATTTTGGCAAGTAGCGTTAGACGTGTGTTCATTTATTGTCGCGATGGTAACGACACGCTGTATAATCGAATTTCGACCACTGAACCACAAGTAGTACATTGAGCAGTCTCGAATTTGGGTGTTTTGTGTGCCATCTATGTTTGTATATGTTATAGGCATTAAAGTGGTTAATGTAGGAGGCTAGAAAATAGTTCCCTCGATCCTAATACACCTCTTCAACATACATCGACCCACTCCGGGCGGCCTCTACAGATTTCGCGCCAGAAACCCTACGTTAATCTTTTTTCATTCAACTCCCCACGAATATAAACCACCATCTAGGTATAAAAAAAAAACGTTTTTCTCACTTTGTAAAGCGGACAGACTGCGACCATGATCTTGACTAGAACAGCGAAATTTTAAAAGCATAGGTGGCGGCGTCTAAGTTTTAAATATTTTATTGTAAAAAGTTATATGAAAAAGTCATCTTTTGCTGTAAAGGTAACACACTAGATGACGCCAAACATTGCTTAAAAAGCCTCCTGCCCTTATCAGCCGACCCCACCTAGGAGTCGTCGTCACACCATGTGAATCATGTTGTAAGCGGTTTTGGATATTTTCTTACTACCGGCCGCCTGCCCGACTTCGACCCATCATTGCTTAAAAATGTGATAAAAAAAGTAGTTAAAAGGGCCTTCAAATCAGTGATTAGAACGCAGTGCGCGTATCCCGGTGGACGCAGATTCAAATCCTCGCACTGAAGACAACTTTTCATCCATTTTCCACAAATTTTTAAATAACAGATAACTCATACCCTGAAAATCGGGAAATCGTACCGAGTACATACCTGTTTGGTTTCATATCTTAGATATATATTCTTTTAATTGTTAACATAACTGTGTTTGTTGTTGAAACTAAATAAAATATTCATTCATTCATTCATTCATATTCATTCATTCATTCATTCATACCACATGAGGAACGTATTGGTCGTTAAACGAATACTCTAAGCGACAACTTCATAAGATGTGCTATTGTCGAGCCTACTTCTATGTCACGGAGGCTTTTCATCGAGTATTGTTAATGGTGGTGAAGAGGAAGAGGCATCCATTACTCCGGACTCAATGCGCGCACGATCGAATCACGAACATAATAACCACCTTATTACCCACGTGAAGAATTACCTAGTAGAATATGAATGCACTTGAAACGTAGGTACGTGATATAAAAGCCCCTTGGAATTTATATCATCTTTTCAAACTAAAAGGCAAAAGGAAATCGTAGCGTTTACAAAAGGAGATAACAAAAAGAGCGGATTAACTTCGAAATTCGAACCACAAAAAAATACTTACTGAAATACTTTTCTCTCTGATTCAGTCAAAACGAAAATAACTAACAGAATTGTTCGTAAATTTGAACGGGCCCTTAATAAACTCCAGTTCAAATTGGACCGTTACAATCGGACAAAAACCATTCCGAACTATTCAATTCATGAAATTAAAATTCCATTCGACCCATGCATCGTTCGACCATAAAATAACTCGGTTACAATCCTTCATAAATACATTGTTACGATCGCCATTGACATCCGTGTAGGCGAAGAGAGAATGAGGCAAATCGCATTACAATCAAACGTACGTAGAACTTCACTAGCGTACGATTCACAGCCGTCTTATCACTTAGATTGATGGTATGAAAGTCACACTACGATACCATCAATACACCAATGTGATAAACTCGCGGATATTAATAATAAAACTTAAATTAAAAAAAATAAAAACTTAAACCTAAAATAAAACTTGTTTAAGTTTTATTTTAACTAAAAGTTAAAATTAAAAAAGTTGCGTAATTTAATGGTCCTTAAACATATTTCTATGGATTTGTACTCGTATTTATAGTCTAGCATCGAAGTGTAAACAATTTGTTTCACTGACAACATCGCAAGTATCAAGTGGCGCTTTCAAATGGAGAAATAACTTTAAACATAGTTGATATTCAGAATTAGTATGCTAAGCATAAAATATATATATTTCTTGTTTCATTAAAATATAGCTTTTATTCAAAATTAAACCTCTTAATGTCTTAAGGACTACGGTCATGTTATATCAGACATGGTATGACTAAGATATTCTTTACTTGATTTAACTGTAAGTAAAATGAAATCATCATAAAGACAACTTTAAAAAAATAAATAATACAAGGGCAGTGATAGGTCAGTGTCCGGACGATCGCTTTAAATATACTCCAGTAACCTTACGTCAAATCCCGGTGCCAGCACCAATGAAATTATCAGATTTGAGTGCTGAATTATTCCGTGTTCAGCGGTGAAGAGGAACATCAAGTGAGAAAACCTGCATACTTTCGAAATAATAACAAAAAAAAATTTCCCAAATTTGTGAAGTCTGCCAATCCTCAGTAGACTATGACTTTTGTCAGGAGGCCTTTGTCCAGCACTTACATTACTTTTCCTTTTTTAATAATACATTAGAAATTCTAACATAAATCTTTGTTATTCAGAAGAAAAGGTGGGGGAAGAAAACCTTTTCGAATGCCATCAGCCGTGCACAGTACTTTACATACGGAACGAGTCACCGCATACGATCTACTTTGCTGCCGGTTCATTACGTTACGTGAAGAATTGATTTTCACAACTCGCCGGGTCCGTATCGATGTGGAAACCAGCGGCGGGGAAGTTTTAGTTCCCGATTTTGAACGTTGCAGAGCGAAGTCTTACGCCCGGTTTCTGAAACACTGATCATCGTAGAAATCTACTAATCAGCTGTCAAATGGATTTTCAAATATTATTTGAGTTGCCAAAAGGATTTTTAAACTCTCTGAATTGATTAGAATGATACAAATCCAAATCCAAATCATTGATTCATCGAAATAAAAAATGTACATTTCATCTATGTATAATAATTTTGCGTCCCGATTGCACTTCCCATTATTATCATCATCAACGAAGACATGCCACGCTGTACAATATAACCTATAAAACAGAAAGTCTCTAAATATTAAAATTTTTCTATATCTTCAATGGCACGATATTGGCTTATATTTGTATCAAGTTTACATCACTCATAAAAAAATTATGATGATCGATCACAAGTCACATTTCTCATTCATATCTCAATAAATTATTTCTCAAGGGTATTTTTGTCATGTTTTACGCCATAAGCTTTTTTTCTGAGAAGGTGGCAAACTAGCTGACGGTTAACGTGATATCAATTGATAACCGCATGAACACTTTCAACGCTCGTAGGGTTGTAGATGCGTTGCCACCTTTTCATAAAGTTGGCCCCACAACATGGGGCGTGGCTGTACACAAATTCCTTAATCGTTCATCATAATTAATGATTCGAACACCGTTTCAAAGCTTATGTCTACCGTTACCGGCGAGAACAAACGAGTAGAATCGTTTTCATAAAAAAAATGTCATAAATAGTTATTAATGCCATTTATTGACAATTTGCTTAAGCGAACGTTATTTGTTCAAATTAAGATATGATAAAAAAATCCTTACTCATATCCTTCCTAACATTATAAACGTGAAAGTTTGTATGTATGGATGGATGTTTGTTACTCTTTCACGCAAATACTACTGAATCGGTTTTAATGAAACTTTACAGTAATATAGCTTATATATCAGAATAGGACATAGGCTATTAATTATATACATATTTTATGTATATCTGTCTTTCTGTCTGAATGTAACGCCTTCAGCCTATTCTACGCAGACGTAGTCGTAGTCGCGGGTAGCAGCTAGTTAATGATAAAAGCCATAATATAAATAAATATTAATTTAGTAAATAACATACACATTAATATATTGAGTCAACTAGTATATTTTTATAGGTGGACTGAATGTCTGTGGGCAATTATAAACCGGAGGAGTCCAGGTAGGTTTGAAAATAAAAATCATATGCAATATAATTCACATACACGAGTATTATCTGAGCAGCTATTATTTTTAAGTGAAAAAAAGACAAAATCAAAGCTATAAATTCTGTTAGTCTAGGGCCAGGAGTCGTGATCCGGATGTAAGAAAAGTATATTTCTCCCGCATTTAGGGCTTTGAAGTACGAAGGTAGCACGGACCTTTAAAGTACGTGGGGTTAATTGTTGTTTGTTAATCTTTCAATTGAACCCTCACTTCCAGGATTTCATAAAAACCTTTATTCATCATCATCATCATCATTTCAGCCTGTTTGAGTCCACTGCTGAACATAGGCCTCCCCCACAGACTGCCATGAAGTACGATCCTGAGCCACCTGCATCCATCGACTTCCCGCACATTTGCACAGGTCGTCACTCCATCTAGTGGGGGGTCGTCCTACACTGCGATGGCCAGTACGAGGCTGCCACTCGAGAACCTTTCTTCCCCAACGGTTATCGGTTCTACGAGCTATATGGCCGGCCCATCGCCACTTCAGCTTGCTAATCCTCTGAGCTATGTCGGTTATCTTAGTTCTACTGCGGATGTCTTCGTTACGAACTCTATCACGCAGAGAAATACCGAGCATAGCCCGCTCCATAGCTCGCTGAGCGATTTTGAGCTTCCTCATACGGCCAGCAGTGAAGGACCACGTCTCGGTTCCGTAGGTCATCACTGGCAACACACATTGATTGAAGACTTTAGTCTTCAAACATTGAGATATATTTGACGAGAAGATTTGCCGAAGTTTCTCGAACGCTACCCATCCGAGTTGGATTCGCCGATTGACCTCTGCGTCGAAGTTGGACTTACCTAGCCGGACTAACTGTCCTAGGTAAACGTACTCGTCAACAACTTCGAGCTCAGTGCTCCCAACAACAACTGGTATAGGCGTGACATGGACATTAGACATGATCTTCGTCTTGTCCATGTTCATCTTAAGGCCCACCCGTTGGGAGACACTGTTGAGGTCATTGAGCATAGCACCCAGGTCCTCCAGCGATTCTGCCATAATGACTATATCGTCGGCAAATCGAAGGTGGGTGATGTATTCGCCATTGATGTTAATACCTCGTCCTTTAAAACCTTTATTAAAACGTAAAAATATAAACTTTATTAAAATACTGGCTGAACCCGGCTACGCTCCGGTGTGGCTTTTGTTTCCCTTAGGAACTTTCGAATAAAGAGTAGGTATATAAAACACCCTCCTATTCAATAGCTATGTTGTGAACATATATCAAGCTAGTACATCTAGTTAGTTGAGTTTTATGGACACAAACTTACTAAAAAGATGCTACATTTTTATATCATCATCTTCATCATTCCGGTCTGTTCGAGACTACTGCTGAACATAGACATATTTTTATAATACAAAGACAACAATATCTTTTGATTAACATATCGAATTAATTTCAAAGCTTTAACAAACAAACATGTTTTCAAGCCATCGCACGATTTGGCACAAGTGTTGAAACTAATTTCCAACCCATCTGCTGCGCTCAGTTTTCATAAATCAACTCATAGATGGAACCGTAATTAGCGGAAATCGGACGTGAAAATAAATATACCTCACACTAGTTACAATTTATAAAAGAGATTTTGTGGAGAACTGTTCCTTTTCGACCTCTATTCTGTAGGGAAATATGAACTCCGAAGATATTTATCGACGAACACGAGTAAATAATCAGATGTGAAATTAATTAAAAATCTTGAACGGCTCTCAGCGCTCGCATGAAATTGTTTACACGTGCGATACATTGAAACACGCGAAACGTGTACACGCTTTCAAGCCTAATTCCCCTTACGCCGAGGACAAACTACAACAGTCAAATATCAGCAAACCCAATGAGACAAATCCAATAACTGCTTTAGACTGTCGTCGGTAACTCGTAAATCGGAAAATTCTTAATCGACCACCAAGTACATTACGCGGCAGAAGAGTCGCGGGAATTATCTTTTCCTCCCGTACACATGTAAACAGGCAGTGTATAACAGCCAGTTGGAGCGGACGCATTGTGAACAGTTGAACCGGCGACATATTGAGGGAGCCGGGCGTGTCTTCCCCGACAACCGGGTGACCGGGGTACGCTTTGACCGCGTGACCCGGTCGCGGTGTGACCCGGTTAGCGTGCAGCCGGGTATGCAGCGCCCGGGTCCCGACCGCCCGCTGCATCCCGCGATTGATTCGCGGCGATGTGCCGCGAGATATTTTAACCTTTTTTTTACCCTATTTGTGCCTTTACCGCACCACTAGCGATCAACCACGCTCCGCAACGCAAAGCTCCGAAAGCTCTCCAGCTAATTATTTCACGCGTCGCGGGGCAGAACGGCACTTTAGTGCCGCTGAATTATAATTGAAATGCCTCACATCAATCCGTAATTCGCATAATAAAAACATGTCACGTTTACGTTTCTTCTTATATTTGTTAAAATTAATTCTGCATGGTAACATGATGGTTATACCGTTTGACATAACTTTCGCTGATTTAAATGCTATTATGAAACCAAAGTATGATTTGAGTATGATTGAAATGATAAACACTTTAATTTCAAATAGTTACGATTGTTCTGTATTGATTTATAAATATATCAGAAATTTTGTTAATAACACGCCAGAAACAAGTAACTTACGCGGTAAAGCGTTCGCAATAAAATCAATATTTTCATGCACAGCTTTCATAGTTAGTATTCAGAATTAGTGCTGTCGAATATGACACCATCATTTCCGAGGGCGGCGGCGAGAAAGCTCTCCTCCAGTTCCTTTTTGAACGTCCCATATTCCAAGTCGGTATTGTTCGCGAGATGGGGCGACTGGGCCGACTCTCCTAGGCCTCTTGCGACGTGCTTTACCACGCGTCTCACGCTCGACAGCTCTCTCATCAGCTTGTTAACCAAGTTCGCCTTCGTGTCCAACAGCGCACGCAACTTCAAGTTCTCCAACTGGAGCGCCAAATTCCTCGTCTGCTCCTTAAGTTCGCGCTGATGGGCTCTCTCCAATTGCTTGTTAATTTCGAGGGCGATCGCTTTTGAGGACTCCGTTTTCACGTTCGCATTCGCTATCGTCTCAGCGAGCCGCTTCTTTAGCGCCTCCATCTCTTCGTACCCGTTTCTGATTGTTACATCTGTATTTACGTACACTGTACCTTTCAGTTTGTTCCGTTTGCCATCAGCCCCCTTCACCGCGGTTCCGGCTACGGCACCGTTGCGGATTACCTCATGAGGAATATCCGGATTCAATCCGAGGAAGTAAACCTTTGGTTTCGTATTTGATTGATAAAGATTCAGAGATCCCTCATCGGCGTCAACCATCTCATCGTCGTATTACGATCGTCGAAGAAAAATGAGTTTTGATAGTTTACATTATTAATGTCTGAATAGTTTTAGCCGCATTTGTAATTTGCGAATTTATAGTTTTGTTCAAATTGTGTCACAAACGCAAGATGTCACTTCTGTTTTATTTTAGAATTGACGTTACAGATTTTGTTTCTATGCTTGGAATTAACTATATCGTTGCTAGTGCTAATAATTCAGTTTCATTAGGTAGCAATTAAACTTCAAAATTAATAGATCTGTAGTATATTATAATTTGTTGAGCATGAAATCCCAAAATCAAATAAATTGTAAACGAGAAAGCGGGTCATGTGATTTTCTTTGAAAAGTTGACACCAAAATGGTCATGCTTGACAGAAAGACGCATAGTGGTACATATTCTAAATTCCAAAATAATATACACAGAACTCCAAAAGCGCCAATGAATATAACGTAAAAAGTCCTTTAGAAAAAAAGATTAGCACAATCGCCACGCAACAACAATGGAGGCGAATGTTTAATTTCCAGGTCATCTGACCCGCACATATTGACTGCAGCGCTGATAAACAAAAGTTGGTCACTGAAGGGACGATATTAAAGGCTCCCTCCGACCGGAGTGTGGCAAGTGGGGCGTGTGATTGTACCCCGGACTGGTGCCCGCGTATTACGCCGTAAAGCCGAAAATACCTACGCGCGGAGTGCGAAAAGATACTCTGAGTCTACGCGATAAAGTCTCAAGTCGCTCGGGCGTCAAGCATCAATTACACAGTAGCTGAAAACTAGTAACGCGAACCACTTTCGTGTGTAAATTGCGAAAGCTCGCGTGTCTTTTTTTTTTTGTCCTTCCGCCGCGAAACGTGCCGGCCGACGTTTGTGCGGATATCGCAATGCAAACAAATAGAACGCAGCGATTTACCCATAAAATTAATGCGAATTACAAACGAGCCTATCGAATTCCCGCGCGTGTAAACCAAACATTTGCGAGCAGTATAGGTATGTGACGAGCGTTATGCATGGAATTAAAGGGCCAATTTAAATCACCTGTACATTATTCAAGCGCATCTTTTTGACGGCCAAAAGACGTATATTTTCACAATCACATTTAAAGAAAAATACGGTCTAAAAATCTGCTAAATACCAGTGCATTCAAAAAAAAGGTATTTAGCAGATTTCTTATTTATTTGGTTACTGGAGATAGAATATACTGGCGTAAGTTTTATGGAGCTAATGTCAAAATCTATCGTTATTAACCAAATCTATCTGTACACAGAATATTAAAAACCGGCCACATATCTCTCGTAAAAGTGACGCTTCCTCAAAATTTCAATTTAAAAGTTTTATTCCTTCACTATTATATAGTAGTGGGCTTTAGACCTGAATAGCAGTGATTTTTTTTCAGCATGCTAACCGATTTGATTTGAAAAATTACGTAACGAATTTTAATTCGTCGTGGAATTGTATGCGTATAATAATAAATTGCACAAATTTTACAGCTAAAATTAAAATTATAAGATGTTTACCAAAAGTGTTCCACATCATTCCATAAGTGTACATCTTGTTATTACATTTAAAAAAAAATTATAACCCTTCAGATAGATATGTAGAATTTAATATTGTTATTACACACTGTAACATTGTAACAATTTTAATTTCAATATTTATGTGTCGCTTACAGATATACTTATACAGTTATTTACAGTGATTGTAGTCTTGGCCGCCCTAGGTCCCAGCTCATGTAGTAAGTTCCAGCCGCCCCTTTCTCAGAGCCCATCATATATCTTGTTATGATCCGTGAATTTTTTGTCACGATTGGCCGCGGTTAATATGTGGGAGCCCTAGGCCCGGGCCTATTGGGCCTTAGGGCAAATCCGCCACTGGTTGTTATAATATAATAATATTAAATTAATTGTGGAATAGATTTATTAACTTACTAAAAATTACTGATGTTTAATTGTCTTTAGTAACTTATGTATATATTTAATCTTACGTTTTGCACCTAAATGAAAGAATGAATGGCGTAATTATAGGCCAATACTACTACAATACTAAATAGCACTTCTGTGAAGACATGATGGGAATATTTATCTTTACAAAACGTATCATCGAAATCCGTCACACACGATTACATAGTTCTAATGGTGGTGATACAAATATAAATTCTTATTATTATTTATTTAAACAACCAATACAAAATAGAAAGTACTTATGAAATGAAAATGACATTTATAAAATTGAAAGAAATAAGGTTACATTATTGTTGAACTTCCACTCCTAATTCATTAACTCCCTTTGTTACAGAAGTCAGTAACTGTAGGGAGTCTAAATATTATACATTTATTACAGAAATATATACACAAGTATTTTTAAGAGGCTGTAGATTAAAATAAATTATGAGCACTTTCGTGTTTTTACTTATGTTTTTGTCAATCAGGCACTTTTCGTTTGGCCTCATTAGAAAATTTTTGGTTTCCAACTAAAGGCATTATTATTTTATAAAATAACATTATTTGGTAAAAATTTAAAACTTTAAAGCAAATCAGTAGTTTTTTAATTACCCAAATGCATACAAATTTTTTACTTTACTCTAACAAACTTGATGATAAAATATAACAATGTATGAACATTTCGAAGACAAAGCAGTTTCAATGTACAATATTAAAAATTCGGTAGCTACTTCAGCTACATTCTTGATCCAATTCTAGCTTCAACAAAGCCTAGAAATGGAACTCCCTGAAAACTTTAGCGGCCCACGTGTTTGATGACTTTGTATGAGAGATTGTTAAATCTTCTCTCCGAAGTTTGTTAGTTTGCGGTAGTAATTTTACAACTATTTAAATACTTAAAATATTTATTTTCAGGATGTTTATTTACACTTCATATGTCGGTTGAAAAGAAGACAAGTTAAGGAGCCACAAACGGGATTGTGCGAGTCTATCTTTCTGTTATGTGACATTTGCACACTCAGTCAGCTTCAAACTCTGTCATGTTTAAATACATTGTACCTACTCTTTTAACAACTATAAATTATGTGAATTAGAAGAGACTTTATCCTACTAGTACTTCTTCTCATTAACGATCATATCATATTGTGTGTTCCAAAAATAAAGTAAAAAGGCACAAATCACTAGCATTAGAAAAATAGCAAATTGAATTGAATTGCTAAACATTCAGTTCAGCTTTAAACAACACGCATAATGCACGTACGTATGTAAACGGAATAGATAAATTGTTTGGCAAGCCCGCTAGATGTCTCTGTGGTAATTCGATAGTCGTACGAGCGACGGGGCTAATTCAATAGAGGTGCATCCGCCACACAATAGTTTCCGGTACACTTCTGAAAATCTAGGAATCGGTGCTAGAGGGCCCCAGGCCCGCCTCGGCATTGTGAGAACTCGGGGCCGGGAAAGTAGGACGCGAGGCGGGCCGCAGCTGTTCAAACATCCAGCCATCTTGTTTCGGATATCTCCAACAATCGGTGTATGAAGCTTTTCGATTTCTTTCTTCTTTCAATTTCAAAACCGGTTACCGATCGCGCGGTACGCTTCATTTTTCTTTTTCACAATCCAAATTGAGAATTCTACTTGTTTTACAACCGACATCGAAAAAGGAGGTGGCTCTCGACCCGATTTTATTAATTTATGGTTCATCTCGGTCATATATAAAGCGATTTTAAAATAGAATTCTTTTTACATTGCTTTCGGCTTATCTTCATTTAAATCTTGCACTCCGAGATAAATCAAGGAACTATCAAAAATTACGAGTAAATAGAAAATGTATAGAGTGAGTGATACATTTAATTTTGGTTTTGTTTTTTGTTAATCAACAAAAAGTACTTGTTTAATTTATTTTTTAAAGTTTTTAGTGCAAGTACCTGTACTCAATTGTAACCTAAAAACCGGTGTACTTTTACAATTTATGGCTGTTTTAGTAAACCGAAAATTGAAAGAACAAACAAAACCAAAACAACTAACGCTTTCTATACTTACTATATCCATATTCCCTACGGAGTGCCTCAACGCATACATGTATATAAATAAGTTGTTTATCCGAACATCGACTTGCAATCGCCAACGCCTTGCATATTATGAATAGATTTAGTATCTCAGTTATTGTCCTGAAAAATCCTTTCCACATTTTGTATCCGACAGAAATTACTTTCAAATATGTTTTATATAATTAAGATTTTAAAAATGATTGCGAAAGTTATTACACGGGTTTACCTGTGTAAGAGCCCATCATTTATACTCTATTAAAATTGATATACTTACATATACTTCAGTACATCAAATTTAGTAAATAATAAACTATTACTGCCTGTGTTAAAAACGAAAGAAAGATAACACTCTTACTTACAAAACTATCTTTCTCTCCTATTATAAAAATACATTGTAGGTACTTACTGTTGCATAACCCTAGGATGTAAGAACGGTTTAAAAACACAAATTTGATGGAATTTTTTCTAAGGGACATGAATAATCCTCCTGTATTGTAATTGACATGCAGCTTGCAATGCCGAAACTAATTTCTTAGCAACAGCCAAACGAGCCATCGCTAAACGAGCGTATTGGATTAGAAAACTTTTTGTTTATGTAAAAAGGTGACAAGTGAGCTAGCGTTTCACCTGGTGTTAAGTGATATCCGCCACCCCTCGACATTTGTAATAATCGTAGGGTTTCAGATGATTGCACGAATGGGCAGGCTCGTCCGGGTAAGTACCACGACCTCACAGAAGACCGACGTAAAGTTGAAGTATGACAAATACTTTCGCGTTTCGTCTGGTGAGTGAGTGAGGTAGCCGGAGCCCAATTTCCAAAAAGGTTGTCAACGCATCTGCAAACCCTCGGGTGTAGCAGATGTCTATGGGCGGCGGTATTCACTTAACATCAGGTGAACCTTCTGCTCGTTTGGCAACTTTTCACATAAAAAAAAGATAGTGCGTTGTCACCTTTTAATATAGTGGGTCTCGATTACCTAGCTCACCAGACGAAACGCACAACTATAACACTTCCACTTCACGTCGGTCTTCTGCGTGGTCGTGATACTACTCCGGATGGTACTGACCATTCAAGCAACAGCGAAAACAGTTGCGTGGCCCTACCACAGTTAGATGTCTATTTATCAGGTATTTAATATGACCTTGTGATGAGTCGGATGAATTCACCAAGCTTGAGTGAGGTAACCGTGGGTCACAACGTCAAAGGATGGCAAGGCATCTGCAGCGCAATAGATGTTGCACATTTCCATTAGAGACTGTAATAATTAACGTTACGTGAACCACCTAAACTTCCAGTAAAAACTTTCAGCTGTTCACCACAAAATCAGCAGCAGCCGGGTCAGCGTAAATGTCGACTTTGGGATCATTTCTACTCATCCGATTGCCTTGGCCCCTTCGCGAAAATAAATACTCTCTCATTACTTGGCAATAAACAGTCGTCTTTTGGCGACGGTTCTCTGTCATTATCCAATATGCATCGGATTTCTCCCCCTTTAAAATATAAGAATTATTCACTATGACTTTGTATCAAACGTTTTTATACAAACAAGAAAGATTATTAATAATTCTCAGTCTTAAACTTAGAGCGTCAAGCTCTGCGCTATTGTGAATAATTTCCTCGAACAAAGTGGACATTTTTGTGTTCATTTCCATGACATTTTCAAAAGGCCATCGGCGGAACGATAGAGTTATCAATTAAGATGCTCATTTCTCTATAAAACAGCGGGTCGCATAATTTTGTGAGTTTCCAAAAGATTCTCGTCTTTAACGTTAGAGACTACTGCGCCTTCTTTGTGTCTACGAAACACGTGAACTCAAGACGCGGCGTGGCAAGCAGCAGTTAGTGACTGCTTGGATTCTTGATTGGTCCTTATACAGTCGACAACGTCGCATTGGAAGTTATTGTTAAAGCAGATGCGTCTCAAACTAACTCGAAATTAGGAGCAGCCTTCAACTTGATAAAACGATGAACATTCGATTAATAATAACTCGAAGTTTTTGCACTTAGCGCGTTCAAATTCTGGCAGCAGAAAAATAAAATTCTACACTTAGTTTTCTGTAAAATGTTCTCCGAGTATGTTTGCTTTTAAGAAAGCACACCAGATGGCACTAGGCATTGGTAATAAAGAGGATGTACCTAAGCACTAAAAACAAAGTAGACATCCGGTGAAGATATGGAATTCCGATTCCATTAAGTTAAATTAATAAACATAAACAAGTTCATTTTTTACTAACGTAAAACAAAATCGACTTCAAATATCCCGCTCTGTATTAATTTTATAATTGAGTCTCAGGAGTTCCCCTAAGTATCTCCGGAGCCCAAGATCCAATCCCAATGAAATATGGGACCACATGGGAAGCACCGGTTCACTCGATCGAAAGTTCTGGTGTAACAAACATAAAAAAAAAACACAGTCGAACTCCTTTTTTGAAGTCGGTTAAAAAAACACGGAAAGTGGATATGGCATAAACCAACAGTACAAGTTTTCAGAAGTGTCCCGTGAAGAAATAAAATAGAAAATGATGGTGGATAAGGCGGAATAAATCAATAGTTCTAGATTATGTAGTAACAGCCTATACATGTCCCACTGCTGGGCAAAGGCCTGCTCAATACAGAGGGTATCGGGGCATAGTCTACCACGCGGCCCCACTGCGGATTGGCGGACTTCACAATATCTTCGAGAAATATTTTGTTTTGTTATTATTCCGAAAATATGAAGGTTTCCTCACGATGTTTTGCTTCGCCGCGGAGCACGTGATAAGTCAGCACTTAAAGTTAAAAACTTCATTGGTGCCTCACCGGGGATCGAACTCAGGTTGCTCGAGTATATTCAATTAAACGCGAGCGCCCGGACACTGAGCTATCATGGCTCTTATGACAGATCATGTGGAAATATAAAAATATTCTTGTTAATATGTATTCTATTTTGTTTTGTTTACTAGTTCGCGAACTTTTCAATCAACTCTCGTGTATGTCAATGAAAGATTGGGCGATTTTTATAATATAAAAGTTATGTACTGGTGATTTTAATTTTAATATATTAATCATCTGGCGTTATAGTAAGCATCTGTCCTAATATAAAATTTTAATTAGATATTAAACTATTCGTCAGATAATACCAATAAAAGAGACGTTGTTTTGCCCTGCACTTGAAATCCCCTACCAACTGTAACTTTGCCTAATGCAATAGTATTTTATTTCTGTATAAAAAAATATAAAAACATATATATATACCATACTCTTCTAGTGGTTCTTCTATAGAAAATAACTAAAAGAGACGAAAGAACTAATGTTGCTAAGATTTATACAAAAAACAGAGACAAGTCAACGAATGCTAGTTAATGTTACTAGAAAAGTAGCAATTCCGAACAATAAAACTGCATATTCATTCAAACGATTACATAAATTTATTGTCAAATCATTAGATTAATAATGAGTTAAATAAAAACATTATGCTTAAATATAATGTATATGTTAATCACAAATGGTAAGTACCTACCATAATATAGAAATTCGTTTAATATGTTTTCGGTGTATTGATAAAAAATAGTTTGTGTACCAAAAATCATAAGAAACCTAGCTATTACACAAAAGACTAGCTATGATTGTAAAAGGTTAGAATATGTATATCAAAAACGAATATGATTTGATATTCTTGATTAATGAGTACAATTTTAGCATTACACAATGCAAATAATATACATTAAAGAACGGTTAACGAAAAGGCATCGAAATATATACAAAATAAATTCATTCATTAAATATATAATATAATTCTTTCCGACAAACGAAACAGAGCGAAGCAAAATAGCCATAATATAGACACCCAACCTTGACAATATACATATAAATATATTCTTTTTGTATTTAATATAAATTTATTCTCTTAATTTATTGTATCAAACGAATCCTTATTACATTTACAACCTGTGGAATACAAAATTGGAATCCATCTTTGACATTGTCAGATCCTTCTCTAGTGCCGAAATATGTTAGACGTAAATATGAGAAAAAAAAAGGGTGCAGTAAATGAAGAGTATAAATTTAATTAAAACATTTCAAATATCACATGATTTTGACAAATTCCTAACAAAGATTCCAAAATATATTTTGTATTGTCTGAAAATAATAAGTGAAGTTGCAAAATTTTAGAAAAATCTTAAGATAAAGTGAAAAATTAATTAAATCTTTACAAACATATACTAACACAAAATAAGATCTATTTCCTGCTTACAAAGATTCCTCGTAAATATAATCGATTGCAAATCAGTCGTAACTGTAACGAATCAATTCGCTGGCTATGACGGTTTCTGACGCAGAAATAAGCGAACAAAATATGGTGTTAATCAATTTTAAAGTAAACAAATTTTTATGATTGGATATGTTAGCGAAGCGGTGTTTCGTTAGTAATACGCGGAAATAATAGAAACAAAAATCAACGTTCCTTTTTACATTTTTCCCATTAATTTTCCAGAGATCATCAACACGAAAATTCTTTGGAACATTTTCAATAAGATTACTTGTCTAACAGTGTCGAAATATAAAGAGCATATTAAAGTGTATAGCCAAATTATATCACATTTAATAATTTTGCACGACAATTGGAAAATATGCTACCGCAACAAAACCTTTGTAATTTCTTTTATCACAGTTATTCGCATATAAATTTCACTACACGTCACTGGAAAAGGTTTTCGCGCCAATTTCATGCAAATTTTAACATTAGCATGCATCGTATGCTTAACATATTTAATAACGATAAATACCATGCGTTACGTCTATAATTTATTCGAAGTTATCGTTTCTACAAAGAAAAAAAAATCAGCCAACTAACCTCCGTTGAATAACGACAAAAATTAGGTACTTATTTGGAGACACGAGATTTATAAACAGCTTTAAACTGACCGTTCAGATTGACAATATCTGTATTATTTGTGTCTATTTAATAACACATTTTAACGCTTAATCAAACCCTTTTCGAATCTTGCTAATTTATACGGGGGCCGGGTTTTCGATAAATAAATCAATCCCAATTAAATGAGAAAGAGGCTCCTTTATTAGGCATAGACTAAACTCGCCGTTTTTCGATAAACGTACATAAAAAATGTCATCCTGGTCCCAGATAATTTACCACGGCGACTTACATTTACAAAGGGCTACTTCAGTGCCACGGTCGAATCCTATCGAATACCTAATATCGGACAATGAGTCCAGGGGAAAGTGATTTGGCCGTTGACATGTATTAATCCAGGTCTTAGACAGTTCCGCCAAGTGTACACCCATAATCGCCCCACTGGAGTTTGCAGGAGTGTGGCCAGTCCTTCGATGAGCGGTTGCGTTCGGACAGCGTGGATGGTGACCGTCGAGGTGTTCCGTCAGAGCAGCGCACTGCTGGCCATCAGGTTCAGGCCGCAGGTGCCGTCGCCCCGGTACGCGCGGTAGTAGCCCTGCTCGCCCCACATCGTGCCCCACGAGTTCTTGATGGTCCAGTACGGCAGCCGCTTGTGGAACAGCGGGTAGTCTGCAAATGTTTACCAATCTTTATATACATAATACCACTGTGCACGTGTTTTGTATTGTACATTGAATTCCTTCGAAACGGCTGGGCCGGTTTTAATGATTTTTTTTTTGGGTCTTCAGGTCGTTTCGTGAATGGTTTAAATTAACAATTCATTTTTTTTTTAAATTTATTAGTATTTTATTGACTTCCTGATTTTACACGAATATTATACATATTAAATGAAACCAGTTTACGGATTTAATCGCGTTTTTTTATATATATAGTCTGTCCCGTGACCATGAACGCTGGAAAGGGTTCGAAACGTCGGGAAATTAAAATCAAAATTAAAAACGCGATAAAATCCATAAAGCAGTTTCATTTATTAGTATTAATTCCGGATTTAAGTCGTGTGGACAACGTCTGTCGGGTCCACTAGTGATAGAATATATCATAATATATAACATGTACTTATAATTTATATCGATCAATCCATAGACTGATTGATATAAATTCATGATTTTCTTAAATCGACATACGATACTTTTATTAGTGAACGTGATTTATATCATAATGGCGAAGTTGATGGCAAAAATTGTGGCAGGGCCACGCAACTGACTTCGCTACGAATTCTTCGCTTCTAATGCACGAATGGGCAGGTCCGTACGTTTGAGTGCGACAACCTCACAGAAGACCGGCGTGAAGTCGAAATGTGAAGGTGAATGAGATAGCCGGGGCCCACTTTATTAAGACGTGGCAACGCATCTGCAACCCTACGGGCGTTGCAAATGTCGATAGGCGGCGATTTTCAGGTGAACCGCCAGCTCAAATTAAAAAAAAAACTTCAGTAATGCTTGGAAATTGAGCTTTTGCCGCGTAAAGTTTGACAATGACAATGATGGGAACACGAAAAAAATAAAATAACTTTACTATGTGACATGTATTACACTACAAATGTCGTGCGCGAAAGAAATGAAAGAAACACTATACTAATAAAATATCTTTGATAAGTCGCAGTTATTACACTAGAAAAAATTAAAATTTGGCATCAAGCTTGCCAATCATCGGATATCACTTTGCCCAAAAATGGATCACGAAGCAAGAACTGACCTTTCTCCCCGAAGCCCACGATGAGTACGCCATGATCAAGGTTGTTGGGGTTGCACAGTACCCTCCACGGGTGGGAGACGCCTCCAACGTAGAACTGCATCGCGTTCGCGTTTATACCTTCAAAGACAATTGTATCATGCAGCAGTTGCGTAATTATCTCTTCTTGGATCTTCAAACCACATTTCCCTCTCTGTCTCTTGTATAGATTTATGAACTCGCACAAAGAAACACTTTTATCTGTCTTCTTCCTTCTCTGCGTCTTATTTAAGATAAGTAACTCAAGCATTTTAATATACATCTTGACAGCTAAGAACACATACGCCTAGCAGAGATCGGTGTGGTTCTTAGGGTGTCATATTAATAATCTACAATCAGACGCAGATGATTCATTTCCCATTAAAATTAACTTGTTTATAAAAAATCATTCAGCATTAGCCGATCGGGTTGTAATCGACTTTCTATCAAAAGCAGGATGATGAAAATTTAAGATAAGTCCGCGTGGTAAGATACTATAATCCATAAATAGATATTAAAACCGTCATCACTTCATAAGAAGTTGATGAACTGGCAATATGTTACAGATAAGTCGATATTGACTTCATCATCACGCCACGAGGAAGACCACTTACCGATCGATATGGGGCCGTTGCTGTACAGCCACTTGGCCATTGCCGTCTCGTTCTTGGTGATGTTCACCGCTCCGCTGATGTTCACCCTCGACATGGTCTTGTTGAACGTACACTTGTCGTCCTCCCCCTCGTAGGGGTAGTCGCTCTCCGTCTCCAGGCCGCCCAGCTGCTCGATGGCCCTGGAAGGGAATTGCGCACGCTCGGAACTGGCCGCGTTGACGAGCCGCCGTTAAACTGCAACTAAGCCATTGTAACGGCAACTAAACCATTGTAACGGCAATTAAGCCGCCATTGTTTTCTTCGGAACAGGTGAATATAAGAACCGTGACCGTCCGGGCGCACGCTTTTAATTCTAATATAATAAAAGCAACCTTAGTTCGAACCCCGGTGCCGGCACCAAATTTTAAGTGCTGAATTGTCACGTGCTCAGCGGTGAAGGAAAGTATCGTTTACACCCAGCCGGTTGAGCGTAAAGGCTTTCACTTCACCTTAGATAACTTTTTATCCTCATAACCAATATTTTTGCAATACTATATAGTTATACTTTTTACGAATCTCCGGCGAAATAATAATACAGCGACACAGGTGTTAAGCTATTGGTTTGCCGCTTGAGGGTCGTGGTTTCGACTCACATACGAGACAAAAAGATCTTGGTGTGACTTCCACATAATTGTTCCTGATGTCTGTTTCATATTGACCAATACTGCTAACATGTTGTGCCGTCCCCGCCTAAGTGGCGAGAGCATGATGATGAGAATGATAATGATAATGATTTTATTTTGCATAATTGATTTTATTAAGTTGCAATAGCCGTGGTGGTATTTACCCGTTCAAGTCGGACGCAATAACAGCCTTAATAAGCGTTTAAAGTTAGTCTTTTAGTCAAGTATAGCGTTCATCTTCCACTTAATACACAGGCCAGTTTCCTATTCATAAAAAACCTACATGTACAAATGTATGTATGTGTTAAATGTTACAATAAGCCCCACGTGCAATGTTAGCACTTGGCTATTACATTAATGGCGATTCGTCACATATTTCCTGTGCATTCAATTAACCAAGCGATGCAAATCAATTTGTGGACGACAAGACGTGTTCAGGGTAATGCCAAGTCTAAACGTAGTTAAAATAACGCCTCTGTTTGTTGAAACTGTAATAAAACCGAATTCCAAGAATGCGGACGCGTCAGCTGTGACAATGTTGCTACACGGAAAAACAGTCTACACAATATAATTGTCTTTCATATTGAAGACGGACTCATTTCCGTGAAATTAATAGAAAAAAAAACTGCGCTTGGAGGGCCACTGGAGAGCAGATTAATCCGGGGAAATACCAGGGTCTCATAGAAAACCTTAAAGAGGGAGTATTGGCCTTACGCTTTTTATCTAGTGAGTGAAGTAACCGGGGCGCACTTTTGTAAAGCTTGCCAACACATCTGCAAGCCCTTAGGTGTTGTAGATGCCACAATATGTACCTAATGAAATACCTGATATGAAATGAATCATCATCATCATCATCCTCCTGCACTTATCCAACCTTTTTTTTTTTATGTGAAAAGTTGCCAAGCGAGCAGACGGTTCACCTGGTGTTAAGTGAATACCGCCGCCCATGGACATCTGCTACCCGAGGGTTGCAGATGTGTTGACAACCTTTGAAAATTGGGCTCCGGCCACCTCACTTTCACTTTACGACGGTCTTCTGTGAGGTTTGTTTGTTTGTATATTCTTTATTGTACTAGAAGTTTGTACAAAGGCGAACTTAATGCTAATTAGCATTTTCTTCCAGCTAACCTTTGGTGGTTGAGTACAAGTTACGGGTAGTAACGCTAAAATGACATACAAAATTTTTTAGTGTCTATCATAAAGAATATGGCAAAACTAAATATACTTCATCATAAATATATATAATTACAATTTTATAAACATACTTGCACGTATATATTATATTACACATACTATTTATTGTACACTATATATATATATATATATATATATGTACCCATATATATATTACATACCTACTATTTATGCATACATAATAAATATAAATTCAAATAAAATAAAGAATCAATCAGTCACACTGTTCTGAATAAGTAAATAGTGTTCAGATACACGCGCTTTAAAAACATCAATCGACGGGGCCTCTCTTATATCGACTGGCAGACTATTCCACAATTTTATTGCGTTGTTTTAATTGAACTCGTCGTTCATTGAGGTCGTGGTACTTACCCGGACGAACCTGCCCATTCGTGCAACAGCCGAGGCTGCATGGCTCTACCACCGTAAAACACCTAGATGGAATCTGCACCACATGTGAATCATGTTGTAAGCCTGATATCAACCCTCCTTGGGAAACAAACACCGGGATCCGGAACTATTATCTGTGGGTCACACAGATACTTGTCCCGTGTTGGAATCGAACCCACGTCACCCGACGCCGAAGCCAATGGCTTAGCAACGGCGCCACCGAGTCGCCTGTTATGAAATGAATATACCAAAGCTAAGGAAAGGAACAACCTGCCGGCGTCGGTCTTCCCATCCGATTATAACGTAGGCGTCTTCAAGGCAAGAGTGAATAGGCTTTTACTGAGCTAGCGCGCTTACCATCCACGGCTGCATCGCCACTTACCATCAGGTGGGATGGCAGTCAAGCGCTAGTCAGTTCCATATAAAAAAAATACTAGCGATTTTGTTCATATATTCTCTTGATGAGTTCAATTAAAACAAACATTAACTAAAACCTTATTTCTTGGTTTTACGCGAGTATTATAGATGTTAAATGAGAATAGTATACGGATTTTATCGCGTTTTAATTTTGATTAATAACTCCCGACGTTTCGAACTCTTTCCAGCGTTCATGTTCACGGGGCAGACTGACGCCCGGTTTCTGAAACACTGACCATCGTAGAAGTCAACTAACCAGCTGTCAAATGGCTTTTCAAATGTCATTTGAGTTGCCAAAAGGAACTCTGTTAAACTCTCTATCTCTCGACTTCTACGATGATCAGTATTTCAGAAACCGGGCGTGAGTTGTTACACGTCTTGATTTCAAAGTTAACCCGGGCTACCGTCAATTGTTTTTATTTATCTTTATTCCTATTCTTAATTATTTATCTGAATAAAAATAACCTCCCTCTCCTGATGGTAAAAATTAGATGGCTCCGGCACCCCGTTCTTACCTACTACCTACTGTATGCCTGACGTCTGGCCTACATAGGGGAATTAAAATTAAACACAATAAAGAGAGCCATGATAGCTCAGTGTCCGAGCGCTCGTCTTTAATTCAATATACTCGAGCAACCCGAGTTCGGTCCCCGGTGCCGGCCAATGAAATAGTTAATTTTAAGTGCTGAATTATGATGAGCACGTGGCTCAGCGGTGAAGGAAAACATCGTGAGGAAACCGGCATGTTTTCGAAATTATAACAAAAAATAATATCTCAATGATAAGTGAAAGTCCGCCAATCCGCAGTGGGGCCGCGTGTTGGACTATGCCCTAACACCCGTCTGTACAGAGGAGGCCTTTGCCCAGCAGTGGGACATGTATAGGCTGATACTTTACTTTTTTTTACTATAAAGATGCAAATATCTTACCTATACGCATTATCCGGCAGACCACCGTTGCAGCCCTGGTCCAGCTTGTCGCAGTCGACCAACTCCTGCTCGCTAAGCGACACCAAATTGCCAGTCTTTATCTTCCATTGGCCCTCGATGTTGCCTGCATTTAGAACACAAATCTAATAAAGATTCGAAATAGCTTTATTATTTCATCAGTACTCCTTTGCGAATCATGTTGTTAATGGCCGAACCGAAGTAAACGAGTCTCGAGCGTAAAACACCCGGATCCGATACCGTTATCTGTGGGTCCCACGAATACTGAAAACATGTGGGAACCCACGACACACGGCGCCGAAACCAATGGCTTAGCAACTGCAGCACCAACGTCATCACTATGACGTCATCTTCAGTACTATTTCTATAATCTGGCGCCGTGTAAGCGGTAGACGATACAGGTCGGTAAGGACACTCGTTAGGATTATTACTCATGAGTCTTCTTCGTCGGATTACCTAAATGCTAAAACCTGGGCACAATTTTAGAGTACCTTGTGTGCCGCATAAATAAAGAGGTTGCAGCAAAAACTTAAACTGCAGTGTTAATAAATTTTATTCCTGACCCCGCTTTCATACCCTTGCATACCCGTGTATGAAACACGTCACAGATATATTTATATTACGTGTATTAATGTTGATGATGATTCGTTTCTACAGATACTCCAACTTGTAAGGCACCACCATACCCAATTTACATCAACTACTACGAGTATTCTTCCCGAAACGGGTTTTAATACTTTTTCCACGACGTATTTTTCATCAACATTATGTTATAACGAAACTAAGCAAAGCTTGTTCTATGAAGAGTCCTACTGATATGCATACAACATAACACCTACTGATAATTAATATGCTTAAGCAACTTTTGTAAATGAAGACATCATGTAAACATCCATACACTAGAAAGCACAATTTTTATCAAACAATATTTACCAGTATAGGGGATCGAACCCACACCTTCCGGAGCAAAACACAGGATCGCAATCCACTAAGACTATCGGTTAATCGAATTATAATATAGCGGTTATTTATCAAATTCAAATACCAGAATATTTATAGCAAAAATGACGTTTTAATAAATTGCTTCGTTTTACATTATATGATATAATATATAAGTGAATGTGACAGAAGATAAAGAACGTATGCTGCGGAAAGAGATATTAGTCTATAGAATTGCAATCTAATTACACCAATTGGCGTATTTGATGCCTCAGTTTCTGTGCGCTTATGTCGTATCTAGATCTACCTCGTATTTGTATATAATAACATCGTACAGCTACGTAAGACTTTTAACCTTTGATAAATACCTGTGACGCTAAACGCCCAGCAGCTTCCGCAAGAGCCTTGATTCTTCACTTCCGTGACCGCGCCGCGATCCCTCCAGTCGAATTTATCGGGCAGTTCCACATCAGGTATCTTCGCCTCCTTCATTGGTATCAGATTGTTATCGCGCAAGCCCGGCTTCAAGCCCAAATATTTGGCGCTGAACTCTTCGTATGTCAAATCGGCGAATCTCGTGACGCCGTATGTGGCCGTGCCCCTTTCGTGGGTGTTGAGCTCGTGTATCTTCCGTACATTGTCCTTGAATATCTTGAATCGGTTCCTCATCTCTTCGTGGTTGTCCAGATAGGGTGGTTTGTAGGTGGCCAGGAAGTGGTAGAACAGCCGCTGCGCCTGGACGTGCCGGTGCAGCTCGTCATGCGTTGTTTCGTGGTCGCAACTGACACGGAAGTTAGGGGGATGGTCCGACGTGGATGGAAGCCAAACGTTCACCCGGCAAAACTTACTCGCTCCGGCGTCTTCCACCAGTGTACAGTTTTGGTTCACGCTCAACGCCATACAATCGGTGGGCCCCACTTCGAGTTTCATCCGATAATGGACGCCGGCAACGACTTGTTTGTTCAACGACAAAACCCTAACGACTTTGTGTCTTCGAGGATGTGGGTATTTGGCCTCGATATGCCTTAACGCCTCCGTGGCCAATAGCATCGCGTTGTCAGAATCCAGCTCGATATCCTCAAGTGGGCGACGGTCCTCACACGTCACCTCAATATCTTTGCCGTTTTTCAACCAAAGCCTTTCCCAAATGTGCGATACGCAATGGCGTTTGGGTATGTCTGACAAAAAATCGCAATAGGATATGTTGTCAACTAATTCATATTTTAAGCACGATGTGTAGCCGACATCAAAATCAATAGTGGTAACACGACCAGATGTCACTTTACTAGAATAATTATTTATTTGAATCAACCTTTGTTTATGTTTATGTGACGATAACATTTCAAGCTTATCCAGAGATTCTTGGACCAAATTCTCTATTATCAATTCGTCAGAATGCGAGATATTTTGGGGTACGGATCTATCTATAGCGTGGGCACGTTTTATTTTGTTTTTTCCAATTCCTCTTACACTTTTATTGTACGTATTTGATTTCACAGTCTGATCATCTTCACCATCTCCGATTTTACATGAAACGTCTATATCTTTCTTCCCAATCCAAGACTGCTCCCATACTTTAGAAAGACAGCTGATTTCGTCACCTGCTCCTTCCACGGGTAAAATCTTGAAATAAATATTGGTCAACGTTCCTGCAACAACTTGGGTAGTAACTTTTTCAATCTTAAGGATTTTGTGAGGACTAGAGTTTCCCGTAGTCTCCAGGTATTTTTGCATTGATTCTTCGGCTAGTTTCATGTATTTTGGATCAGTTGGATCCTGTTCTCTCGGTCCGCCAGGCAAGTCCCTCTTACTTCTCCACTTTCCATCACCGATTTTACATGAAACGTCTATGTCTTTCTTCCCAATCCAAGACTGCTCCCATACTTTAGAAAGACAGCTGATTTCGTCACCTGCTCCTTCCACGGGTAAAATCTTGAAATAAATATTGGTCCTAGTTCCTGCAACAACTTGGGTAGTAACTTTTTCAATCTTAATGATTTTGTGAGGATTAGAGTTTCCTGTCGTCTCCAGATATTTTTGCATTGATTCTTCGGCTAGTTTCATGTATTTTGGATCAGTGGATCCTGTTCTATCGGCCCGCCAGGCAAGTCCCTCTTACTTCTCCACTTTCCATCTCCGATTTTACATGAAACGTCTATGTCTTTCTTCCCAATCCAAGACTGCTCCCATACTTTAGAAAGACAGCTGATTTCGTCACCTGCTCCTTCCACGGGTAAAATCTTGAAATAAATATTGGTCCTAGTTTCCTGCAACAACTTGGGTAGTAACTTTCAATCTTAATGATTTTGTGAGGATTAGAGTTTCCTGTCGTCTCCAGATATTTTTGCATTGATTCTTCGGCTAGTTTCATGTATTTTGGATCAGTTGGATCCTGTTCTATCGGCCCGCCAGGCAAGTCCCTCTTACTTCTCCACTTTCCATCTCCGATTTTACATGAAACGTCTATGTCTTTCTTCCCAATCCAAGACTGCTCCCATACTTTAGAAAGACAGCTGATTTCGTCACCTGCTCCTTCCACGGGTAAAATCTTGAAATAAATATTGGTCAACGTTCCTGCAACAACTTGGGTAGTAACTTTTTCAATCTTAAGGATTTTGTGAGGACTAGAGTTTCCCGTAGTCTCCAAGTATTTTTGCATTGATTCTTCGGCTAGTTTCATGTATTTTGGATCAGTTGGATCCTGTTCTCTCGGTCCGCCAGGCAAGTCCCTCTTACTTCTCCACTTTCCATCTCCGATTTTACATGAAACGTCTATGTCTTTCTTCCCAATCCAAGACTGCTCCCATACTTTAGAAAGACAGCTGATTTCGTCACCTGCTCCTTCCACGGGTAAAATCTTGAAATAAATATTGGTCCTAGTTCCTGCAACAACTTGGGTAGTAACTTTTTCAATCTTAAGGATTTTGTGAGGATTAGAGTTTCCTGTCGTCTCCAGATATTTTTGCATTGATTCTTCGGCTAGTTTCATGTATTTTGGATCAGTTGGATCCTGTTCTATCGGCCCGCCAGGCAAGTCCCTCTTACTTCTCCACTTTCCATCTCCGATTTTACATGAAACGTCTATGTCTTTCTTCCCAATCCAAGACTGCTCCCATACTTTAGAAAGACAGCTGATTTCGTCACCTGCTCCTTCCACGGGTAAAATCTTGAAATAAATATTGGTCAACGTTCCTGCAACAACTTGGGTAGTAACTTTTTCAATCTTAAGGATTTTGTGAGGATTAGAGTTTCCTGTCGTCTCCAGATATTTTTGCATTGATTCTTCGGCTAGTTTCATGTATTTTGGATCAGTAGGATCCTGTTCTATCGGCCCGCCAGGCAAGTCTCTCTTACTTCTCCACTTTCCATCTCCGATTTTACATGAAACGTCTATATCTTTCTTCCCAATCCAAGACTGCTCCCATACTTTAGAAAGACAGCTGATTTCGTCACCTGCTCCTTCCACGGGTAAAATCTTGAAATAAATATTGGTCAACGTTCCTGCAACAACTTGGGTAGTAACTTTTTCAATCTTAAGGATTTTGTGAGGATTAGAGTTTCCCGTAGTCTCCAGGTATTTTTGCATTGATTCTTCGGCTAGTTTCATGTATTTTGGATCAGTTGGATCCTGTTCTCTCGGTCCGCCAGGCAAGTCCCTCTTACTTCTCCACTTTCCATCTCCGATTTTACATGAAACGTCTATGTCTTTCTTCCCAATCCAAGACTGCTCCCATACTTTAGAAAGACAGCTGATTTCGTCACCTGCTCCTTCCACGGGTAAAATCTTGAAATAAATATTGGTCCTAGTTCCTGCAACAACTTGGGTAGTAACTTTTTCAATCTTAAGGATTTTGTGAGGATTAGAGTTTCCTGTCGTCTCCAGATATTTTTGCATTGATTCTTCGGCTAGTTTCATGTATTTTGGATCAGTGGGATCCTGTTCTATCGGCCCGCCAGGCAAGTCTCTCTTACTTCTCCACTTTCCATCTCCGATTTTACATGAAACGTCTATATCTTTCTTCCCAATCCAAGACTGCTCCCATACTTTAGAAAGACAGCTGATTTCGTCACCTGCTCCTTCCACGGGTAAAATCTTGAAATAAATATTGGTCAACATTCCTGCAACAACTTGGGTAGTAACTTTTTCAATCTTAAGGATTTTGTGAGGATTAGAGTTTCCTGTCGTCTCCAGTATTTTTGCATTGATTCTTCGGCTAGTTTCATGTATTTTGGATCAGTTGGATCCTGTTCTATCGGCCCGCCAGGCAAGTCCCTCTTACTTCTCCACTTTCCATCTCCGATTTTACATGAAACGTCTATGTCTTTCTTCCCAATCCAAGACTGCTCCCATACTTTAGAAAGACAGCTGATTTCGTCACCTGCTCCTTCCACGGGTAAAATCTTGAAATAAATATTGGTCAACGTTCCTGCAACAACTTGGGTAGTAACTTTTTCAATCTTAAGGATTTTGTGAGGACTAGAGTTTCCCGTAGTCTCCAGGTATTTTTGCATTGATTCTTCGGCTAGTTTCATGTATTTTGGATCAGTTGGATCCTGTTCTATCGGCCCGCCAGGCAAGTCCCTCTTACTTCTCCACTTTCCATCTCCGATTTTACATGAAACGTCTATGTCTTTCTTCCAATCCAAGACTGCTCCCATACTTTAGAAAGACAGCTGATTTCGTCACCTGCTCCTTCCACGGGTAAAATCTTGAAATAAATATTGGTCAACATTCCTGCAACAACTTGGGTAGTAACTTTTTCAATCTTAAGGATTTTGTGAGGATTAGAGTTTCCTGTCGTCTCCAGGTATTTTTGCATTGATTCTTCGGCTAGTTTCATGTATTTTGGATCAGTTGGATCCTGTTCTCTCGGTCCGCCAGGCAAGTCCCTCTTACTTCTCCACTTTCCATCTCCGATTTTACATGAAACGTCTATGTCTTTCTTCCCAATCCAAGACTGCTCCCATACTTTAGAAAGACAGCTGATTTCGTCACCTGCTCCTTCCACGGGTAAAATCTTGAAATAAATATTGGTCCTAGTTCCTGCAACAACTTGGGTAGTAACTTTTTCAATCTTAAGGATTTTGTGAGGATTAAAGTTTCCTGTCGTCTCCAGATATTTTTGCATTGATTCTTCGGCTAGTTTCATGTATTTTGGATCAGTTGGATCCTGTTCTGTCGGTCCGCCAGGCAAGTCCCTCTTACTTCTCCACTTTCCATCTCCGATTTTACATGAAACGTCTATGTCTTTCTTCCCAATCCAAGACTGCTCCCATACTTTAGAAAGACAGCTTATTTCATCACGGGGACCTTGCGTAGGCTTAATCTTGAAGAAAATTCTAGTCAATATACCTGAAACAACTTGTGTGGTTACCTTTTCGATTTCCACTATTTTATGCGGAATAGAATTATCTGTTGTCTCGAGATATTTTTGTAAGGATTCTTCAGCTAATGTTTTGTAGATTGGGTCAGATTTATCTTTTATTTCTTGTCCACCCACAAAATTTAAATTTGAAGATCTCTTCCTCTTCCGTGTCTCCGTCTTAAAGTCTAAAGAACCAACTGAATCGAAATAACTGAGAAAATCATCTAGTGATTTCTTCTTTTCTCCGCTTAAAGATGACGCTTTTTTTTCGTCTTTTTCTAAAGTGAATGAATTAGAATTAGATGTATAATGTTTCTGGGTTTCAGTTTTAGAAACATGTGAATTAGAGTTTTCGGTGTCTGAGGTTGATGTAATAACATCGTAATTCACAGTAGATGTGTCCAAGAAGTTATTATAAGAAATGATTTGCTCTTCCAAGCTTTTTATATCTTCTTCGGTTAAAGTTTTCTGGGTAAATTGTTGGGTTTGTAAGTCAGTATTATGTATTGCCTTAAGTATGTCATCCACTGATCCTGTATTAGCAATTTTATCATAATCTGGAATAGGTTTTTGCGATTCATCGTCGTTTCCTTGATCATTACTTGACGGATTAACGACATCATTACTTTCCCTGTTCCCGGCAGATATGACCTCGCCATTATCATCGAAAATCCATTCATCCGTGCAATTGTTCGCCACAATTGCTCTATACTTTGAGCCATCGTATGATCTCATCCACGGTTTCTCTAAAATGCTTACTTTACATGGCTTAACGAAAGAACATTCTTCTGACGGTTCATTGCTACAATTATTATAGTTAACAATTAATGTGAGAATGTACCTTACACCGTTGACTACCTGAAACAACCATATCACTAGATATAAAATTGGCAGTCAAAAATCTTCAAGTAACAGCAATTTACGTAAGTATGTATTTATCAGCATAAGCTTATATTTATAAGCAGTCGGAAAAGGCTTTATATATATAATAACTTAGACCAACCTGAACTTGCCTCTCTACTTCGACGACGGAACCCAATGAGTGTTTCACGTTTGGCTCGTGTCTGTCGAGATGACGAACGCCCATCACGGCCAACTCGTGGACACCGGAAGCTTGCGGGTTTACAAGAGAGGAGCATCCGACACACGGCACTCCCGGTGTTTCCCTCGGTACAGCGATGAACTGTTCCCCTGACGTAGCCTAAATCAAATAAAAAAGCTCTTTGAAGCATTTCTAACCTATTTTCAACTCGATTAACCGTAATATTCAGTTTACAATGAAAATGATAGTGAACCTGTGTCTTGCGCCAGAGGGTAGCTTCGATCCCCACTACCGGATTAAAATATTGTGTGATGAACATAGTGTTTTTCTAATGTCTGGGTGTTTATAACATGTATAATATTTAATTACAAAAGAAAAGTATGTTTAAGTATGTTTATCAGTTTTCTAGTACCCATAGTACAAGCGCTGCTTAGTTTGGGACAAGAAAATGTTGTGTAAAAATGTGTCCTAAAATATTTATTTAATCCATTTTTGAACAAAGACTCTTCTAGATCGTCACAATAAACTGCTCTTTGCCATTTGCATCCACCAGTCGCCCGCTGCCCTTGCAATATCTTCGGTCCACTTATAGGGAGGTCTACCAACCATACAACTTCTGATTCATTATCGCCGCTAGAGTTCTTCTTCCCCATCGGTCATCAGTTCTTCGGGGTTGCCACATTGCGGACCCGTCCATTGCCAATTCAACTTTCAGAGCCAGAGAGCGTGAGCAAAGACTCCGTATTGAACTATACGTATAGACCGATCACATTCGTTATTTCAGATTCATTTTATTATATTAGTTTAATATTTTAGTTTTGTAATTTCTCAGAGCCACCCAGGCTCAGGCCAGGTTAGGGCGAAAGGATGAGAAACCTTTTATTATTGTTTACCATGTTCTCCGCAGTGAAGGAAAATTATCGTGAGGTAAACTGCATATCTTCGAAATAATTTAAAATATATTTATTTCGAAGAAATGAAAAGTTTGCTAATCCCCACTGGTCACATCCAGAGCTGTCCCCTAATACCCTCTAAGATAAAAATGCAATGATTTATGACATATTTGCACAAAAACATTTGCATGCAAATAGTGCGTTTATACGAATGCATCTTTATCATAATCCGTCTCTAATTAGATAGTCACGGGCTTAATACGAAAAATCAAATGTCTCGGATGTCGGCTACATGAAAAAAAAAGTTATAGATATAAATTCATTGCACTTTCTTATTGAATTATAGAAAGAGACCAATACTAATTTCTTGAATTTGTCGGAACGCAACATATAATGTTAAGTGAAAGTATTTCTGGGATTTTATCGCGTCGCATGTTTATTGCAGAATACTTAACATTATTCGTTGGAAAATGCAAAAATATGTGTAGTTAAGTGATAAAATGCGTCACACCCGGCACCGCACATAAATACTTTGGAGCAATTTTCGAATCACGATTCTATCAACTTCAAAAATCAGTTATATTTTATTAGGAATTTTATTAATTAATGTTATTTTACTTCACTAAAGCCGCTGCCTAATCCTACCATAGAGAAAAACGTTAATACATGTATAATGACAAAATATTTATAGTTTCTAATGCATACGAATATTATTAATGAAAACCGACTTCTAATTTTTCGCTCTGTATTCATTTTATAATTGATTCTCAGGAGTTTCCTAAGTATCTCCGGAGCCCAAGATCCAATACCAATGAAATTAATTTGGGACCACGTGGCAAGCACCGGCTTTCAAATAAAAAAAGTATCGTCAAAATCTGTTCACTCAGTCGAAAGTTCTGAGGTAACAAAAATTAAAAAAAATATAGTCGACTCAATTCGACTGTATTAACCTCCCCCTTTTTATAAGTCGGTTGAAAACAATTCACGCTTTCCATGACTCGGTTGCATCTTTGAAACGTCGGATCGACAATGAGAACTTCTGTTGGTCAAGACTCGCAAATCACGACCTTTTTATCGTACGCACCCATTATCTATGTACGAGTGTTTCATTTATCATTGTATAATAACGTGCTCCGACTGAATCACTTGCTTAGGGAATGTACGCCGCCTGACACTATTCCCTAGGCACAAACGGTGTCGGTTGTCATAGTAATTTCTAGTGCGTGCCACACGTCGAATGTACGACCGACCGCAAATCTGACACCGTCAATAATGCATATTTTTGAGGTTATACTTCTTTGGTGCGTTTGGGAAAAAATATGAGAGTAAAATTTTATCGATGCGCGCGCACACCGACATCCAAAAAGCGACATGATGAATTGGATGCAAAGCGACCACCTTCGAACGACTTCACGGTATTACCATGGCAACCAATAACTATTTCACGTTTAACTATAATTCCAAGTTATTAAATTAAACCATTTGTTATCAATTGCATTTTATGTCCTTTGTAAAAACAAAGAGTAGATACTGGCACACGGAATTAAATTTTTGGTTATTTTTCTTTTGTTACACACGTACACACATACTTTTTTTATATGATTTCTTGTTGTGTAGTATTTTTAATTGTTAAAATCCTGACGCTCCGAAAATTTTATTTGGTCACGGGATAATTTGGGTTCGAGTTAATTTACCTACTAACGAGTTAATGAGGGCTACCGTCAATGATATTTTATACAGCAGATATGTTGTTGTTAACGCGCTCGGTGAGAAAAAGATTTAAATTATATTATTTATATTTAAAAATTATTTATATTTATATTATTTAATACAGGGACGAGAAAGACGAATGCACCTCGAGATTTTTTTTAATTCTAATTCTAAATTGACAAACAGTTGTCGTCCCTTTTCTTCATTTTGTGGCAACCTCCAACCATTTTCTCTATTGAAATTAGGATGTTTCTATTTTTCAATAGACTCGCGGACCACACTTGGGAGGTAGCACTGTCCTTTTGCGAGGATTTGAAGTAATAATAGTCATTTTAAATAGAAATGTTTTATGGATCTAACCGTTTTTAACTTGTTTTTTACATTCCGACGTTTCGAACACTTCAGCACCCATCGTCACAGGACTGACAGAGTTATTCCACGTCTAATGTAAAAGAAGGACAGGAACTACCAACTAACTAATAAAACTCCACCTCGATGTCCTCGATGTTCCACAACGGCGCAATTTTCAAGGCATTTTCTGCCTCGCACAACCAATCTGTGGAACCAGCTACCGCCGGCGATCTTTCCGAACCATTACGACCTGAGCCGGTAATCACTTACCATCAGGTGAGCCTCCTGCTCGTTTGCGTTTGCGTTTTTCCCATTATAGCTATAATATTACTTTTATGCAAAATTCTCGAAGCGTGAAATTTTTAATTACTCGAAAAAGAAAACGCGGATTCCTGTCGAATTTTACGCAAAGCCGAAAAAGTGGATGACGATCCCTGACCTATGCACACCGTCAAGGTCGAAAAGGCGCAACATCTTCTATCAATTACTGGAAATAATCAACAGCAATGACTAATGGCTAGTACGTCAGCTCGGAAATGTGGTCGTTTGAATCACACTAGCGTACATGTAATACATTTTACATGTACTTAAGTTTGAAAACGATTGTACTCGAACACTAAAAATTGTATTTTTTATGAGCTAAACGAGCAGACAGTTCACCTGATGTTAAGTAATGACCGCAGCGGATGGATATTTAAAATAACCGTAGATGCAGATACGTGTCCAGCTTTTGAATATGTGGACCCCGAGGTCACTCACGAGAAGAAACGCCAATTTAAAATACTTCCCCTTCACGCCGGTCTCCTACCGCGGAACTTCACCGGACGTGCCTACCCATTAGTGAAACAAAGGCTAAAGCCGCTGCCGAATCCCACCATAGAGAAAAACGTTAATACATGTATAATGGCAAAACATTTATAGTTTCTAATGCATACGAATATTATTAATGAAAACCGACTTCTAATTTCTCGCCCTGTATTAATTTTATAATTGATTCTCACGAGTTCTCTAAGTATCTCCGGAGCCCAAGATCCAATACCAATGAAATTAATTTGGGACCACATGGGAAGCACCAGCTTTCACATAAAAAAAGAATCGTCGAAATCGTTTCACTCAGTCGAAAGATCTGAGGTAACAAACATTAAAAAAAAAATAGTCCAATTGAGAGCCTCCTCCGTTTTTGAAGTCGGTTAAAATACAACGAACACGATGCACGCATGAGAGAGATAGAGATAGATGATGCTGGGATACGTCAAATAATTCATAACGAATGATGAAAATATAAACGATCACTTACGGTTTTCCCCCGCCAATTATTCATGTTGAACCGCGTCGAACGCATAAATTAAGTTTGTTACGGTCAACAGGTATGACAATACGCGATAAGATTAATGAATAACGATCAATTTATGAAACAAACGAATAGATACTTTGTGTGACGTATTACGACTGCAGTCGCTTTGTTTTGTAATTATACTTCCAACAAGAAAGTATAAATAGATATCCAGTAAGAAGTATTTTATCTTATTAACGACGAAGGTTCCGCAATTATTTATTAGGCATAATTCCTTCTAGAAGCTTTTATCTAATTGAATGCACTTTATAAATTTTTATTGAAATCACAGATTTATTCCAAGGTTTGTAATGATTTCCTTAGCGGCAAGTGTAACGCGTTACCTTTGTAACTATTTGTGGGATCTAATTAACATTTAAAAAGTCACAGTGGTTGAGGGAGGAGTGTAATAAAATGACTAGATTATAAATTAAGCTCGAAGTCATATTTTTAAATATATATTCAAACATCTCCCCTGTAGTAATAGTTTCGATATTAATGGATTAATTAATTATAAAGAAGAGTTATGAAAAATCCATTTCAATAAATCATACAATTTATTTACTTTACCGCTCATCTGGTATATGTTATATCCGTGTATATGTGTAACATTTGCAGCCCTACGTTCATGTGATAATGCAAAATTATTGTTCATCTTAAATAAAGGTTTGCATTCAATGCTTTATGACTCCGAGCCTTTAGACTATGAGTCTTTCGATAGTCCAATGGACAAGGCAGCGTATCTAGAGACTGGTTGGGTCAAAAGAAGGTCTGGTTCTGGAGGGAAGTTATGTACCGAACAACGGAATAATCGTTAATGATAGCTGAAGCGTACAGAAATCGCAAATCCTAGTACGTGAACCTCAAGAATAATCACAAAGTAGTAGGAAATGTACAAAAATTAGTTAATGGACAGTCAGGAGGAGAATTGTCGCTGCCAAAGTACGCAGTCATCACGGCTCTAAATTACTCCGTGAGCTCAAAATTGCCAGGCTTAGCTCTGCTCGAAATAGTGTGTCATGGACTCGAGGAGACTGAGAAAGAACATCTCATTACGATAAAGACAGACATCTGTGAGTGCTGCGAAGACTGCGAGAACAATTTACACAGGTATATTTTGAAGAAATCGGTTATGGTTGTGTATGTGGACCATGGTATATATTGACCACCTTATGGTTTTTTTTAATGTGTTGTTAAGTGAATACCACCGCCCATGGATATCTGCTACACCCAAGGGTTCCAGATGAATTGACAACCTTTTGAAAATTGGGCTCCGACCACCTCACTCACCCGTCGAAACGCGAAAGTATTATACATTCACTTTACGCCGGTCTTCTGTGAGGTCGCGGTACTTACCCGGACGAGCCTGCCCGTTCGTGCAAAGGATGTGAAAAAGTAGAGGGTTTGTTACGTTTTGGGCGGGAATAGGGTTTTCAGAGAGTTAGGTCAGTCTACATCGAAATCGGCACACTGATTATCACAACAATAAACGGCAGAAGTGTATGAGGAATCCGACAGATTCCTCGTGCACAAAATGGCGGCCTTGGCGAAAACTCAATCTTTTAAGGATAATCGCGTCAAATCAACAATGTGGAAGAGTAAATACTAGATTATTAATTTTTGTATCGATCTACGCAGAACATGATAATTTTCGTTTTTAGTTTGTTTCGAAATGCTATAACGCTATAAATCCGTAAAAAAAAAAGGAAAAAATAGTATTGTGTGATTTCGTCGTTTAGATCGGCCAACTGTAAGCTTCGACCTCAATCCTATTGAGCATGCTGTTTATGATAAAGAATGTTCCGAACAATCTGTAATGTTCTGAAGTGACAGTTAACATTGGTGCGGCGGCCTCTGCGGAGCAACAGAGACATATACAATGTGGTTACATATGCTGCAAATAAATGAGAAAATATTCACAAGTAACCATGGGATATACTTGTTATCATGCCCAGAAACACACTAAATTAATATTTTGTGCTTTCACTTTATTTAAAAAAATAAACAAAAACATGTGTTTCAATTTGACTTATTAAACAGTTACACTACAAGCGTTTTTAAATTTAAAATAATTTCTAAATGATTTAATATAAATCCTATGATAAAACTGACAAAAAATATTCCTTACTCATAAATTGATTTTTGCTTAGATGCATGTTTTTTCCTAGATTTTAATTATCATGTCTGTTTCTATATTAACCCTATTTATGAACCAAGTGTAAATTATTATTTTTTATGTGACAAAGTGACAAGAGAGCTGGTGGTACACCTGATGTTAAGCGATAACCACCACCCATGGACATTTGCAACACCCTTAAGGTTGCAGAAGCATTGCCACCTAAAAATAAAGTGGGCTGCGGCTACCTCACTCACCAGACGCAATGCAGAAGTGTAAAACTTCTACTTTACCACAGTTAATAAATCACTTCATAATAACTATATAATTATGTAAACTATATTTTGTTAAAGGAAATTGTTGAATTCCAATTTGGTGTAGGTGTGTGTTATAAATTGCAAAATCTAATGGTGTGTTCATTAAAAGGTAAAATTCAATTTAAAATATCATTACAATGCCATAAAAACTTTTGTGAAATCAAAATTTTACTATGAAATAACTTATGTTAAAGTATTATAACTATATTCTATCTATTTGAGAAAACTTGTAAATGGATATACATTTTTAAATTAATTGTATTTTACCTGTAAGTTTTCCATGTATAAATAAAATAAAATCAAATGCATTTACTTACTGCTGTATTGGTTTGAACTTCATTATCAAGTTGCACAGGTTGATGATTAAATTCAGGGGCTGGTGTTGTGCTACTTTGTTCTTGAGATACAATGTTCTCATTTTTAAAAGTTTCACTACTTGTTTGTTGGTCAAATTTCTCACAGTGGTAAGCATTATCCCCTATACTTATATCATTCTCTCCCTGTTCCTCTATTTTACCAGTACATTTTTCTTGGGAAGAATCATCAAGCTTGTGAAGAGCAGTGACTTTGAACCTGGCTTCAATCTTGTAATGGTTTTCATCCTGTTGTGAAATATTTATGAATTAAAAATAGATGTACTATCAAAATATTTAAAAATATGCATCTAGAAGCACACCCCCACAAACATTCAAAAGATATTACTTATTTATATGGATATATCATGGTCAAATAAATAGAAAGCATTTGCAATTTTACATAATTCAATCAATTGGATTTTTGTTTTTCGTACATCATTCAAAAAATAATTATAAAATAGGTAATCATAATTTTCTTTTTCAATATTATAAAACATATTCCAAGTTACATTTCATAATAATTATAAACAAAGGACTCATGATAAAACAATGAAGTGTAAAGATTGATAACCTTAGATTAAAATTAGAAAAAAATTCAATAACAACACTCACAATCTGTTGCGCATTTAAAATTACACCATCGTCATATGAGTATTGGCGATTAGGTAAATTGTTTAAATAATTAACAAAGCCATTTAAAAATTTCTCTTTTTTTTCAACAGTCAACTCAGCAAAACAAACTGATAGAAGAAGGCATTGGCTTAAAATCACATATATATTCGATCTCATGGCGTTAGTTTAAAACACAAACATCACTGCGAACATATTTTTTTAGAATGATTAAACTTTAGTTTGTGCTTTACGCTTACGTCAGGCTTTTATTTTTATTCGTTTCAGTACATAATCAAATCAACATAACAACATAGGTAGGACTTGACAAGTAAACTGTACGAATTTGATTGGTCTTGGTCTTGGTAATTTGGTGCATTCAGCTTTGTACGAATGAATGAAAATGGTGTACAGAATTAGCAAAAGATTAAAGCAAAAAATTAGATAACTTAAAATAATGATTTTTTTTTCTTTTCAAGTGTATATGCTTTTCTTGATGGCATTATAATTTTTTTTTCGTTATTTACCTAAATGGATAATCTTCATGAAAGTGTTTACCATTGTATTACATTATCGTTGGAATTTACTGATTCAATTAAATCATATTATATTACTTAGATTTTTATAGTGTAGAATGCTGGCTTTGATAGCTTCGTCGGAACAAGTCCACAGGAAAATGTCCTGCGAACTGAGAACAAGTAGCTGGTGTACAATGACGCCATCCCCTATATCTGCGACCCCTGTTATAATTCCACTAACAAGGATGAGCAAGACAACTCAAGGGTAGTTGGACATACTTTTTAGGGAAAAAGGAGGCAAACGGTTAAATGGGTCACCTGATTATAAGCGATCACCACCGCTGATGGACTTCAATTTTGAACCTTGAATTGGAACGCTATCGATAGGTAATGGAATCTTTCCGGAGGAAGTAAAGCGGTCGAAGTTATTGCGATTAGATCACGAGATAACTACATGGAACGATCACTTAGGAAAATAAAATTGCGACAACACTTATTAGACGAGAATTCAATTCTTTATGAAACACAAGCGTGATGTAAGGGATATATGATTGCACCAAGCATTATTTTAAATGCGAAGAAAAAATAAATTAGATAAAATACATGGTTTCGTTAAAAATTTTATTCAATTAATCAATTCAAAAAATGTACCATATCACTTGGCCTTGAGAATTGAGATTGTTCAATCATTTTGTCATTCACTTTTGCAATATTTGTAACAGATTTAATAAGATTTCTTAATATTTATATTTTATGGAATCTGTGCCCATCCATATACCGTTACGTTTGGTTACTTTTTGTTTAGATTTAGAATTTTTATAGATATTTACATAAGTATATTTACTTCGCACAAAGTAAAGTAATGAAATGAAAACTACGGAAATGTTATTTAATTTCTAAAGTTATATCTAATTTGATAATATTTTTTTAAATAATTTATTGGATGTTAAGACTATGACAGAAAAAGTTAAAAAAAGTTCACGCGGCGCATCTCAAAATAAAATGTACTTAAGTCTAAAAGTTTTTCATTATAATTACGTTGCAAATAATTTTTGGCTGCAGTCAAAAATACATATATGAAGCATTGTCTTATTTTATTTAGAACGATTATTAAAATATTTCAGTTGGTGGCTTACTTTTGGTCTTATATGTGCAGCTACATTTTTGACCCGATTTTATAAAGTACTAGAACCTGATCATGTATGGTAAGGTCGATTAAGTCTTTGATCACATTTCTGTAGTATTACTATAAATTAAATGGTCTCATTCTGTTATGGGCCTAATATTATTTTAACTTTGTAAAGACTATATCACATATTTTTTTATAAAACATGAGGCTTGCTCAAATACACAGAATGAATGAAATGTAGTCTTTTATATATATCTACATATTGCTTGTATGTAATAATTATATTCTAAGTTGAAACTTCATTATCTTACAGCTGGGATGAAACACATTTTGGCAAAATGGCAAGTTGGTACATAAATAGAACATTCTTCTTTGATGTTCATCCTCCTCTTGGCAAGGTATTATTTAAATTCAAAAATATTTGTTTCCCATACCCCAAGGATAAAACGGGTCCCTATTACTAATACTTCGTTGTCTGTCTGTCTGTCCATCACCATGCTGTATCTCATGAACTGTGATAGTTACACAAAAAATATTTAAGTTGGGCTCCCATACAACTGTCATAACTTTTTGCGATTTTTATAGAAAATGATATGGAACCCTTCATGCGGACTCGCATTTAGCCGGTTTCCTTTACTTACTATAAAATAGAAATACAAATTTATAACTATTGAAATAAATATTTAACTAATATAATTATTGAGTATATGCATATCTAACTTTTTAGTTATCTATTTTTCAGATGTTAATTGCTCTCTCAGGAAAATTATCAGGGTATGATGGCACATTTTCCATTTGAAAAACCAGGAGATAAATATGATGGTGCCAGATATGAAGGAATGAGAATCGTAAGCCCATATAAAGATGCATGAAACTACAACAATATTATTTGAGTCACTTTTTTAATTTTCATAGAACTATAATTAAACTAAGAATATAATTCTTAGTTTAACTCAAGAATTATAATTAAACTCTGAGCAGGGACGAAAACTTCGCAACTATTTTATGCACACATTTAATTTCATGGAATTATATTATTTTATGAATGTGAAGTATTAATAATAATTTTTATGATTAATTTTTATTTCAGTTTTGCACAACATTGGGAGCTTTAATAATACCATTAACATTTTTAACAATATGGGAGATGACACAGTCTCTCGATGCTACATGTATTGGAACTATTCTTTTGTTATGTGGTAATTAAAACTCTTAAAAATTTACTTCCTTTTAATATAAATAGCAACAATGCAATTTTTCTCTACTATTATCATGTCTTATTTCTTATTACAGATGTTGGTTTTTTGACACTCAATAGATACATACTGCTAGATCCAATTTTGCTATTTTTTATGAGTTGTGCCATGTATGGGGCTTTTAAGGTGAGTTTTTTTATTTATTTATATATTCTATATGTACAGTAGAATCTCACTAATCCGGAACTTCAATAGACCAATATGTCCAATAATCTGGCACCCTTCTCCTTGTTCCTTCGTTTATTTTGAATTTTTCTCTATAACCCAGTAAGTTTTCTCAATTACTGTATTCCCAGTCAAATTCACTTAATTTGTTTTGTCTTTATAATATTAAGAGGATTTGCTTTACTTCCTGATGTCTGATTATTTTTCTTTGTTGTTTCACAGGTCAGAACCTTAACTGAGTTGGGGCAACCGCCTTTTTCCTCCCGTATGGTGCTGTGGCAGCTGTTCCTGGGCTGGTCCCTCGCCTGCACCATGTCCGTAAAATTCGTAGGCCTGTTTGTGGTAATGTTTGTGGGTCTACGCACGTTAGTTGACCTCTGGAACATCCTGGGCGATTTGACTAAGCCGGTGGTAGGTACTACTTTTCCAACCAGACTATTAAACTAAAGTTAAAAAGTAAAAAATCAAGCTCTTTTATGATAGGTCGTAAATAACCTGGTGATTTGTCTGATATTTAGTAATGATTGCTACCAAAGGACATTTGAAACACCCAAGGAGTGTGCTCCAGCTACCATGCTTACCACCCTAAATGCAAAAATACAAATGCTTCTACCCTGTGCTAGTCTTCCATAAGGCAGTAGTACTTATCTGGATGAGCCAACCCATTCATGGCAGAGCAGTGTATGTATACCTTTGTGGAATAACATAGTGGGAAAGGACACACAAGGTTACACTGGGGATATCAGTGTGCCATTGAGCCATGAAGATCACCTTTTTTTTTTTTTTTTATGCGATAAGTTGTCAAACGAGCAGACGGTTCACCTGATGTTAAGTGAATACCGCCGCCCATGGACATCTGCCACACCCGTGAGTTACAGATGCGTTGACAACCTTTTGAAAATTGGGCTCCGGCTACCTCACTCACCAGACGAAACGTGAAAGTATTTGTCATACTTCCCCTTTACGCTGGTCTTCTGTGAGGTCGTGGTACTTACCCGGACGGGCCTGAGATTATGAGATATATGTAAAAACTAATTGTAATACAACCAATGTCGACGTTGCCCGCAATAAGGATGACTATGCCAATAAAAATATTAGTAATAGTGAAAATTCCCAAAAAGGATTAAAATTTCGTTTAATTGCGAGAAAACGTTCGAATATTCACAAAACTGTAATTGTTTAAATTGGTGGAGGGGGTGTGTTATGTCCTTTTCCCGCAAAACGAACATTTTTATTGCATATTAAACAACTGTTAATTACAAAGACATAAATTAATTATTACGTTATACTTTGGTGGCGCTTTCAATAGTATATTCAATATGTAGTAAGAATTCTCATTAGCAACAAGCAATCGAGTCAACGAATGCGGATGTATGGATGGATTGTGCGTAACCTTTTTAGGGTTCCATCCGTCCGTCCGTCTGTCACAAGGCTGTATCTCATGAACGGTGATAGTTAGACAGTTAAAATTTTCACAAATGATCTATTTCTGTTGCCTCTATAACAACAAATGCTAAAAAACAGAATAAAAAAATATTTAAATGGGGCTCCCATACAACAGATATGATTTTTTTTTCCGTTTTTTTGATGATGGTACGGAACCCTTAGTGCGCGAGTCCGACTTGCACTTGGCTGGTTTTTTTTATAGTAGATAAAACTTAGGCCCCCACTGCCCATTCAGTATTGTTTTAAATATATTGCTTCCAGACGCTGACATTGAAACATCTCGTTGGGAGAAGCTTGACGTTAATCCTCTGGCCTATCGTGCTGTACGTGTTCTTTTTCTGGATCCATCTCAATGTTTTGAGCAAAAGGTATGCGTGAAAAGTTGACAACTTGAATAGTGCTTATTTGTTTTTTTTTATTTATTTGGGATAAATAAAAGCACAATAAAGAAAAAAGAACTTAAAGTAAATATAACAATACGAACTCACCAATTGTGACACTTACACCATTTACCTCAGATTCTTCTTTTTCCGTTATGGCGGTTTTACCACACATTATTTGTTAATTTTCCAAAATTCAGAGATAAACGTCAATAACAAGCTATGAATCTAAAAAGTATTCAATTTAATACAAAACTTTTTATATCATCAACCTGTTTTGCAGTGGCAATGGAGACGGATTCTACTCATCAGGCTTCCAGGCCCGACTGGAGGGCAACAGTTTGCACAACGCCAGCGCGCCCAGGATCTTGGCATACGGTGCTCTCATCACCTTGAAGAACCACAGAACTGGGGGTGGCTACTTGCACTCGCATCATCACCTCTACCCAGCAGGTGTCGGGGCTAGGCAGCAACAGGTTAAACGTCTATGCCTTTAAGTTGTAATAGTAGCAGTTGTTACTGTTACACAATGTCAGCTGTGGTAGGGCCACGCAACAGTCTCCCCTGTTGCTCGAATGGGCAGATCCGTCCGGTAAGTAGCACAACCTCCCAGAAGACCGGCGTCAAGTGGAAGTGTTACGTGAGCGAGTAAGCCGGCGCCCTCTTTATGTAAAGGTGGGCAAGCCTACGGGTGTTACAAATGTCATCATCAGTTGACTGATGAACATGAACCGTCCGCTCGTTTGCCACCTTCTCAAATGTTTAAAAAAAAAATGCCCGCAGATAACGACGTACACGCACAAGGACGACAACAACCGCTGGCTGGTGAGGCCGTACGACCGCGAGCAGGCCGCGGGCGTGGCGCTGGTGCGCAGCGGCGACCTTGTGCGGCTCACGCACGCCGCCACCGGCCGCAACCTGCACTCGCACAGGGAGCGCGCGCCGATGTCCGCCAAGCTGATGCAGGTCACCGGCTACGGCGAGGTGGGCGTCCATCTTCCTTTTTTTTTTACGTGGGTTAAAACATTTACTGATCCCCCGCCGCCTTGTGGGGTACCCACTAAAATGCCACATTGCACCTGTCCTATCGCTTTTGCCGGGGACACGGGAGCATGGAAACGCAATCTTCCGCGAACCCCGGCGCGACTGTGGCCTTCTCAGGCCTGCTCTCTCCGGGTATTTGCGGGTATTGCTCCGGGCGTCCGTCTTACTAGCTTAACTCTAGCTGATTTTCGATGTCTTGTATTAACTGATGTAAAAGCAGAAAGATGTGAAAGCAAAAGCTTTCAGTCCCGAGACTATTAAAGCTTCATCTGACGCAGAACCTGTGGGCTAGCCAGAACCCACGGGTTTGGTGGGCCCTCCGCTGTGAGTAGAGCCGCGCATGTGCTCATGCGTGCGTTTAACTATGGTATGTCATGTAAAGGCCATCGAGGTTGTGTTTCGGACCGGGACCCCGATGGCCGTCGACTGTAATTTAGCTAATCGGTTGCTGAGGGCGGTGAGAACCGCCCTGGAACGCGGGTGTACTTTGTGTACGCGTTGTGTTAGTCTCGCCGTGCTCGGAGGCGAGGGCGAACTAATGTGTTTGTTGCTACACTAACTATGTGTATAGTGTTATCCGGCGGGACCTCCGACGGTGGGTCCGACTTATCTAAGTCCTCCTTTCCTTCCTCGACCGGGTCGTTGAGGACGTTTTGCGGGCGACGCTTGTTGACGTTCGCGTTTGTGTTGCGTCTAGAAAATATGACATGATGAGGTTGGTTCCAAAGCGACCAACTTCATGGTACTACCATGGCAACTGATAACAACTTTTTAAATGCTACCTATAATTACTAGTTATTTAATTAAACCATTATCTATATTATGGAGCAGCCCTAGTGAAGTTTATTGATACTTTGATGGCTCAGCCAAGGTATTTAAGCGAGTGTCTGGATGATGTTGGTTAAGTTGTATCTTGGGATATCGCCCGTGTACAGTGAAGCGACAAAGGCAAGACGCAGTAACGCCCACCGTGAGAGGTCGGCCCTAGAATATTGTCCTTGGAGGATCTAACTTCGAACTCGCAATCGAAATACCATTAAATTGACAGTTTGTACTTAAAATTTATTGTACCAGTATTTATTGTAGGATGGCATTGGAGATGCTAATGATGTTTGGAAGATTATTGTCTCTGGTGGAAATGATGGCGACGAAATTCAAACGGTGCGCAGCAAACTTATGTTTGTACATTATTTGCAGGTCAGTAAGAATATAACCAGTTACAACAAAGTATAGGTAAAGAGACTAAATAGAACTATCTAATAATCTAAACGAAAGCTTATCTTTGGTATCTATTAATATGTTATTAGATTACAATCGTTTTAATTTAAATTAATTGTATAATAGAGTGTTACTAAATTTATATTATATAACAATTGTTAGATAAAGATGTCTGTATCATTTATAATATTATATAAATTATTAATAAAATATAAAATTTACTTTTTCAGGCTTGTGTACTAACCACAACTGGTAAACAGCTACCAAAATGGGGATATGAACAACAAGAAGTTGCCTGTAATCCTAACTTGAGAGATAAGAATGCACTGTGGAATGTAGAAGACAATATATTTGATGATTGTGAGTTAAGAATTTTAAATTTCCCTTCAATATATTTTTTTTAAATATATTAAAAAGTATACAAGTATACTTAATTATAGACACATAGACTTTAGTAGTACTAAATCCTAAGAATATGTGTGTAGCTAAATATATGTATGTTACATATTAGAAAGTACTTCTGAAAGTAAATAGAATTATGTGGTTAGTAAAATGAAAATTTTCATTCAATGAAATTTATTAATCCTTTATTTTTTTTTCCAGTACCCAAAGTTAGTTTCGAAGCTTATGCCTCTGGATTCTTTGAAAGGTTTTTAGAGTCGCATGCAGTTATGTTACAAGGGAATTCCGGTCTCAAGCCGAAAGAGGGCGAGGTCACTTCGCAGCCCTGGCAGTGGCCAATAAATTATAGAGTGAGAGAACATTAATTTATTTTATTGTAATAATTAAAACCTACTTATTGTATTGCGTAATCAAATAAACATATTTCAAATATGTACAATGCACAAAGAACCTGAGTATTGCACATAGAGACATATGACATTATACATAACTTACTACACTGGCTCAGCCTTTGGGTTAAAGGCGATCTTGGCGTCAGACTGGCGTTAAAAACGCCACAGCTCGATATTCTGAGCTATTTCTTGCCAGTTGGTTGATTGTTGATTGAAGTGCCCAACATCGGCGAAACGAAGGCCGCGAGACTGCGGTGGGTCGGTCCCTTGGAGGGGATTGGTAAGGATTGTGCCATCAAGAGAGCATATATGTAGCAACCGAAAGGGAAACCTGTTGGTCGCCACAGATATCGCTGGGAAGATGAAGTCCACAAAGATTTGAGCGCTCTCCGCATTATAAATATTAATATGGCATTAGGTATTGATTAGGCAAATTGAATTTGATAACTTGAGCAAACTGAATTTAAAGCCTGACATTGGCAGCAGTTGCAATTAAAGTGTTTTGTGTGTGCATTCATCGCATAAGGAAATCTCCACTACAAAAAGAAACAATAATTTTTTTTTTAAATCTCGCCGCTTATCTTTCTCTCTGTAGAAGTAGTGCATGATGTTATAGGTTATTAATTTATGATTTTGCCTTACAGGGTCAATTCTTTTCTGGCAGTGGCCACAGAATATATCTGCTTGGAAATCCTATAGTCTGGTGGACCAACTTAATTTTCTTGATTGTATTCTTCATAATTTATGTCATCAATGCAATTAGAGAGAAAAGAGCTCAGGCATTCGGATTAGAGATACAAGGTAAAAATAAGTTATTTGTTGAAAGTTAAATTATTTTTTGTTACAGATAATATGTCAAATTACAATATTTGAGAGATATTTAATATATGAAACTTTAACCATACTTTTTTTTGTTAAGTGCAAAGTTGGCATGCAAACAATTGGTTCACCTGATGTTTAGTGTAATCACCAAAGCCTATAGACATTTAGTTATTTGGGGTGCAAATGCGTTTGCCAACCAGTGGCCATAGTTACCATACTCTACAAACGAAACGCGAAAACATACATACCCTACCTACACTTCACGCCGGTCTTCTTTGAGGCCGTGTTACTTCCTCAGGCAAGCCTACAAAAATGAAAAAGCAGCAGCTGCTGCCGTGGCCCTACCACATCCACGTGTTTTGCAAACAGCAACAACATCAAAATTTTTATCATGTTATACTACTATTTATCTAAAATTAATTTAAAAAAAAAATTTCGAAGATATGTGAAGTCCCAATCCGCAGTGGGGCCGCGTGGTGGGCTATGCCCTGATACCCTCTGTATAGAGGAGGCCTTTGCCCAGCAGTGGGACATGTATAGGCTGTTACTATACTATATTTTTTGTATGTGAGAAGGTGTCAAACAAGCTGGCGATTCAACGGATGTTAAGTGATAACCGCCAACCACTGACATTTGCAACACCCATAGGGTTGCAGATTCGTTGCCACATTTTAATATAGTGAGCCCTGGCTACCTCACTCGCCGGACGCTACGCAGAACTATAAAACTTTCACTTCACGTCTGTCTTCTCTGAGGTTGTTTTACTTACCCACATGGACCTGCCCATTTGTGCAATAGTGAGGACTTGCGTGGCCCTACCACAGCTAAAGTTATTACTACATTTATAGTATTTTTAAAATATTACATTCATATTTTTTCTAAAATTATTTTTACATTTCATACAAGTTTACGTATATTATTTTAATATATTTAATGTTACAAGCTGGCGATAACCGCCAACCACTGACATTTGCAACACCCATAGGGTTGCAGATTCGTTGCCACATTTTAATATAGTGCTGGCTACCTCACTCGCCGGACGCTACGCAGAACTATAAAACTTTCACTTCACGTCGGTCTTCTCTGAGGTTGTTTTACTTACCCACATGGACCTGCCCATTTGTGCAATAGTGAGGACTTGCATGGCCCTACCACTAAAGCTATTACTACATTTATAGTATTTTTAAAATATTACATTTCATACAAGTTTACGTATATAATATATTTAATTTACAGATGGACAAGAAAAATCTCTTTTAAATGCAGCTAGTTGGAGTTTTATAGGTTGGGTATTGCATTATGTGCCTTTTTGGGCAATGGGTCGCGTTCTCTACTTTCACCATTATTTTCCCGCTCTCGTCTTCAGTTCTATGCTTACTGGTAATTTTTTTTATTAATACTGTTGCTGTAATGTTTATGAAATATCATATTTTGCACTAATTTAAACAATTACAATTTTATTTTCAAATCCAAATGGTCATAAATTTCATGGCTTAAAAGACTGAGTATTATATAATTCATTTTAATTTCAGGTATTTTAACAGAATACTTGTTGAAAAGTGTTAAAAGCTACATAAGTTTGGAGCTTGGTAAGACTGTGTACCATTGTGCTATGGGGTTGATAATTTCTACCACAGTTTACAGCTTTTACCTGTTTTCGCCATTGGCATACGGCATGAGCGGACCCTTGGCACATGAGCCCAATTCCACAATGAGTGGGCTGAAATGGTTAGAGTCATGGGAATTTTAACAGTTATAAAAATGTTATAACCATTACAATGCTATATGCGATACAATACATTCATAGACAAAATACTCTTTTAATACATTTTTATAATGTGAAAATAAGTTCATTAATATCTATACATGTAAGTAACAAATTATTTTTTATTAAGTAGCTACTACTACTATTTTGATACTAGAAATGACATATATAGATCAGAGTTGCTAAGGTAAGCCAATTAAAAATTGTGTCACAATTTTGATTATTTGCAATCAGTTGTTTACTTATAATTGTAAGATTAATTTATGCAGCCATTTTATTTAAAATTGTTACTTATATATTAATAGTAGCCTTTTTAAATATTATATCAATGCAGATGCAGCACAATTTAACTGAGCACTGTTTTTAAAACATTTCTGTTGTTTTACAATTGATTTTATGTTTATTAGTTTAAATCTGACATTTTATGAGCTGACATTATATTTTAAAACTGGTTAGTATGAGGATTGGTGTGAGCCGAGTTCAATAATGTGATTATTTATCAATATGTATATATTTTAGTAAATCCTCTGTCTTTTATTCAAAGACAGATCCAGATGTGAAATGAGACATTTTGTATATTTACCATACATTTTCAATTGAAGAAGTGAATCATATTATAGAGACTAAACAAGTTTGTTAGATCATAATTATCATGGTAAAACATTTTTCGTCCAATTTTTTTGTGCTTAAATTATTAGAGTGATGATCTACAAATGTTGGTATATTTAATAATGAAACTGAACATTCCGTCCATGTAATATAAATAAATAAATTTGTATTTTCTATTAACATGTATTATACAAATTGTTAAATTAAATGCTTTTTTCCGATGTTATTGGAATCTTATTTAATGTTTTTCAGCGTAATCTAGTGAAAAATATCGATAAGTCGATATATCGATATTTTTTAACGATGTTTTTTTATTATTTACATTTCCAAGCCATTCAAAATTCGTGAAAAAGAAGATATATAAAGAAAAAAGTAATATTTATTCATAGTCGACTCAATCAACTACAATTTATTTTAACCAATAATCATCTAATATGCACGTTATGAGCACCCTCTGTTTATGTTGTGCTCCACTGTCAAACGGATTCTCTTGTTGGTTATTGTCAGATTCACAGCTGAATCAACCTTTCTGAATACACCAAATAGGCCTGGCAAATCAAATATTTAGGGTTAACTTTTGAATTTAACTTCTTTTTGAGGAGTTTTTTTTGTAAATTTATTAATTTTTATTTAATAAAATTGTAAAATATTAATCAATGAAACGATTAAGAACTCATTGAACATCGCAGCATTAAATATGCATGTGCATGGGCAAAAACATCGATATTTTTCCAAATAAATATCGATATATTGGAAATAAAAATATCGGCGATGTATATCGATATTTATTTGGAAAAATATCGATGTGTTTGCCCATGCACACTGTCATAAGCATCAGCTTTAAAATATGTAGAAAAAGTACGAAAAGATTGTAGCCGCTATGGGAATCGAACCCACGTCTTCGGCATTCGCGGCCTGAAGCTTTAACCACTAAGCTAAACGGCTCATTACCACACCGACGAAATTTTACGTCTTATCTACATTTTTTTTAGTATTTGACGCAATGCTTCGTACTTTTTCTACATATTTTAACGTGTTTCTTTTTTAAGTGCAGAGATTAGCACTTTAGATTACTGTCATAACCTCTTTCTTTTTCTTGCATTTGTCTTCTGGCTTTGTTAGAAAGAGAAGTACGGATGTTACCATAGAGTAACAACAGTTGCACAACTTTTATTATATTTATATTACATATTTGCGTGAAAGAGTAACAAACATCCATCCATACATACAAACTTTCGGCTTTATAATATTAGTAAGGATAAGTAACAGGAACAGCCATAACAGGCATTCGATTTTCCCTAGTTTAACTCGCACATAATTCTGTTACTGTTATGGAAAATAATATCGACGATAGGGATGTCGAAAAAATATCTATATTTTGGATTTTATATATCGATATTTTTAGCCAATATACTTGGATCCGATAAATCGATACAGAATATTCAATTCGAAATCGTATCTTAAAAGATATTTTTTCAAATTCGAATCCCATACACAGTCCGGATCCGGATATGACAAATATTTAATACCTTTTTTGGGCAACGGGGCCTAAAGAGAAAATATCTATATTATATCTAAGGCGATATTGATAATTTTATAAAAATATTATCTTAATGATCAGAATGATCAATTCAAAGAGTTTAATCCAAAGATCTTATTTCTAAGTAAGATCGTTTATAAGTGTAAGGTCTTTGGTTTAATTATCCTTTTGGCAACTCAAATGACATTTGATATACGTCCTATTTTGTTGTCTGTTGCTGGCCACTGTACTAATTTGACTGTTTACACTACGACAAGTGACGAGTCAAGTGCCCCGCGGGGGTTAAGCAAGCGCGCAAGGGGTGCACTTGCACCAAAAAATAGAAAGCAATTCTACTTGGGTCTAGTTCCAAAGCAGCTTCCAAGCCAAGTTGGCTACTGTCCGATGGTTTACACCACTGTACTTACTCACTGTACTTGTCTTCTTCACTAAACATTTGCCCGATGTGAATCAGGCTTGAGTGATCCAAAATAATGTCCAGCGCAGAATTAATAATGAGTATCATAGATTTTTGTCACATATAGAACTATACCACAATAGTCTTATTAAACGGTTTTATTTAGCTTGACACGTACGGAATTTATTTGTTTATTTGGGTCAAAATTAGAAATTGAAATTTAAGCACCTTCCCGTTGTCAGATTGATCTGAAATTTGGTACACACATTTAATTTAGATGACAATACAATATTGTAGTTTTCAGTGCACAAAAAAAAAAACAAAATAAAATCGTTTAACTTAAAAGTTTTTAAACGGTTTTATTTTCTCGATACATATGTTACGTATCTATCTATCTGTATATCTAATACATTTAAACGAGAAATTCTTGTATATGTAATATAATGTGAATCTCGGAAACGGCCTCAACTATTTTCATGAAATTTAGCATTATTTTCTCTGCCGCTTCTGGGATCACACATGTCTTTGAGTGTTGATCAAAAGTTTCTCAAAATGAATTCATTTGATTATTATGTTACTACATCGTGTCTCCCTATTATTTTCACTGTATTAGTGATACCTACACTTAGCGATTGGCCCAAGGCATAAACAATGGTTTAGCATTGTGTTTCGACAATTTATCTAGTAAAGTCATATTTAAATTTGAGCTCAAGTTCAGATTAACAATAATAACTAAAATTATGCATAAAATTTCAACAGCAAAGTGTAGGACACGTAAATGTGTCGGTATACTGTAAACTAGTGTAGTAGTTTACTGGTGGCGCCATACATTATTAGAAATTCCAAATAAAAATTAAGAGTCTTCTAGATTTCGCGTAGTGAGGATATCTGCCGCTTAGTTCAGTGGCCAGACTGAGGTGACGCTGACGTGTTAGTTTATAGGTGTGCGTTAGCTGACGCAGGTTCGTATTCTGGGGACGGGGAAAATTTTTCAACTATTTGTCTATTAAAGTGACATTTTAATACTCTTTTAATATTCTAAACTATAGGACAAAGGGTGCATTATCACCACGTTGTCAACCTCCTCCACCTCCCCTGTGCCGTCCTCTTGACAGCGTCTGCGACGCGAATGAAACTCAGCGAAAAAAAATTGACAAATTGATAAGGGTTGTCAAGACACGACCTCCTTCAGTTGATGTTTTGAACCTCAGCATGGACCGTTATTAGAACTAGACCGTTTGGAGTCTATCGATAAGAAGAAACAAGGTCGAATTTGCTGTTTAATCTCAAGATATATCATTAACAATATATATAACAATAACAATATATAATAATCAAGATATATACAATTGCTTATGGAAATTACGTAAATAATTGTTTTAAGTGAATTAAAGTTTTATAGTATATAATACTTGCTCATTGCAAATTAATTTCAATAATTATTTCTCCTCAACCAAATTATTTACAGATTATATATTTGATCGGAAAAACTTTTTAATGTGACATCAAAGATTATAATTTTTGACTCTGGCCATGTCATGGGTAAAATATTTGACGTAAAAAAAGTATAATTACAAATGGCGTTTACGTAGAATAGACAGATGTGTTCACGGCCACGATGGGCGATGATTCTTTGATATTACGAGAAGATGGTTATATACGTATGAACTTTCCTGTTACATCTCTAACGTATCATAGTAACTTAAACATAATTTTGGTGAAGACTGACGTCGGTGGTGTACACGTTTTGGATGTGAATTCTGGTGTGATTCTTCAGTCATCCTGTCTAGCAGCGGGTAAGTCGAAAACGCTTTGATACTTCTGTAACTATAGCCAGTTATATATTAGCATCAGTAGTCGAATTTATAAAATTACTCAGTATCAGTCATTACTATGTTAATGTTTTTCATACATGATTTTTTTCGTGTCCTACATTGTTTCTGACTTTGACAGATTTCGGTAAACAATTCCGATTATGCCGGATTTTTATTGTATTTTGTACATATATTTACTGGTTATTTTAAGATGAGGGAGGTGCACTTGGTGTAGAGTATGCGTCGGGTGCCGACCGGGTGTTCGTATGGGATAGCAGTGGTGTGGGCGCTCGGACAGACTACAATGGGGTACTGTTGCTACTCACGGCTTTGCAGCGACCATTGCCTTCCTCCCAATCTGACAATATAATAAGGATTGAACTTGTCTTGTCTGAGGTATGACTATTTTTTTGTTTAAGTTTTAAATATAACACTGTCATGATTAAATGTATATTCATATGCATAATTAATAATTATATATGAAATTAAACATACCAACAATATAATCTGATATTATTATAATCTGATATTGTTATTGATCAATTGGCTAACATTTAATCTATTTTGTGAAATTAATTTTTGTATGTTGGATATTGTTGGTTTTTAATGATTTATACTGTAGATGAGACTAATCAACTATTATGAAGTATTGTGCTAGAATGATCATAATTTTTTTTATAATTTTCTACAGATTACTAGTTGTTTATGTCTATTAATTATATGATGTTTATGTCTATTAATTATATGAAGCTGACTAGTTATAAACTGTTAGATATAAATGTTAACATTATTAAACCTATTGACATTATATTTTTTTTTTACTTTTTGTTAATGCAGAATCTAGTGCTTACATTGTGTTCAGAACTGATAAAATTTTTCAACTTATGTAAAATTTTTCTTTTGTACTGGAATTGTGTTGCTAGCGAGTGAGATAGAAAAAAAGATATGGTTCAAGCCCTTTGATTACTTTTATCAATGAAGAAGTGAATGATTGACAATGGACACACATTTCAACTCAGTAGCTCAGAGAGAGATATATATATATATATAAAACTGCAAATTACAGAAATTAAAGAATGAGATAAACAATACAAGATATAAGGCATGATCATTATTATATTTTCATTTTTTATTTCTTGGAAGGGATGTATGAATATATTGCTCTAGAGTTTATGGTGCTAAGGGTAGAAGTATTGTCTGCTTAGGATATCCTAGGTAATTGATATTAATCAAAGTGTGGTTAGCCTTCACTACAAAATTATTATATGTAACTAAATAAGCATGGTGTGGATGAAGAAATGAAAGAGAAAATCATAGGTTTCAAATTGGACAAGGACAAGGATTGTGAAAAGTAAAATGTGGTAATATGTCCCTAAAGTATTTGAGTATTCATGTACATATTCTATATTTCAGAGATTTTTCATGTCTGATGATCACCAATCAGTTAAGTTTTATATGTTAACTCATTGGAATAATTAGAAGTAATCATTTAAGTTATTGAGCCGTGATAGCTCAGTGTCCGGGGCTCGCCTTAATTCAATATACTCGAGCAACCTGAGTTCAATCCCCGGTGCCGGCACCAATGAAGTTTTTAACTTTAAGTGCTGACTTATCACGTGCTCCGCGGTGAAGGAAAACATTGTGAGGAAACCTGCATATTTTCAAAATAATAACAAAAAAATATATATATTTCGAATATATGTGAAGTCCACCAATCCGCAGTGGGGCCGCGTGGTGGACTATGCCCTGATACCCTCTGTATAGAGGAGGCCTTTGCCCAGCAGTGGGACATGTATAGGCTGTTACTCTTTTTAAGTTATTATGCTCTTTACAATGTTCCTTTATATTATTTAATCTTATGTAAAAGGAAATGCCACTTTCAAAATGTGTTAATTGAGTGTTTTGCATATTCATTCCATCTTCTCATTGCAAAAAAGGCAAAACAGTTTAAGAATACAGGTTTAAAAAGTTTATTATTGTATCAGGCAAATACCTCTGTGCCATGTCCATGGTGTAGACCCACTGAGTATCTTGCTTGTGATGGCTACCATTTATTTCAATTAAAATATTTTTTTATGAAAATGATGCCAACAGGGAAGTTCATAAATAATATTTTAACTTAAATAATAAACTAAATCAAGTCTCTTTGTTACAAGTTATTAACATTCTCCATGCAGCTGCTTCGGCTGTTGCACAAATGGGCAGGCTTGTCCACAGAAGTACCACGGCCTAAAAAGATATGAAGTGGAAGTATGATACATTAATGTTTCATCTGAGGTAGCCAGGGTGCACTTATTTTAAAGGTTCTCAATGCATCTGCACCTCCTCAGGTGGAAGTTGTAGAAGTCCATGGATGGTGGTAATCACTTACCATCCGGTGAACCGTCTGCTTGTTTGGCAAATTTTCTCATTTTTTTTTAATTGAGTTTTCACCTATCTTTTTTATCTTAAGTTTTCACCTGATGTTAAGTGAATACCGCCGGTCATGGATATCGGCTACACCCGAGGCTTACAGATGCCTTGACAACCTTTTGAAAATTGGTCTCCGGCTACTTCACTCACCAGACGAAACATGAAAGTATTTGTCTTACTTCCACTTTACGCCGGTCTTCTGTCAGGTCGTGGTACTTACCCAGACGAGTCTGCCCATTCGTCCAACAGCCGAGGCTGCTGTGTGGCCTGACCACAGTTAAACCTCATAAAAAAATTAATAGTGAGTGGAGTCCCTCCGCGCGGAAGAAGTGAAACTTCGAGTGCCATGCATTCGCTCTCGCTCTGTCTCTTTCTATTCCCCCTCCCCACGAGCGTTGAACGCAACTACTAATGCAACAGTCCTTTCATACCCCGTCCGTTAAATGTACATTGTTAACGCCAATTTTTGGAAGTCGCATTAGAAGTTTCACTTCAAAAACATGGGTATTTGCTACCAGATTCCCTACAGGTTGAGAAAATAAAATGTTTATTTATTTCCAAGGACTTAAAAGCAATTTACTTATTGTACCTTCTATTGCATGAATAGTCTAAATCGAGCAGAGAAGTGCCACAGACTCATTCAAAACACCACAATGTTAAAGTATTTGTAATTAAGCATTTGGTCTCGGGGGTTGCGCAAAATACACATGTAACTCCTCCAATGTTGGTAAGTTGTGGGTAGCCATGGGTGATCACTGCTATGACTTACAATAACTAAATGCTCTTATGCTTTACATTATAATATCCTTTAAATAAAAAAAGCGCTCATGTTAATGGCAGCAGAACAATTATTCAATATGGTAAAGGTTTGTTGGATAGTTATAGAATATAGTAAGCAAAGAAGGTAGTAAGCTTGGTGGAGGTTTACCTATAGGGTTACAGTTTATTTGCTACCTAAATTTGTTTGTGTTTATCAAAGATTATAATTGATCAGGCTTACAGATTATTTGCTACCTATGTTTATTTGTGTTTATCAAAGATTATAATTCATTAATCACCCAATGTTTTGCTACTTTAAAAGAGCTTGAGTCTTGTGGTCTTAGTATTTCCCATTAAGTTAAATTTTAATTTGAATGAGTGCATGTGCACCTGTGACTTTGGATAGTAACCATATCAGTGAAGTTAACATGTCAATGTTTATCAGATCAGATCAGATCAGCTATTACCCGCGCCTCATGCTCAAATATTCCGGGTTCAAATTCTAGTTTCAGTACAGTAATCTCCTTCCCGTTTGAATATGAAAATGAAGTAGAAGACTATAATTGAAACTAATTTCACGGGACAGACCCGTGACCATGAACGCTGTAAAGGGTTCGAAACGTCGGGAATAAAATTAAAAATAAACGCGATAAATCCGTAAAATTAGTTTCATTTATAATGTGTAATCGCGTAAATACAAGAAATTATTATGAAGTAGAAGACACCTGCATAACGCAAGTTTTTGTGGGTGGTATGATGGGCTAAAATTTTTTTTAGATGTGGGAAAACTAAATTATTCAACTGACTTCAAAGTACTTAAGTTTTTATTAAATGTGGGACAACTGTATTATTCGATTTTGTGTCCATATGTGGACGCGTTATTAAGTCACGGTGAAACTGCGATATACGTTTGAGCGATACTTCAGATGCGGGTGAAACTTGCACGGGTATTGCGTGTGTCGTGTATAACACATTGCAATGCTAAAATCCCGAATTATCAATGGACGCCGTGACATTATATATTTTCATATTATATTTCTAGCCAATTTCATTTTTAGAAAGTGTGAGGTATAAATGTGTTTCAAGTGGTAATTAAAAATTTGATTGTAATAATGATAAAACGCACACTCGTGCGGCAGTTTAAAGTGCAGTTTAGAGTTTGGATGATAAGCGAAAAAATTTAATGGAAATATTTTACAAATGCCTGAATATTGTAGCTCCTTTTACTAGTAATTTTTTTTTGAATCACGGTGATGTGTTGTTTGATGGTGGTACAAAAACATTACACGGTGGTGTGTGTGATGTTTTCGTACAGTTGGTCTATTTTGTCTTATCCTGTGGTCTTTACAAATAATCTTAACGGCTCATTACGTCGCCCACCAGGCGGTCATCCTGTACCAATGCGTCCAAAGTCTGGATGTGCTCTCGATCGAGGGCCTGTCGGACTTCATCAACGCACTAAAAAGTGCCATCGATGCCGCACCAGTCCGGAAAGGCGTCAAGGCTCAAAAGGTAAACATCATTAACATTTTTAACTGCAGAAAACGGTTGAACAGATAACTGATAGCAAACAATTTTTACCTGATCACCCGAAGGAGGGTAATATGAGTGTTTGTGTAAGTGAACATTTCCATTGCATGATCTGTGGTTTTAACAGTTTGATGGATCGAGACAAAAAAATAAAGAGTTTTGATTCCTTTTCATTGGAGTGATGCATAGGTTTTTGCAGTCGTTTTTTGTATAATTTAGTTTATATATCTTGTTATTATCCATTAAAATATAAATCAGAAAATTAATGTAGCTAGTTCATGTTATTGTGTTTCCGATACAATAATGATATAAATAAAAATTGGACTAATTGATAAAGTTCAAATTTTTAACAAGTTAAAGCAAATAATAATAAGTTAACTATGTGAGATATATATAGACCTAAGAAAATATAAAACCTTTATTATATAAATAAAGTATAAACATCCCTTACACTTACTCTTTTGCAAAGTGTGTAAACAATGTTTTTGATTCTTAGTGATTTTTTTGTTATGAAACAATGGTAAACTTTTAATGGTTCTCCTTTATTTTGTTCATAGATAATGTTATTAATTATTTTTGGATTAGATTAAATTTTTTTTTTATTTTAGACCTTTAATTGTAATTTAAGTAAGAACAGAAATGCCTCTGTGAGTCCATTTTTGTACACTATCCTTATAGAATATGTTGAGTTTGCATATCATGATTTAGTCTCGAAGCCCAACTAAACAATATGTATATAATATTTTATTTAGTTCTATTTTATTTTCATGTAAGTTTGTTGTCTTTATCTCCAGACTTTGCCCCTCTGACCATGTTAGCTGATAGATATTTAAAATAATCTTTTAATTCTTAAGATCCTTTTAAAAAAGCTGTGTAAGCTAAGTCGGTGGTAGCATACGGGATAGTTCGAATTGCAAGTAAAAAATAATAAAAAATATAATTTCTTTACGAGGTAAATATTGTCACCTTGATTAATTTGTATGTAAATGGGACCGATGTTTCATTGCAGTGGAGCACAGTTACCATCTCGCTGCCACAATCCACCTTCCGGCTGGTGACGTCGGGCGTGGTGCAGGAGCTGAAGGGTCAGAACAGGCGCATCCCGGCGTTGGCCATCGCCTCCACGGTGGGGCAGCGCGCCAACGAGCTGATGCCCTGCTCCCGCGACGAGGAGTCAAGGGCGCTGATGTACTCCGAGGCGGAGAGGAAGGAGACCTTCAAGCGGTGGCCGCATATGGACTATAAGTGAGTAGTGATGTAACTGATTTTCTGACTTCTGTCGACGATGATCAGCATCAGCCTAAGCTCTTGTTGGTTTGCCGCGGTCTTGATTAATAGACTACTCGTGAATAGGTAATAGAACGTAATGACAGACGAAACGCGGAAGTATAACATGTGTTTCACGCCGGTATTCTGTGAGGTCCCCGGACGGACCTGCCCATTCGTGCAACAGCGTACTTTTGCGTGTCTGTACTATACTACGTATTATTACTATAAAAATGTACTATAAAATATGTAAATATCTAGTAAAAAAACCGCATCAAGATCCGTTGCGTAGTTTTAAAGATCTAAGCATACATAGGGACAAACAGACAGCGGGACGACTTTGTTTTATACTATTTAGTGACGTCGAGGATATTATTATGCATACCCGCCCTCGCGGGGCAAGGACGGGTTAGGTTGGATTCGCATCGAATAAATGCGGAACGCTTTCGCTCACTTCTGCGACCCTGCCAGCGCTGACACGGCGGGAACCCGATAGTAGGGACCTCTACCCACTCAAAAACACTTATCCCACTGTCCGCTCGCAGGTGGGCGCTGCCGGCGCGCATGGCGCAGGCGGGCTTCTACCACCAGCCGTCGCCGAGCGGCGACGACCGCGCTATGTGCTTCACTTGCATGGTGTGCCTCGTCTGCTGGGAGAAGTCGGACGAGCCGTGGGTGGAGCACGAGCGCCACTCGCCCAGCTGCCCCTTCGTGCGCGGCGAGTACACGCACAACGTGCCCATATCGGTGAGGCGCCCTCTGGTTTCCGTTTGGAGCAGCGAGACGGACTAGGTCCGCCGGAAGGGCTTCGTCCAGGGCTCGTTTCCGATCCACACGAACTTCACGATTTACAGCCATGTATGTTAAGTGATAACCGCCGCCCATGGACATTTGCACACCCGTAGGGTTGCAGGTGCGTTGCCACCTTATAATAAAGTGGGTCCTGGCTACCCCACTCATTAAACGAAGAAGGTCTTCTGCGTTTCGTTTAATGGTACTTTGTCGTGGTACTTATTCGTATGGAAAATTCGTCCTGGAAATCCGTGGCTGTCAAAAGTGCAATAATATCGAAGCCACTTCTTGTGGAGCACCAAGCAGGAGGAAGTAGAAAACGGGATGGAAAATTCCTGTTTACGTTATTTTTCAATATGTTCGCCCTAAAAGACTTGACTTTGGTGTGGATGCACCTAAACAAAACAGAACAAAATACTATCTATGTATGATAGTATTTTGTTCTATATAATGTTTTCTTAAGAAAGAAAGAAATATATTGTTTGACTAAAGATTTCCTCCTCGCCGGTTCTATTCTATGCGAAGCTATATTTGTGAACCTTAACAAGTCCACGAAAAGAGACAGACTTTAATATTTACATTACCTTTACTGGACAGTATTAAAAATCGCTTCCTTCCATTTTCTTGGCTCATTCCACCTAGTTTTGGTCGGCAAAATATTTGAAATACGTTGCTCATTAACGCCCTTATCCCGTCATTAACAACGAAATCTGGGCATTACCATTGAACTGCCTAGATTTTTAATGACTGGCTGCACACTCAGATCCACATGTCACACAGGAATTGAACCCACGACCCCCGGCGCCGAAGCGAATAGCTTAGCAACTGCGCCACCGACTCATATTGAAAAGACGAGGGAGCTTTTTAATGTCAACATTGTCCAAATACTAGGTGACAAACGCCACGGCGTGCGCCGTGCCGTGCCCCAACATCGCGGTGGTGTCGAAGGGCAACACTGGCGAGCTGATCGCCGCCGGAACCGCCGACGGCAAGGTCAACGTGTGGCGCTTCGACTGCGGCCTCAAGCTGGTCAAGTTCATCCACCTATCGCCGTACGACTCAATCTTCAGCGGCATACTCGCCACCGACTGCAACAAGGTCTGGTCCGCCAGCCTAGAGAAGGACACGTGTAAGTTCCGATATTTTTTTTTGTTAAAACTAATTTAAAAAAAACATACTTACAGAACAATATTATCCTGTGTTTTAAAAACACATTTCACGTAGACAAACAGCCATGATGCAAATTAACTATCTGTTCGACACAAATATTTGTCCCGTGTGGGAATCGTAGGGGAAGAGAATTGAAATCTTACTAAGATTGAATCGCGTTTATTCACATGTTTAGAATCAACGAACAAAAAATATCAAGTATATACAAATATGGTGGATGTAGCACTGGCTTGATTGAATAAAGTATTCCATGTACGCAATTTTTCAATTTGTCTATTGCACTGTATAAATTTACTTTAATTTATGAATAAAGTAAAAAGCATTGTATAAATTTGTGTTCCTCATTAAAACAGCGCTTTTATTTTCCGCAGCCACTTACGGCATCGAGCTAACAGCGATGGCGTTCGTCGGCATGACGTCGAAACAGGAAAGCTACCCTCAGACGCAGCAACCTGCCGAGGGCAACGAGAAAGAGACTAGCACCAGCAAAACGAAACCATCCCTGGTCTGCGGCGTCATCGTCACGAGGACCAACACCGCGCACCCCGATGCAACTGTCAAGGAGGACAACAGCAAAGTCCTGTTCGACTCAGGTGCCCTGGACCAGGCCAAGGAGACCGTCAAGACCATGAACGATCAGAACGAGGCCAAGAACAACCAGGCGTCCACGGACAAAATGCTGTTCCTGCTCACTTACGACATATACAGCAGCCTCGCCGGCTCAATCACCACCGTGGTCCAAACTTCCAACAGCAGCGGCAATTCAAAACCCGGCGGCAGCAAGAAAGTGTGCCCCGTGCTGAGGACGGACGACACGAACATATACGACGAGATCCACTACTTCCAGTACTCCGACGAGGACACGGAGCTTCCGCAATGCACCAACAGCTTGCTGGACGAGCAGATCAGCAACGTAATCAACTTGAACGCCTCGTCGAGCAAAGAGGACTCGAAGTATTGGGAGCCGAAGAACATCATAATGACAAAGCACTTCAAGGTGCTTACGCCCTCGCCCCCCTCGGCCCTGCTCTCCGAGATGCCGGAGCCGGGGCAGGCGACGATGCTGGACTTGTCGGGAACATTTCGCAGCTGAAGAGCTGGAAGAGTGGAAACCTGGAGTCCGTCGGCACCAAGCTAGTCGACCAGACGGACGCTGTGCAGATCGATTCCACTATAACGCCGACCATCACCCACTATTTCACCATGAACGGGCCTCTGGAAATATCGGACTTGAAGTGGTACGAGGACGGTGACGGGACCGACAAGGTGAAAGTGGTGCCATTCACCGCCAGCAAAGTGGGCACCCAAACGGCCGTAACCCACAGCAACAACGATGGCTTCGAGAGCGAACCGCCGCCCGAAGAGGTGGTCTCCCAGGGCGTCGCCGTTCAGTGCCTAAGTCTTCCCAACGATCTGAACTTCAAAGTGGACGCTAGAGTAACGCACTTGTTGCCGACCGAAGATAAGGAGCATTTGCTCGTCGTCATATCCAGCGTCGAGCCGGCTAAAGCGAAAATAGAAGAGGACACTGACGGTGACGGGGACACGAAGATGGACGTCGACGACGTCGTGGAAACCCCGGAACGGCCGGATAAGTCCGACGCGAAAGCGTACTTCATACTTTACAAGATCAACAGAAAAACTTCCGTTTACACCTTGGAAGACAACCCCGTGTCGGTCAAAGAGTTGTCGTACGACGAGAGTCCGGTCGACTTGTGTCTCCTGCCGGCGGACAAGTGCGATTGCTATTCGATCGCCTCTGTAGGGGTGGACGGCGGCCTCAGGCTGTATGCGTTGCTCGACTTCAAGGAGCTGTCGGAGAAGCGAGTGCCCAAGGGACAGTTCACGTCGGTCGTGTATTGCGCGTCCGTCGAGCGGCTGAGCGTGGCCACCAAACACGGCATGATCTACTTCTACGCGCTGAACGACGGCGAGAAAGACACCGCCGGTGACGCCAACGAGGACAAGTTCCTCAACCTGGACTTCGACATGATGCTGTACGACACGTCCGGCCCCACCGCCGCGCCGGCCATCATCGCGAACAAAACCGATCTGAATCTCTCCGATCTCGAGACCCTCATCTCGTTGACGGGCTTGTATGGCATGAACACGACCGTGCCGTACAGCACCGTTGTGCCCGGCTTCTGGTGCGAGCTCTCGCCCGCCCAGAGGTCCAGGTCCGACCACCAGAACAACAGGTCCTGGCGGCTGCAGAATACGTCCTCCACGTGGGACGAGCACGTGCTGGAAATGACCATGCCGTACAGCGTGTCCCTCGCGCACATCGAGTTCGGCTTCACATTGCACGCGCCGAGCAGCGGCAACCTGCCCGTGATACAGGTCACGCTGCTCAAACAGAACCTGCACGGCATCGGCTACAAGAAGGACGCGTCCTTCGGGCAGCGGTCGGACTCGCCGGTCCACTTCCCGGTGATCGACGCCGACTTGCCGAGCGTCGAGAACCCGGTGAACAGCGAGGAGTACCTGCAGGCGCACAACGCGGAGATACTCGCCGGGCCGCTGCTGCTGTCGTCCGGCTTGGACCTGACGCAGCAGTCGGGCACTCTGATCCTGACCAGCCCGCGCCTTTTCCGCGCCAGGGGCAGGACGTTCCTGATCCACATAAAGACGCTCTTCGACCCGGCCAAGGACATGGCCAAGGGCCCGAGCAGCAGGGGCGGCGAGGGCTCGAAGAAGTCCGGCTTCATCGGCTGCGACTGGCTGCACCAGATATCGATAACGGTGCGCTCGAGCCCGCACACCGAGGTGCCGATGGAGAGGCAGCAGCGGATCGCGATGCTCGAGTCGAACGCGTTCCTGAACACCTTATGCGAGATTGCGACCTCGAAGGGGGGCAACGAGGAGAGGAAGCTGGCGCTGGACCTGCTCAACTGGGTGCTCTCGATCAGGCTCCAGCGGATGCGCTTGGCGACGGCCGACAAGGGTAAAGACAAGGAAGCGGAGAGTCCGGTGGAAACGCAACAGCTGGAGTGCGTCGCCGTCATAGAGAAACATATCGAAGCCCTCGTGAGGAATTGCATCCTGTGCGCAAATAGGAGCATTGCGAAGAAGTGCGTCAAAATCATCCTCATCACGAGCGAGTAAGTGAATCTAACTGTGCGACCTTATCTAAATTTACATATTGGTTTTGAAGATATTATTAGTTTTATTGATGATGGTAGTTTATGTTTACTTTTGATAGGCATTTAGAAGAATAATTAAAAAGTCTTTAATGTACTTGTTAGATTTGATAGAGCATATTAATTTGAGACGGTGACGTCTGTTTGATAGTAGGAATTAAACTATGTGTACATTTCAAAAATCCTCGTTTTACAATCTTGAGCTCAATATATTAAGGCTTACACTTTTGTATCCTAATAAGATCCGAAAAACCATATAGCTATCTCCGTCCACTCTGTTTAAGTAGAGTTTTGACAAGCGAAATTTTAATATATCACGGTTTAACAATGGAGTCTAGTTAGTGGGAAGTTACACGTAGGTTTGCATACGGAAATTGACAATCTGACAAGAGACTACGTTCAAGTAAGATCATCTAGGAGTAGTCGCTTTGAAAAAAAATTTGAAATTCTTATATATTATGATGTCGAAAGTAGTCTTATGAAAATTCGACGGTATCAAATAAAAAAAAAACTTTATCCGTCCAGGGGCGTGAAGCAGCTGCCGCGGCCGTGGAAGTGCGCGTTCGAGCAGCGGCTGGCGGGCAGCGTGCTGGCGTGCGTGCCGTACGTGGGCGCGTGCTCGTCGGGCGCAGCGCTGCGCTGGCTGGTGGCGCTCGCGCAGCACGCGGTGCCGCGCAGCGCTGCGCCCGACCTGGTGGCGCGCTGCCACGCGCTGCTGCACTCCGTGGCGAGGTGCCTGCACGCGCGCCCCGACGTCTACCACCACCTGCTGCGCGCCAGGTAACGCCTTTGCCGCGCGTTACATTTGTAATTGGAATGTGCATACACAAGCTATTCTTGTGTTTACTTTTGTGATTCAATAAGACAGATCGACGGGAATTTCTAATAGGCGTGATTATTTTTTTATTACATATAGCATATTTATTTTAATAAATATTTATGTTTTAAAACGTGGTGTGTAGAAATGTTTTTATTTTCCAAACAAGTTTGAAAGCTGTTGTGAATTTTTGTAAAGGTATAATTAATCCATTCAAACATTTACAAACAATAATTGCTGATAAATATTGCACATCGACTTTTGGAAAGAGACAGTCTGCTAATTTGTGTTTCGTAGAGTGTTTTTTCTGTCGCACACTTGTACTACGATTGACAAACGTCTGACAAAGCTGTACGAAACGAATTTAGGCAATCGTCACGTCCCAAAGGTCGATCGATATGCAGTATTTATTTTCAAGGACTAGACTATTAATTGTACTAACACTTTGTCGATACAGCGAATGCAATAAGCTTACACTAAATTAGCCATTTTATTGTTTGCTTGGGTTTAGCATACACTAAATTAGCCATTGTATTGTTTGCTTAGGTTTGGTCTATATGGGCTCCCGCTGGAGCGCACTATCTTCATGACGGAGGGCCCCGAACTGGGTCGCGGCGCCGCCAACGGTCCCTCCTACCCCACCAACGGCTCTGACGACCCCAACAACCCCACCACCGTCAAGCCTGACTATCAGCTCAAGGATCTACTCAACCTGCCACCCGATTTGGGTATGTCCATAAAAGCAATGTCAATTACATATATACGTACATACATTTATACGCCCATCATCGAAATCGTTATTATAGTTTGTGAAATATAAGCTTGATTAAAATGGAAGTTGACAACAAAATCAATGATGTAACTTTGTAATATCCTCCAGAAGCTGTTGATACCTATGTCTTATCATAAGACATTTCCTACAGTTCATATACAGCGTGTCGTTACCATCGCAACAATAAATGAAAACACGTCTAACGCTACTTGCCAATACTCATAAAAAAATATTAACTTTAAGCAAAATCCATAATAAAAAAAAAATATTTTTCAAACAAACTAATTAAGTAAAAAAGAAACAAAATTTGTAACATCCTATACAACTCGCGCCACAGCGTCGCATTACAAGCCTCTCCTTCTAACAGTATGTTTTGTCTCTTTTAAATTCATTCAACCCATTCATATGCTTTGTGACCTTTACAAATGAACTTTACGTTACACTTTTATACGTAGGGGTGTTCTAAAATTGTTTGTTTTGGAAAATTTAATAACTCGGTAAATATTGATGTTTAAAGAATGTAAATGTTTAATACAATTTTAAAAAGTTGTCCTCTATATGTGTGTTCATTTATTGTCGCGGTGGTAACGACACGCTGTATACATTCTATGCTGCATTTAATTAAAATGTATATTATAACATATTTTAATGTTTAAAATAGGTTAAAGCAAAACAAAAATAACTTAGAAATAAAAAAAATTGTAGTGGCACGAATTATGAATCTAAATCATTCTCGAATCGAAAATTACACAACTAAAAATTTCATTAAAATCGGTCCAGCCGTTTAGGAGTTCAGTGAACATACACACGTACAGTAGAATTATATATATAAAGATGATGTAGTGACGGAAAGGAGCAATTTCAGAGGCGAAGAGCGGCGCGTGGTGGGCGGCGGGCCCGTGCGGCGCGGGGGCGGCGGCGGGGCGGGCGAGGCGCTGGCGCTGCACGTGAGCAGCTACGTGGCCTCCGACGGCACCAAGCTGGAGTCGGCCGCCGCGCGCCACCAGCCGCCCGTCGTCAGCGCCCTGCCGCCGGACGCGCACCAGGTACGGCCACAGATTACACTTCGAGAAATAATGTATAGAGGTGTTCACATAAATATGAGAAGAATCAATTTCACCTACTGCTTTCTTAGTCTTGGTCCAAGGGCACAATATGCTGTGCACTGTTAGTTGATTAAATCTTTTCCTTAAGTGTATAAATGGATTGTTTAGAGAAATTGGGATTTTAAAGAAAAAATTAAACCAACATTATTCCATTTTGGAATTATATATCCCTTGGGATAAATTTTTGTTCTTATAACTATTATCATCATCTTGGAAATAAACAAGTTGTGTTTAAATTGATTTTATTATTCTAGTTATGGGCTGTCGTTAAAGAAGGCCAGGCAAAGCAATCGTCCCAGAACGCCGATTCCCTTGATGATATTGAAAGCTCAATGATGGAGTGCGATCCTCAAGAAAAACTTGAGTTTTCTGACGACAAATTCTTTAAGGTAAACATTGTATTTTGTTATTCCTTCAATTCATTATTTCTTATACTCTACATATGTTTAGTAAACCATAGAAATTAACATAAAAATGTAAGAAAATGACATTATTAAATGGACATGCCAACACTCGCGGGTAACAAATATCCCGGAACAATTTTATTGTCTGTTGGACACAGAAACAGTTGTGTGACTCGCAGTTAATTGAAGGAAGCGAGCGCCAAAGCCGGATATCTAAACAACTTCGCCACTCGTACTAACAAAACCCTCGCGCCGGCAGGAGCAGGAGGAGTGCGGCATCCCGTGGGCGGCGCTGGTGGGCCGGCCGCCGCAGCACACGCTGGTGGTGGAGCGGATGCACTCGGGCGCGCGGCGCTACATCGTGCTCGACTTCGGACACACCGTGCGCCTCACGGACGTGGTCGGTGCCCGTCTGTTCTCCACCTAATCACCTACGCATAGGGTGCAATTTCGCTCGACTCGGCGCTTACGTTTTAACTGTGGTGAGACCACGCAACAGTGACCACTGTTGCACGAATGGGCAGGTCCGTCCGGTTATGTACCACGACCTCACAGAAGACCGGCGTAAAGTAGATCTGTTACACTTCTGTGTTTCGTCTGGTGAGTGAGGCAGCCGGGGTCTACTTTATTTATAGGTGGCACCCCATTTGCAACCCTACGGTAGTTGATCAGGTGAACCGCCAGCTCGTTTTCCACTTTTTCACAAAAAAAAAGTTATCACATTGAAGAAAGTACTTAACAGAAAGAAGTTCGTAGATAGCTACTTTATTCATCTTTCTGTTGTCCCTTTCTGCCTTCCTAAAATGGCGTTTCTATAAAATCAATTTTGAAAAATCTTCTTATCATTAGTGTGGTCCATAGATTAGTTAATAGATTGCTCGCCCTCGTCGCCCAGTGGTCAAAATTCGACCATTGTAATGTGTGTAATGTTTTTTTTGTTTTCAATTATTTTTTATGCATAGTTAAAAAAAAATTGAGCATTCGGCATTCATTCTCTATATGAACTATGTGTGGAAAATTTCATATTCCTCCGTCCGCGCAATTGTCGTAAAAAGGGGTACATAGTCCTCTATTAATATTATAACATAGATATGTTGTTTACCGGTGACGTCTATCCGAATGTAGATCATCCCGTCGTGCTCGGACCTGGTGACGCTCTGCATAGACATCTGGGTGGTGGGCGAGGAGACGGACTGCGTGAAGCTGGCCTTTGCCACGGACATCACGACGAAACACCTCGTGCTCACCGACATCCAGCCGCCGCCTCTGTGCAGATACATGAAGGTGCGTCCCGCCTCTATTTGGAACCGCTTTGTATTGATCCTGGGACAACAATTATGTACTTATTTGTGTAGTCTACTGGCACAATTGTTAAAAGGATTCGGTATCGCGCGCCGTGGGTTCGATTCCCTACATTGGACAACCAATTGAACCTACTCTGTAGCTCTCCGTTCGTCTGTTCCGATTTGGTTGTGTCCGAATGTGCTTTTGTTAGTTTGTTATTTCGGGGTTAAGTAGTTTATGAAAGTAAAGTAAAATTTTCTTTTACTAATTGATAGCATTTCGTTTTAGCTATTTTTTTATATTACAATATACACCTGCAATACATAGCATGCCTCTGTACATTGTCACAGATAACAACAATCGGACGTTACGGCATGTCGGCGATGAAGTGCAAGATCCCGCTTGGCTGGTTCTATGGCGAAATCGCCGAAATCGCTAACGTGCAAGCCTCCATAAACGCCTTGAACGCGCTGCACCAAGACCTTAGCTGCCGTTTCAGGTCGGTCATATACTTTATTTAACGCTGAGTGATAACGTGGACGTGTCGGGCCATGCAACAGTCTTCGCTGTTGCACAAATGGGCAGTCTGGTCTGACTAACTGTCGTAGGGCCACACAACAGTCTGCTGTTGCATGAATGGGCAGGTCCGTCCGAGTAAGTACCACTACCTCACAGAAGACCAGCGAGAAGTGGAAGTGTTATATTTCTGTGTTACGTCTAGTGAGTGAGACAGCGCAGGCCCACATTTTTTAAGGCCCAACGGCTGGTGTAAATGTCCATGGGCGGTTTTATTCACTTTACACCAGGACTTTCATAGAACTCCCTGCTCGCTTGACAACTTTTCACATTTTTTTTTTTATTTATGGATAGATGTTTGATCAGCATGTATTTAAAGTTAAGTGAAGCATCCATTGTCACTTTGTTTGATTGAGCATTTAAATAAAACTGTGATAAAGTTAATTTGCAATTGCTAATTGCTTTTTCTTACTAAACAGGTTGGCAACTGGAAAGTTGATGGATCTTCTGAATCCATACTTGGACCTGTACAACGGGAACGCCGCCCACATGATGGCGTACTTCAACCTGAGCTACGACACCGACCCCAAAGTGATCACGGCGTACCAGGAGTGCATAGACCTGCAGCAGCAGTTGCACAATTGCAACAACATACTGAAGAGGCTGCAGAACACCTCCGACTGCAACGAGCGCGCCGTGGAGCTGATCAGCAAGGGTCTCGTCACGCCTGAGTCGCTCGTCGAGAAGGCCTCTACCGACAAGTTGCGCGTCATCGGAGAGAACATCGTCGACATGCTCCTATACTTTGTCTTCCAAATGGACGACGTGGTGAGATTTCTATTTGGCTCTGCGTGTTTTAATAGCAGCCATACCCAATATTAACTTAACCGTATTATGAAATGAAACTCAGTTTACGTATTTATGTAGGGTATTTTTAATTGTATTTCTTGACATTTATGAACCCTTTTCAGTGTTCATGATCTCGGGACAGACCTAGGGGTTGGACATCTGAATGTAATTGTTTTATAGTTTAATTTCTTTTTCGTGATCATGAACGCAGGACGAATTCGAAACGTAGGGAAATAAAATTAAATAAACGCCATAAGTCCCTGAATATAGATTTATTTGGTAATGAAATGTCAGCTTATGTTATAACGTGCGGTGCAGCAATACCCCGAGGTGAGCGGCGAGTGGTGCGCGGCGGTGTGGTCGCTGGTGGGCGCGTGGGGCGCTCGCAGCGCGGCCGCCCTGGGCACGCTGCTGGCGCGCACCTGCGGCGGCGCCCCCTGGTGGGGCGACCGCCTCTGCGACGCGCTCGCCGACGCCTTCGCCCCCCACGACGCCCCGCCGTGCCCCATCGACAGGTGCGCCACGTTCTGTACTTGAACAGCGGACTCTTTCGTTTACCATGATGGATTCAATGCACATTCTATCTCAAATCGAGGTTCTAAAGGTATACCCGTCTTGACAGATCTTTCGGAATTTAGAAATGAATTGCGTTACACCTATCAAAGATTTTTTTTAATTTTTTTTTTAATATCGATAACACAATCTATTACAAAATAATTAACGTTTATTTACAAACGATATTTACAAAAAAAACTAACGTTTTGTAAATAGATGCAGGTGGCTCAGGATCGTGCTTCGTGGCAGTCTGTGGGCAGTCATGATGATTTTGTATTTAGTTTTGTCTTGTGGTCAGCGAATCTTAGCCACGGCAATCCTTGTATATTTAACTGATCAGGTGCCTGGTGATGGTGATGTACATGTGCCGCAAGAGCATGTACGCGCACGCCGTCGGCGGCGGCGGCGGCGGCGCGGGCGTGGCGGCGGCGCTGGCGTCGCGCGTGCTGGCGCTGCTGCAGGGCGCCGAGCCGCGGCCCGCGCCGCTCGCCGCGCTGCTCACCGCGCTCGCGTTCGTGCTCGACGCCGCGCAGCCGCCGCCGCCCCCGCTGCCGCACACCACGCCCGCCGCGCAGCGGCACAAGAGGTGCGTTCCGCTCCCGCTCTCTGTATCATTCATATGTCACAGTTTTGTGTAGACTAAAATTTCTTCGTGTCTTATTGAACTATTAATATGTAATTTGCAGCTTCCACTGTATGGTTCTTTTTGAGATCAGAGTAAAAAAGGATAGAGGTATATATGCATAAAAAGATTAATGAGTACTGATCTGTCTCGGCTTAAGTTCCCTCTATATTTTTTAACATTAGTGAAATTTATTTAAAATCTTTATAGTGCTAATCTTTGCACTTAAGATTGAACATTATGTAGAAAAAGTACGAAAAGATTGTCACCGCTGTGGGAATCAAACCCACGTCTTCGGCATTCGCGGCCTGACGTTTTTTAAACGCTTTTTGGCGAATAGTAAAAATGATAGAGAGCTAACAAAGTTAATAACAATAAAGTATATAGATAGGCTAATGATAATTGTCACTGAAAAGGCAAAATTACTTAAACGCCAAACATTTATGACATTATTAAACTATTATATGTATAGTTTTGAGATCTTTTGAAGATCACGTTCAAGAATGTTACCAAATGATAGCATGTTTATGGGTTTATCGTGTTTATTTTTCTGTGTTAACTCCAGACGTTTCGAACCTTTTACAATGTTCATGCCCGTCTTGTCGGGCATGTCTGTCCGGTGACCAAAAACGGTGTAAGTATAAAATAATGTTTACCACATTGTTACCGAATGGGGCGCCTCGCAGATGGGAGTGGGTGAGCGGCGGGCTGGCGGGCGCGGGCGGCGCGGGCGGCGCGGCGGGCGGCGACGCCTCCTCGGAGCGCGCCGACTGCAAGCTGCCGCGGCGCAAGCTGCACAAGAAGCTGCTGCACCAGATGCACGAGATCGAGGCGGCGCGCCGGGGCGTGCAGCTCGCCTTCGAGGAGCAGCAGGTGACGTCACCCTTTTCGTCGGGGCCGAGGCAGGGCGCAGGCGAGACCGTGTTTGTTTCTTCCGTGTCTTCCGACTGACGAAGCAAATACGATGCCATATACAAATGTAATCCACCTTTCACGGTTACTCTGTGTGGTGCAAAAATGAATGATGTTGATATTTTTATGCTATGATTAATATCCACGAATCCTTTCAAATGTAATTCACTCAACGCATAGTTGCTTTCTATCTTCTATCTAATATTATAAAAGCGAATGTGTGCTTGTTTGTTTGTTTGTTTGTTTGTTTGTTTCACGCCTAAATCGCCGAAGCGATTTTGATGAGATTTGATAAAGGGATAGACTAGACTTTGGGAAAGAACATAAGTTAACTTTTGTTGTTTAAAAGGGAGGTATGCAGGGGGTGAATTTCATTCCTAATGAAAGTTTGTATGGCATCATCCAGGATAAAACCATGAAATTTTATATTTAGGCATTCGATAAGAAGTAACTAATCATTGGTTTCATCGTTTTTGAAAGCGTACTTATCGTGCGTATAGCACTCAAATGAAGTAGCGGGAAAAAGCTAGTTATTATATAAAGTATTATCTGAGCTCATTATACTTGTGGTTTTCAACCGATATAAAAATTTCACCATGTTCTCCATTCAGCTGCAAATAGAATAATATTCATAGTTTAATCAATACTTCAACAGCGTGCCCGCCTAAATCTGAAAGCGCGAATGGCGATGGTCGGCAAGAGAGGCGGCGGTGGCGGGGGCGGGAAGTGCGAGGAGTCGGAGCGGGCCCTGCGCCTGCTGAGCCCGGCGCTGGCCATCCAGCTGGCGCAGGCGCTGGTGGCGCACATGCTCGCCATGGACAGCACCATCGCCGGAGAGTCGCTGCTGCTCTGCGCCAAGGTCAGCTCTGCGATGCATGGCCCGGCCCATATTCAATTGATGCTTGATGTGCCATTGAGTAATTATATCTGTGATCTGCGCCAAAGTAAGCTTTGTGGTGCATGCCCATCTACAATTGATGCTTGATGTGTCACCGAGTTATTATATCTGTGATCTGCGCCAAAGTTAGCTTTGTGGTGCATGCCCATCTACAATTGATGCTTGATGTGTCACCGAGTTATTATATCTGTGATCTGCGCCAAAGTTAGCTTTGTGGTGCATGCCCATCTACAATTGATGCTTGATGTGTCACCGAGTTATTATATCTGTGATCTGCGCCAAAGTTAGCTTTGTGGTGCATGCCCATCTACAATTGATGCTTGATGTGTCACCGAGTTATTATATCTGTGATCTGCGCCAAAGTAAGCTTTGTGGTGCATGCCCATCTACAATTGATGCTTGATGTGTCACCGAGTTATTATATCTGTGATCTGCGCCAAAGTTAGCTTTGTGGTGCATGCCCATCTACAATTGATGCTTGATGTGTCACCGAGTATTTATATCTGTGATCTGCGCCAAAGTTAGCTTTGTGGTGCATGCCCATCTACAATTGATGCTTGATGTGTCACCGAGTTATTATATCTGTGATCTGCGCCAAAGTTAGCTTTGTGGTGCATGCCCATCTACAATTGATGCTTGATGTGTCACCGAGTTATTATATCTGTGATCTGCGCCAAAGTTAGCTTTGTGGTGCATGCCCATCTACAATTGATGCTTGATGTGTCACCGAGTTATTATATCTGTGATCTGCGCCAAAGTTAGCTTTGTGGTGCATGCCCATCTACAATTGATGCTTGATGTGTCACTGAGTTATTATATCTGTGATCTGAGCCAAAGTTAGCTTTGTGGTGCATGCCCATCTACTTTGTGGTGCATGCCCATCTACAATTGATGATGTGTCACTGAGTTATTATTTGATGTAATAGAATTTTGATGTAAGTCTTATAGAGCTAATGTAAAATACCTATCGCTAGTAAACAAATCCATCTGTTAATAGAAAACGGCAATATTGAAAATTCTTGCTAACCAATTTAATCTAAGCATACAATGACAACTTTTTGACATTTATCAATAAATCCAAGGTATTTAAATAATAAATTATAAACCTTTGTTATCAATTAAATTGCTAAAGAAGTATATCTTACGTGCGTAAATGTTGAGGTTTTATAGCGCAGAGTGAAACGCAGTGTTGTAAATGTTATTTCCTTTAATGTCTACTACGGTACACACTTTTATAATGTAACTTAAACTCTTCTAACGCTTCTCAACTTACTACACATTTCGCCATATTGTTTCAATTTTAGCATAAAGAAGAGAACAAATCAAACTATAATTATTAGCACTCTATGGTATTAAGCTATAACACCTAGTGCTTATATCAATTTAACATTACACTCAACAGTAAATAATAACACACATACTTTTTTTCTGTACTACTAATTATTTATTGCTACAGTTTTAAGTATCTTAAATCTGATAAGTAAGCTTGATAACATTAGCCACAGTCACGTTTTTTGGTTTGACTACGCCACGTTTGTGACTTAGTTTGGTAGTTTTTGAAATGCAACGAACTATATGTAATATTTGCCACAGGTGGTGGGACGGTTATGCTCCGCCAGCGGCGGTGCTTCTCTGCTGGAGCCTGCCAGCGTTCTGGGTCTGGCGCGGCTTGCGGTGACCCTTCCCGCCTGGCCCCGCCACGCGCTCACTACATTGCTACAGGTGGGAATCGTAGACAGTGCTTTTATCCGCTCACGAAGGACCATTATTTGAGAAAACTGATTTCTTTTTTACTTGAGAAGGTGCCAAGCGAGATGGCGGTTCACCTGATTTTAAGTGACAACCGCCGCGCATTGACATTTGCAACACCCATTGGGTTGCAGATGCGTTGCCACCTTTTAATAAAATGAAGTAACCGGCAATCTATTAATTGATTAAAACTAGTGCACTAATGGATGTTGCATGTTTTTTTTGTAATAGACAATGATGATGATCATCATCGTGTAATAAATGTATTCTTTACGATTTAAACTAACGAGACGAGCAATCGACGAGTGAATGAGGAATTAAATGAAACAACAACATTTTCACTGTGGTAGGGTCACGCAATAATCGTTGCCGTTCCACAAATGAGCAGGTCTGGCGGGTAAGTACCGCGACCTCGCAGAAGACAGACGTGAAGTGAAAGTGTCATATATTCAGCGTATCATCTGCTGAGTGAGGTAGCCGGGGTCGACTTCGTACGGGTGTTGCAAATGTCCATGTAACGGTGCGGCGGTTATCGCTCAGCATCACCGTAGTAAAGCCAACATGTCTTAGTTGAGGGCCGTTGCAGGACCTGGTGGAGTACGAGAACGCGGAGGTGCCGCTGAGCCCCGGCGGCGAGGAGTGGGGCGCGGGCTGCTCGCGCATCGTGCGCGTGCCGCACGAGGAGCCGCCCAGGGCGCGCAAGCCCAAGGGCGCCACCGTCGCAGGTGCGTGTTGCCCGTGCGACAAGGACGGCCTGTTCTGGTCGTCCCTGTCTGTCGGCCGCACGGATAGTCGTCTCGTGTGGCAGTCGAACCCACGGAGCCACCCGCGCGTGCTGTAACCGCCTCTTGTCGTTGCAGATGTGCTCGCGGACAGTTTCGGTCTGGCGAAGACCAGCTACAATGCCAAGTCAAAACTTATCGCGACCTCGATCGCGCTCACAAGTAAGCACGCAGCAATTTACCCGCGTCTGTTTACGTTTCGATCGATCCCGCGTCACTATCGCTGCCAGACAGGTGTAATGCACTTTGTTTTTTTTTTTGTTTTGTGGTTCACGATGTCGTCGTCACGCTTTGTCGATTTTAATTTGCCGCTAATGTTTTTCCAAGTCATACTTAAACTTTTTTTTTTTTGGATTTGTTCGAATTATTATAAAAATCACGAGGTCGTGAAATATATGGTTTAAAATTAACTCTGAATGTCCTTTAAAACGCGCCGCAATATTCTTACTGCTCTGCTGCACAGTGTATTATTATAAACCATAAACAAAAAGATCTCTCAAGGTTTGTTTGTTCTTCTTTAATTATCAGTCCAAATCAAGACAGTTTTTAGGAATTGCTGCCGGTGACAAATGATCTTGATATTCCGTTTTGTATACGGAATTATATAAATACGTATTTTAAAAAAATACGTATTCGTCCATATTGCTTTACACTGTCCCAAAACGGCAGTAGCTTATTTAACGCGATCACTAGCCGCTAGCCCATTTGCAACTTCACGAATTACCTATTTTTAATCTTTCGACTAACAAATTTCGGTTTAATTATTTCGTCACGTATATTTTTCGCTTGTAGCTGATAGACATATCATTTATTACATTATCATGCATAACTGTATTTCATACGGTTTTGGAATATGTGTAGTTTTATACTACTGTTCTGTTTGGTTCAATATTGAACCGAACAATAATTATATGGAAAATGAGAAAAATGTATGTTATAACATAAAGAGCTATAAATGGGGTTTAAATGCTGAAGTTTATATAAAATCCAAACTGGCAACTAGAAATAATTATAAAATAATTTGTAATTGCATGTCTTTTTCGATGTAGTTGCGAGTCTTCATTTTTGTCTTTGCCTTTTTATAGTTTTCATGAGTTCATGTTATTTCTTTTTTATCGTACAGACTCGATCAAGGATATGGAGTACAGTCTCAGTCAAGTGATCGAGTCGGATGACTCTGAGAACGACGAGAAACCCGATTTGGACTTCCTCGATGCAATAAAGAAGGACAGCAAGACGAAGCCCACGGTAGACAATTACAACACTAGGTAAAATGAATATTCTCATTTGATACCTTATTAATGTTTAAAGTTAACTATTTAACGAATGCTCGTTAAATATTGTCTTCTAATGAAATAATTGTTGTTGGAATTGCGAATTTTATTCAGAAAACTAATATTATGTACGACAATAATAATTAAGCGTTATGTAAACGTAAAACTATTCAATTGCGTTAAAAGTTCCTGTTGCGGAGTTGTACTTTAAACATTTGCTTTGTTTGTCAAAGTTCATGCTATCTGTTTTGCCGGTTGCACCGTATTTACGTGGTGCATTGTGTTGTTCAGCAATATCTCGTGCTGCGTGGACGCGCGGTTGGAGAGCGGCCCGGCGGCTGCGGGCGAGGCGCTGGCGCGGCGTCTGCTCGCCTCGACGGCGGGCGCGCTACTGGCTGCGCTGCGCGCCTCCGTGCCGCCGCGCCACACCCGCCCCCCGCCCCCCTCGCCCGCCATCCCGCCAAACGCCCCGCGCGCTCACCCCTCCCTCGCGCACACCCTCTACGACGTCTTCCGCCACCTGGCGCTCGACTTCCCGCATCAGGTAATCGGGACACTGCATATGTATATTTTTTTTATGTTGAAAATTTGCCAACGAGCAGATGGGCCACCCTTTGTACAGAGATTACGTCTTTACGTCCATTTTACGTCAGTCATCTGTGAGGCCGTGGTACTTGAAGTACGGTTTTCCGTTTCACAGATGATTTGAATTACTCATGCTGTATCTCATTTGCTCAAAACGTGTGTAATGTGAAAAAATAAAGGAGCAGCAACACATGATTAAAATTAATTGATATCAAGCAGAGACTGAAAAAAAAATTCTCAGGTATGTAAAGTCCACCAATCCGCAGTCCGTATGGTGGACCCGACACGGTGATGCCCTGACACCCTCGGTACAGAAGAGGCTTTTGCCCAGCAGTAGGACATGTGCAGGCTGTTACTTTACTTTTTTTTACTTCACAGAGGGACTGCAACTTCATGGAGAACGTCGTGTCGCTGTGGCTGACGCTGAACGGGTCCGCGTGGGGCGGCACCAGCGCGTGGTCGCTGGCCGCGCTCGCAGTGCCCGCCGACGCGCCGCGCGTGCGCCTCGCGCCCGACACCGTCACCGCGCTGCTGCACCAGCTCTGCACGTGAGTCGCGCACGCGCACGCACGCACGCACGCACTCACTCACTCACGCACGCACGCACTCACTCACTCACTCACGCACGCACGCACGTAATGACACGCACGCATCGCCCGCACGTTCACGCGTGCGCGCTCGCCACTAAGCATGTTCACATTTCATACACGCGCGCACGGCAACAATCTACATATCACAAATCTGAAGGATGGGACGCATTCAAGCCTAATACCCGCACTGCTGCACTCATGATATACTATAGCGGATGCTTTTAACTTTCTTGAACAACAAAGTATGAACAGAAATATTTAAAAAGACAAAAGAATATTTTAAAAATGTTATGTTAACTAAAAAACATCCCTATTTGTCTATAAATATATTTATTTTTTCTGTTTATTTTCAGTTTGGAAAACATCTCTTTACGGTGTTGGGTACTGTCGATGCAAGCCTTGGCGTGGATTGCGGGCTTACCGTTACATGTAAGCTACTTCAAGTGCTATCACAAATATTAACAATAAGTTGGGAGTGCATAAGTTGTATTTAATTACGATAAACGCTTTAAACGGTATGTGAAATCATGTATACTGTATACATTATGTTCCTTCAGCAGAGTTAAATAATAACCTAAATAAAAACAGGCAATGCAAATTTTACGGTAATAATTATTCCATGGTCGTGTATTATTAGTTAAAATAGTAAAAAAATATTTTTCAATAGGCGGAAGGCAGCTCGCAGACAATCGGCCGCGTGATACTCGAATGCGAGTACTTTGTTCCCGCCCTGGTGAGGTTCATCTCTATCGACGTCAACGCTGACGGCGCTGTCAACTCATCAGAGCCTTACCTTGTGAGTTATGTGTGCATTAAATTGAATTTGATTTCGCAATTAAGAGTGCAAATAAAAGTTGGTATATATTTCTTAATAAACTAATACAAAACGTTTTCAGTTTATATTTAAGGTGTCGATAGTTAGAGACATATATAACAAGGTTTTATTAATATATCATTAAGTATGAGTGTATCTCACTAATTTGAATATGCGTTCAATACATTGTTACAAATAACATGCTTTTGTAAATCAACAGATGTACTGTTTAAGTAAAGAAATAATATGTCCCTTTCTTGATAACTGTGGTGATGTGGAGGAATGTGTATGTGGAATTCCTAATTGAGGAGGAAAGGAGTCAACACTGATAATAATTGTTCCGGATCTGGGTGTTTGTTCCCAGACTTGACGTCAAGCAGGGCATTAACAACACGATCCACTCGTGGCAACCCTACCTAGGTGGAATAAGAACAAAAAGGCATTGAAGTCGTGCTAAATAACGTCGTGTGTACAGTCGTCGGCGTGCGCGGGCGCCGGGCTGGGCGCGGCGGGCGCGCTGCAGGCGGTGCTGTCGCGCGTGGTGAAGGCACGCGGCGGGGCGGGCTCGCTGGTGGCGCTGCGCACGCTGTGCGCGCTGTGGGAGCACCCGCCGCCGCACGCTGCGCACGCCGCTCCGCGCGCGCTGCACGGCCACGCGCTCGACCTGCACGCTGCGCTGCTGCGCGCTGCGCACGCGCTGCTGCCCGCGCTCGCGCCGCACAACGTGCAACCACGGCCTGCCGCTCATACGCTCCATAGGTACGTTACGTTCACTGTTCTCGTTAGGTGTTGCATGCTGTAAAGGATGGCCAAGTATTGCTAAAAATGCAATACAACTTAGATAGATGTCGAGATTCACGCGCTGTGAGCACTGCGGCTGGAAACCAGCAGCAGTGCTTCGCTGGCAAATTTTCTGGGATCGAAAGATGCAGGTTCGAATCCCGCAGCGCCGAAAGTTTTTTGTTTATTTATAAGAATTTACAACTTAAACATGTCGCTTACTCTCTAAGAAATTACCCTTACGTATTATACACTGTCTATCGACTACTTTTTAGGTAAATTTAATAATACTGTATTTAATACATTAAAAAACCAGGAATACCGAAAAAGAATGACGATGTTTTGAGAAAGTATTGATTATTGTATTGATCCACTACACAAATTATTTTGATGTTCATGTAATCATTAATGCATTCTTTGGTATTCACTTAACTTTTTATTTCAATTCGTATTATCGAAAATTCTAAATTGGTGCCGAAACAAATCTAGAAACAAAAGCAAAATAATTTGACTGTATCATATTAACAAGGAGAAATAATCATACACTAAACTGGTTTGTGAATTTGCATTTCTAATATGGGGTATTACATACATGATACTTCGATAAAAATACCGAAAACAAGAAAAGTTAATAGGATGACATATGCTATAATAGAAAAATCATTAAAGAATAAATAGAGATCTGAAGCTTTAAAATGACAAAATAATAAATGTCATATTTCTATTATAAACTTCGCGTCCGTCAAGCGTGTGTGTGTGTGTATGTGTGTATAAGTGTGTATAAGTGACGATGAACACCAGCGTCGGCGAGCACGTGGTGGGTGGTGGGCGTGGGCGGCGGGCGGGCGGACAGCGCGGCCGAGGCGCGGCTCACGGGGCTGCTGGCCGACGTGCTGGCGGCGGGCGCCGCGCCCGCCAGGCGCGTGCCGCCGCGGCGCGCGCTGCTCGCGCAGCTGCTGCACTTCGCGCGCAGGCTGCTCGCCGCGCCGCTGCCGCACGACGAACACCCGGTACGCACGTGTGCCGCCAGTGGCCACGCTCGACTGACTAAAGCCCGGTTCCTATATTCAACGAACCGCCGTTAGTTACATTATCATTATGAAGTCGTTGAATATAGGGACCGGGCATTAATAGGGTAGGGCCGCGCGACAGTCTTTGCTGTTGCACGAACAGAGTTGCTCGTCTGACTAAAAGGGCTAAGGCCATGCACAACAGTCTTTGCCGTTGCACGAATGGGCAGCTCCGTCCGGGGTAGTACCACGGCCTCAACGCAGACATGCGTAAGGTGAAACCTTTACATTTTCGCGTTTAAACTGGTGGGTGAAGTAACCAGAGCTCACTTTATTAAAAGGTGATAAGTGATGTTTGCAAATGTCCATTGGCAGCGCTTATCACTTAACATCAGGTGAACCGCCAGCTTGCTTGCCACCTTCTCAACTGGGCGACGCCTCTGCAGCCCGTCAGGTGTTGTAGATGTCCATAGGCGGCGGTAATCGCTTAACATATTGTGAGCCACATGTTATCTTAAATAAATAAATTAATTAAAAAAAAAACGATTTTCATACAAAAGATACGGGACTGAAGTGACGGCGGTACTTGCGACCTGTAGCGAGAATGTGGTGACCTGACGTTAACCGTCTAAGTACAGCTACAACTGTGGGTTTTATGATTCGATGGCAATTTTTAAAGAACGGACAAGGTTACCTCAGTCACCAGAGGAAAAGCAGAAGTATAATACTTGAAATTCAGCGCGTGGACTTATCACAAGAATTTACCATGAATAAAAAACTACTGATGCGTATAGTACTGCGCAACGAGGTGGATAAACTAAAGCTTTTGATTTTTACGCGGGCTATTGTCCCCACGGTCCGGCTGCTTTATTCACATAAACATATTTTTAGGTACTCATATTTATTTAGAATCGATCCACAATTTATTACGACAACAAGTAATGTCCAATTCTTGAACTCAGATTTTATCCACCTAATTATAGTAAGAATTTAGTAAATATATCAACACAAGCATTCTGGTGCAGCGAAAAATGTAGCCTCACCAAAATCTTTTACTCCTGTCTTACTCGATCAACACCGAATGCGGTCACACGACGATTTGTCCATATATGAACCAGACCCAAACGTGACCGTTCGTAAATGATGGGAAGTTTTATATGGTCTTCGTATTAGAGCTATAACAGCAATGGTCACAAGACACGAGAAGATGACAGAAACATCTTCATCAAGCTGAATGCATTTATATGTTTCATACTTTTTTGTCTAGTCCGGGAGCGGTAGTGGTACCTGCGAACAGTCACAGACGGACGAGAGCAAGGCCATGGGAGCTCCCGACGGCACCAACCTCGAAGACGAGCGTAAACACGTGCCACGCCCGCCCTGCCTCGCCGACACTGGTCAGAATCACCAATTGCATTATCTTCAACCCTCTGCAGACCTTTTTTTTTGTGGGAAAAAACCCTCTGCAGACCTGCATACTTCACATATCTTAGAACATTTTTTATCTGACTATTTCGAATTTATGATGACTCCGTGTCGCAGTTGCCAAGGTATTGGCTTCGGCGTCAAGGGTCGTGGGTTCGATCCCCACACAGTGTGACCCACTAATTAAGGCCAATGTTTTAAAAAAAATATGCAAGTTCACTCAAGGTTTTTTTTTCTTGATTAGCGGCAAATCAGCCCTTCTAATTACAAATGTGGCAATGGAATTTGCACTTGATTGCTCAAGTACAATTAATTTAAAGGACACGGTCCCTAAGCTGTCACTGCTCATGCAGTATCAAGTCAAGAATAATTTCAGGGCGTCGGCTGTATTACGTGCAAAAAGTATGGTTACAATATATGCCTGTGAACGACGAAAACTATCTAAAATGATGAAAAATTAAAGTAATGTGTAGGATTTAAAATGGAATATATTCAATTCTTTCAATCTAACTAATTTCAATCTTTCTGTTCCAGTTCTGCAAGATGCTGGAATCATGGAGAGTTTCTACAATACCTTATCAATGTGCGACGGACTGAACACGTTACTTCTTAATTCAAGTTAGTGACTTTTAGCATTAAAACTAACAACTATAAATCTATCATTTAAGTGTATTTTATGTTGATACAATTTAAGTTGGAATTACTTCTATGTACAATATAAAAACGTTTGTTTTGAAAAATATAGAAAATGTCTATTCTTACAGCTGGAACCAATTACGAAACACCCAACGAGTATTCTTCGTTGAAGGAGGAGATGTTTTGGCTGGTGGCACAATTGTCAACTGTTGCCTGCAACCCTGCCCTCATGGTGCCAAGTCTTATGGACTTCCTCAGTAAGTATATTTCTGTGGTGACAAACCTTGAACAATCTGATATTCATAATATTACTACTGCCATAGAAATTATTTATAAAAAAATATATTAATGTGTAATCAGTATTTTTTTAAAAATTTTCCATGTTTTTTATAACTTACGGGTATGTGTATTCTTAATTTAATTCATAATTATTGTTGTGCACTAAATATCAGATGTTAAATTAATTGTTAACTATCTATCTATTCAAGAAGAATAAAACATACCCAAGAAAAATAAAGTAATGTATATTAATTGTCACTTCAAAAGTCTGCTTATTTTTATACACCCATAACTTAATATTTTTATTTTAACAGGGAAGAAGGAATTGGTCCACTTATCTCAAGCAATGCAACAGCTAATTGTGAAGCTGCTTGACAAGCCAGAGGCACTGTCCGCTTTCATAGATGCTGGGGGTCTGGAGCTCTCAGTTGAGAAACTTACCGCTTGTCACCAGGTAATGGGGCTGGTTCTTAAAAACCTTGTCTTTTGCGCAGATGTGTAAGCAATTGGTTAGGAGGCTTTGGTAGCTTAGTCGAATTGTGTGATGAACATAGTGTTTTCTAGTGACTGGATGTTTATACATATTTATAATATATATTTATTTACAAAAGAAAATTATTTTTAAGTATGTTTATCAGTTCTGTGTTATCTATTACCCATAGTAAAAGTTTTGCTTAGTTTGGGACTAGTCCAAATAAAGTAAAAATGTGTCCTAAAATATTTAAATACTAGCTACTGCCCGCAACTACGTCTATGTACAATAGGCTGAAGGTGTAATATTCAGACAGAAAGACAGATATACATAAAAATATGTATATAAATTATAGCCTATGTCTTATTCTTATGAATAAGCTATATTATTATAAACTTTCATTAAAATCCATTCAGTAGTATTTATTTATTTATAATTTTAGTATTTATTATTTTAGTTAGTTTTTACGGTGGTAAGGCCACGCAGCAGCCTAGGCTATTGCACGAATGGGCAGGCCCGTCCGGGTAAGTACCACAACCTCACAGAAGACCAGCGTAAAGTGGAAGTATGACAAATACTTTCGCGTTTCGTCTGGTGAGTGAGGTAGCCGGAGCCCAATTTTCAAAAGGTTGTCAACGCATCTGTAACCCTCGGGTGTAACAGATGTCCATGGGCGGCGGTATTCACTTACCATCAGGTGAACCGTCTGCTCGTTTGGCAACTTTTCACATAAGAAAAAAAGTATTGGCGTGAAAGAGTAACAAACATCCATTCATACATACAAACTTTCGCCTTTATAATATTAGTAAGAATTTATATGAAATGGTTTTTACATTTGGAGTCGATTTAATGTTATTATTTATGTGAAATGCAGTCGGGCCCGAGCAACAGCCACGGCCTGGTGTCCTCGCTGATGAACCACCTGAAGGTGCCGCCGCAGCTGATCAACATGTCCACGCCGGCCGGCGCCGCCAAAAAGTCGCAGCCGCCCGTCACCGAGACCGGCAACGGCCTCGTCAACATCGCGCCGCTATGTGAGCTCCATGCCATACGTTGGCGGGGTCTTTCCCTGTTGCGCAATTGTGCACTTTCAGTTTGATTATGGGCATTAGTTTAAGGGTTATGTTATTAGTCTAACTCATTTTTTGACCGACTTCAAAAAAGGATGAAGTTTTCAATTTGGTTATTTTTTTAATTCTTACCTCAGAACTCTGCATTTATGATGAACTAATTTTAACACTGAATTTTATGTTGGGTTTGATTTGGCTCCCAAGCAGTTCTATGTTAATTTCATTGGTATAAGATCATTTACTTCGGAGATAATACTACATATTGAGTGAATTATTTTGTTCTAGAAAAACAAAAACGTTTTTGAAGTAATTATTATTTTGGAAAAAATTGGGAGACTAAAATTTTTACGATCCGTGCGTACACCGAAGCCAAAAATAGACATAAAAAAAGGTATTACAAAGGCAGATAACAACGTTAATAACAACGTTTTAACTTTTACTTGTAATTTCAAGTCATTTCATTAAAACTTTTATCAATAGCATTCGATGTATAACTGTAAATGTCGAGTGGCGTATGTTTGCGTCGAACGTACTATATTATCGTTCGCGAACGATCTTAAGCGCAATCTAATCGTCCATTGCTTCTCGCGCAGGCACCGTGTCGTGCGACAACCCCACTGCGCAGGCGGCGGACGTGCTGCTGGAGGGCGGCGGCGGCGGCGGCGGGGGCCCGTGCGCGGCGCGGCGCGTGCGCGCGGCCGCCTGGTCCTACCACTTCTTCAGCGCGGACGACGCGTCGCTGGCGCTCACGCTCTCGCTGCCGTACGCGGCGCAGCTGCACGAGGTGCAACTGCAGCCGCACCTCACCAGCCTGGCCAGTGAGTGCGCGGGAAAGCCTGCAAGATCCCGATGCCAGTCCAATTTTTTTTATGTCAGAAGATGGCATGCGAGCTAACGCTTTGGACATTCGCAACACCCGCAGGGTTGCAGACGGTTTGGCAACTTTTAATAAACTGGACCCAGCTACCTCACTCACCGGACGAAATGTAGAAGTGGAACACTTGCACTTCACGTCAAGTTGTGTGCGAGGTCGTTGTACTTACCCGGATAGACCTGTACATTTGTGTAACAATGACAGACTGTGGTGTGGAACTAACACAGTTACACAATAATTTTAAGTGCCGACTTATCACACGTTCAGCAGTGAAGGAAAACACAGTGATTCAAAAGATATTTGGAATATATGTAAAGTCGCCCAATCCGCAGTGGGGTCGAGTGTTGGACTAAGCCCTATTAACCTCTATACAGAGGAGGCCTTTGCCCAGCAGTGGATTATATGTAGACTGCCACTTTTCTTACTTTACGCATAACATGTAGGAACATGTTTCAGCGTGCCCGGGCGCGGTGGGCGTGGAGGCCGGCTGCTCGGGGCCTCTGGCGCCGCTGGGGCCGCCGCAGGCCACGGCCGGCATGACCTTCATCCGGCTGGTGCTGGCGCGGCCGGTGGTGGCGTCAACCGTTCAGCTGCGCCTCTACAAGCCGCGCGACAGCTCTTATATGGGCCTGCTGCAGCTGCGACTCATCGTCGCGCCCGCATTCGCCGCGCCCACGCACCTGGCGCCCAATGGCATCACGTGAGATACCCACTCTACCTGTACTGATGTTTATATGCTGAAGGGAGGCATGTGTTGTTTGGCGTGTAAGCAAATTGTGACTCATGAATCGTGTAGAAAGATTCATGCATATATTTTATGTATTATTTATAATATATATTTTTAATAGGTTTCAAAGCAAATAAAAAAGACTTGTCGATTTATTTTTATGGGAGTCATAATCACCCATTTTTCAAACTATATAAGGTAAATTTAACATGGAACAATGATCTTGCTATCCAGATATTGTAATAAATTTTAAGCCAACAAATGTGTGCTATCTATCAAAGTTTTAAATAACGAAGCAAACTAATACTGTACTTATTACCGAACCATAGCGGCGATCTAATACGAACATTACGCCATCTAATAATTTAAATATTGCTAACATACTATAATGTATCCGAATCGCACGCCACAACGACCCACGTGACCACTATTACGAGGGTTGCATGTTGAACAAATTGAAATGTGAGATGTGAGGTAGTCACGCGGGACGATTTTTGCAGCAACAACTGGGCGAGCGTGGTGGCGGCGTGCACGCGCGCGCCGCTCGAGCGCGAGCGCTGGGCGCGCGTGGGCAGCGCGGCGTTCGTGCGCGCGCTGTGCGCCGCCGTGCTGGCGCCGGGCGGCGGCGCGGGCGCGGGCGCGCACGCGCAGCTGCACGCGCACGCGCACGCTGCGCACGCCGCGCACACGGCGCTGCTGGCCGCGGCGCGCGCCTGCCCCGAGCTGCGCGCGCCGCTGCTGCACACGCTGCTCGCCACCGACGAGCACGCCTACGCCCACGGTACGTGTATGTTTTGATGGTGTTTTTCTTAATCTGAAAAGTTTTGAAAAGTTCTGAAAAGTCTTGACATTTGCAACACCCGTATGATTGCAGATTAGTTGCCACATTTCAATAAAGTGTAGCCCGGCTACCTCACTCACCAGACAAACTGTTTGATTTGAACGATCTGACCGTCAGATAGTCCTGTCAGCCGTCAGCTGTGCGCTTAGCCTATAGTGTTGTGTCTAAAGTATGCTGCCATGTAAACTAATTTAAAATAAATTTCGAAAAAAGAGCAGCTAATTGATAAAAATGTGATCATTGAGAACTATTATTCATTAGCAGTATATTTCATCAATCAATTTTTTTTTTAATTTTGTTGTTAACTTCTGTCGCCGTTCAATCGGGTGTAATAGTAACTTGTGATCGCCGCCCTCAGCGTTCCAGATGTTCGGCGGTGGCGGCGGCGGTGGCGGAGGCGGCGGCGGGGACGGTGCGGGCGGGCGCACGGGGCGCAGCGTGCAGGCGGTGTGCTGGGCGGCGCGCGCGCTGTGCCGCCGCTGCCCCGACGGCTCGGCCGCCGCGTTCGTGCGCTGGCTGGCCGGCGTGGCCGCGCCGCCGAGGCGACCGCCCTCCGCCGCGCTGCTGCACACGCTCGCCTCCGTGAGTGGCCCTAAAGACATAATATAGCTATCTCGCTCCGCGTCGAGTTGGTGGCGTGGTCGTGGGTTCGATTCCCACGCGGGACAGTATGTGTCACAAGCAAATAATCGATATGGATGTGGACGTTTGTTCCTAGACTAGTCGAGACGAGCGACTTGTCGTAAAAAACTCAGCCAATAGGATTAACAACATGCTTCATGATTATGTTTTGACGACCGCGTGGGATAAACGGAGGATGATGTCAGGCTTAAAAGGCATAAGCGATCTTGCATTATAAATAATTACAGAAGTCGGGCTTTTGTAATTTTTAAACACGCAAAATGTTTTCAGGACAGAGGAGATGATCTAGCTACATCCACAAGCGTACTGATTCATAACCAGTACAGTAACAACTAGCTGTGAATTGTTACAATTCGTGAGATATTAATGCGTTCATTCAATAAACTCAACCTGAAATTATTTACCATAATATTTACCGAAATTATTTACCACAATTAACAAAATATTATTTATAGGTGCTATGGACACTGAAAGAAGAACGTTTACTGGACAATTTAGAGGAACTTATAACTGACGAGCTGTTTGATCTTGTCTATGCCTGGGTGCAAGATGTTGTGGAAACCAGTCTGTTGAAGAAAGCGCTTGATGCCAGTAAGTATATTATCTAATTTTCAGACATTAAATATAAAATAACTTCAAGTTCCTTTTGTTTGTATTTAATATAAAATGATAAGTTAAGCCATAAATAATGACTTGGTTGGCACAGTTGCTATTGAGTCTAGCAAGTGCAATGTGATTTTTGAAATCGATTAAAGAAAGGAATAAAGTTTCTATTATTTTTTTTTCAGTATTATGCACAATGTGCTATATAAGACCAGATCTCTTCAAGAAGATGTTGGAATATGTTGGAGTTTCTATCGACAATGACGAAAGGTTTGTTAATTTATTTTTACCTTAGACATATATTTTGAAAATTCATATTCTGCATACAAAATTACCAAAACAAAATATAATAAAATTAAATATTTAATATGAGATACTGTCGGTTTTCAATTGTAATACAAGTATTATAATAATACATCTATTATTTATCCAAAATTACATTTGAATCTCATTAGTCCACCTGCATATATGTTTTGTACATTCAACGGAATCGTCCGTGACGCTCGCCTCTCGTCCGCAGCATGGAGGGCCTGACGGACGACCGCAAGGTGCGGCGGCCGGGCGCGGACTGCGCGGGGCCCGCGGAGGGGGGAGGGGAGGCGGCGCTGCGCATCGGCGGGCGGCAGCTGCGCACGCTGGCCGCCGCCTCGCTCTCGCCCGCCGCCACGCTCATGCTGCTGCACTCGCAGCTGCCCACGGCGCTGGTGCGCTGCGTCGCTGGTAACCGAACATGCTTCGGACGGACGGACCCATCGTTCATCTCCGTCAGAATCCAACACGATGTAGCGTCAAAGACACTCGTTCTTGTTTAGTAACTCAAACATGAGAAAGATCCAAATGGCCTCCTAACATGATATACCATACTCATTCTTACTCGGGTAATGTAAACATGAGAATGCGAAATGTTACTAGAGCTCTGCGCTACTGTGAAGTTTTAATTGTCTACATACTGATAAGAATAAGGATAAACACTGGTTTATTACATATTTTTGCTCACTTTTAAACACTTTCAGTCTTCAACTATAAGCACTCACTATATCTCGGTGTATCAATCCCTGTCATATAATCTATCAGTATTACAATAGTGAAGATTGTAATAATAATTACTTTCATTAAAAGCAGAATCATTAATATGTGTATTTTTTCTATTAAAGATTACAGCGAGGCCAAGCTACAGTTAATTAAGGATCAGCTGAATACTCAAGAGGACGTACATATGGCGGAAGCTGACAAGTATATAGACCAGACTAAACGTAACTACATAAAATATTGTATTTTGTTAAAAAAGCATTTAGTTTTTGCTTTTGTTAAATAAATTGTATTATGAAAAATGTTCAAAAGATATTGTAATTCATGGGACTATTCCAATTTCTTTTAAACGTGCATCCAAGCATAGTGAGAGTCGAAGTTATTGATTTTATTTTAACCTTTGGCATTAAGTCGACTCCTTTACTTATTGTTTTGTTTTGTCTCTTTTGTCTTATCCTAACGTAACTGACAAACTCCATGTGACCGGTTCGTCTAGAACTAGCGTCGATGGGCCACATCAGCGACGTGGTGGAGTGGGCGCGGCTGATGTGCGTGGACCGGCGGCTGAAGGATTGGCTGGGCGGCGCCGGATGCGGCTTCTGGAAGCCGCTGCTGAGGCTGCTCTGCTATCCAAGACCGCCGGACAGGTACTTCAGCGATTTTTATATAAAAAGCGATTGCAGCATTCGTGAATGAATTATTATACTTTATTGCACACATCACTAAAAATATGTACATACATATATTGGTAAAGATCAAAACTCACCAAAATCCATTTAGTTTAGTTGAGAAAAGGAACAAAAATATAAACAAGATAGTTTAAATCTGATGTCACTATATGCTTTTCAGTATTAGGCCATTTACTACTGGTTGGCATTGCATGATTTAATGGCCGATTACAAGTTTTAATTACTTGTCATGTTGTATACCTAAGTTATTATCTACGGTTCATTATTTTTAACAACAAATCTAATAATTACTGCCCTATTAATTATAGTACGTGGAAAGAGAGCGCGGAGTACGCACAACTGGAGGAGAACACGATAAGACTCTTCGCCGAACTAACGGTCTGCCACGTCGCGAATCAGAAACTGTTTGCGGCAACACTTCACAGTATTTTAGAGTCTATGCAAAGTACGAGTAAGTGGAGAAATGTATTTCAGCCAAATATTTATCATTTTCATAAGTTTTTTATTTCCTATTAGTTGCTTATGAGAGGTTATTGTCGATCATTTATCGTAGTCCAGCCTATCTCTTTAATAATCTATTTTCTATTTGTATTTAGTGTGGACGCACACCTTCCTTTTGAAGGTGGGTAGTAAGTCCAGACTACCACTGCGATCTAGTTGATCTATTGGAATTCTTCCCTTCGAGAACATTGGGATCTTCCTTTCGAGAACTTCGGGAACCCTTTACTGTAGGTTTTACATACATAAATTTCATGTGGACACACCCAGATACGAAACAATTATTTGTGGGTCACACAAATAGTTGTCTCGTGTGGAAATCGAACCCACTATCACACCTGGTGCCGAAGCCTTGGCAACTGCGCGACGAAGTTATATTATAAAATCCTATCAATTTCTTGTATTTACGCGATTACACATTATAAATGAAACTAATTTTTACGGATTTATCGCGTTTATTTTTAATTTTAGACCATGAACGCTGTAAAGGGTTCGAAACATCGGGAATTAAAATTAAAAATAAATTCGATAAATCCGTAAAAATTAGTTTCATTTAAAATCCTATCAATTTTGCCTTTACTTTATTTTTGACTAGCGACCCGACCCTCTTCGCTCGGGTGCAATTTATTATACATATAAACGTTCCTCCAGAATCTCTCACTCTCTAATCTAAAACCGCACCAAGATCCGTTGCGTAGTTTTAAAGATCTAAGCATACATAGGGACAGACAGACAGCTGGACGCCTTAGTTTTATACTATATAGTGATGATTACTAGTGGTCCCAACATTCCAACTCGACAGTCGGGCCGGAGGGCCTGTCGGGGTTCACGCGCGCGCTGATCCTGCGGCTGGTGCTGTCGTCGGAGCGCGGCACCGTGGCGCTGCGCTGGGCGGGCGCCGGCGCCGGCGGGCTCGGCTGCGGCGCGCCCTCCGCCAGCGCCGCCCCGCACCCTGCCACGCACTGCCACGCGCTGCTCGCGCTGCCGCTGCACACCACCGTGCGCACGCTGCTCACCGAACACCGGCCGCCGCGTCAGTACATCCCCGTTACCCTGCTTTGCGGCACGGCCACCCTCTACCACGCGCCTTTTCATGTGTAAAATTGCAAATCACGAGAAATTACTGTAAACGCCAAAGCGTTGTACATCTACGGACGAGAATGTCGATTCGTTCAACGATAGTCGGACGATAGTCGGCGTATGAGTGGATTGTGTAGACGTGCCTATATACACGCACGCGTTCCTATGTAGTTACCAACATTGCTGAATCGCTAGATTAGTATGGGAGCGAACTTTTGATTGATTTTGATTTTTTTGGATATGCGTTAAAAAAACATGGAACGTTGCAGTGCCCCTGATGGACGAGGCGGCGAAAGTGTGCGTGAGCGCCCCGACGGTGAGCGGCGCGCCGTCCGTGCTGCGCAGCGCCTCGGACACGGCCATCATGACGGTGGCCGAGGCGTGGGAGCTGAGCCTGGCCGCGGCCAGCGCCTCCAAGGACAAGCGCGTCAAGGACGTCAAGAACACCTCACTCAAGCAGCAGGGCACCAAGAAGCGCGGCGCCAAGCCCGCCAACGACCCCGCCGTGCTCTCCGTCACCGACGGTCAGTTTTTTTTATGTCAGAAAGTGGCGAGCCAGCTGGTGGGTGAACCACCGATGTTAATAATAACCCCCGCCCATGCTCATTTGCAAGATGCGGTGCAACCTTTTAATAAAGTGGGCCCGGCCACCTCACTCACCAGACGAAAGGCTCACGAATAGTATAAGTATGGAACACCATAACTTAAATTTAATTCTTGATTAAACTTAATGATTCGATTATTATTCGGAGACTGTCAACTAGTAATAATTATTATAACGTTAATGCGACCGTCGTGCGCTTCGTGAGCAAACAACGAATAAACGTCGTCTCCCGATTTCAGACTTCATCGAGACCACGATCCGCGTGCAGGTGGCCGGCATGGAGGGGTTCGTGCCTGGCCATGTGACCCTGGCCCAGCTGTGCGCCTCCAGCCCGCACGAGTTCGGGCCGCACCTCACGCTGGCGCTGCACCTCAACACCAACGGCGGTTGGTTGAATTTTTTATTATCCTTATTTATTCTTTTTTATTTTGTGAGAAGGTGGTAAGCGAGCTGGCGGCTCACTAGATGGTAAGTGATAACCCTCGCTCATGGACATTTGCAACACCTGTAGGCTTGCAGATGCTTTGCCACCTTTTAATATAGTGGACCTCACTGACCAGCAGAAGCGTAAAACTTTCAATTCACGTCGGTCTTTTGTGAGTTCGTGGTATTTTTCCTGATGGACCTACCCATTCATGTCCCTACAGCTAGACTGTTTTGTGTGTTTATTATATTCTGAATTAATAATAATAATAAATATAATAAATATTTTAGGACACATTCTTACACAACATTTTCTAGTCCCAAACTAAGCAACTCTTGTACTATGGGTACTAGAAAGCTGATAAACATACTTAAACATACTTTTCTTTTGTAAATAAATACATATTATAGATATATAAACACCCAGACACTAGAAAAACACTATGTTCATCACACAATATTTTTCCAGTAGTGGGGATCGAACCCACACCCTCTGGCGCAGGAGGCAGGTACACTAACCACTACGCCATTCAGGTCGACGAATTAAAATTATAATTGTGTACATGTTGAATGCATTACTTTACACAATGTCTGTACACAATGTGTTTCATGTGAAATAAAGAAGTGTGTCCTCGTTCAGAGGCGAGGACCGGTCCGGCGTGGGAGGCGAGCAGCGGCAGCGGCAGCAGCGCTTGCAGCAGCGGCGCGAGCAGCGCCGGTGGCAGCAATGGCGGCAGTGGCGGCGCCGGTGGCAGCGCGGGCGGGGCGTGCAGCGGCGCCGAGGCGGGCGTGCTGCGCTGGTTCGGGCTGTGCGGCGGGCTGGCGCTGGTGGCGGCGCGGCTGCCGAGGCCCCACGCGGCCCCCGCCCCGCCGCCCGCGCCCCACCCGCAGCACCACGACCACGACTGGGTGAAGCTCGACGACCCCCACGCGGTGAGACTTCGCTTACTCTTCGCTAATACGCACGATATTGAAACCAATGTGGCAAAGGATACCACAGTAAGTCATATCGTACTAATACGAGTGTAAGTGTAGAATATTTTTCTCCACCTAATCAGCAATGGAAGATCTGGATTGGAATGAAATTATATGTGGAATATAACCCGATTGGCCTATGGGGTTAGTGAATCTGCCTCTTGTACCAGTGTGTGGGCTCTAATCCCACATAATGTTGTTTGATGAATGTAGTGTTTTTCCAATTACTTTGTGTTTATATATTTGTAATATGTATTTATTTAAAAAATCAAAGCTTATTAGCTTAATAGTAATCAGTTACTTATATAAGGACTATAGAACTTTGTGTAAAAATGTGTACTGAAATAATAATATAAAATATAAAATATTAAATATTAATATAATATAAATTATATCTATTTATGATATTACTTAGCTTAGATGAGATACAGCATGGTGCACGCAGCAGTGTAACAGAGAGAGGTGGGGCGTTGCAGGAGGTGGTGGAGCTGGGCGCCGGCGGTGCGTCGGGGGCCGTGGGCGAGGAGCAGTGCGGCTGCGGCGGGGTGCCGGCGCACGCGCTGCTGGCGCTGGGCCCGCTGCTCAAGCTGCCCGGCTACGCGGCCGCGCTGCTCGACGAGGGCCCGCGCGCCGTGCACCTGCTGCGCCTGCTGCTCGGCGTCACGCACGACGAGGACGGCCGTGAGTGCTCGCCCCCTCTCCCTCGCGCACGCCCTCGCCTTCTCTCTCGCACGCCGCGCTAGGGCTACATAATAGCTTAGGCTGTTGCGCGAATGGCCAGGTCCGTCCGGGTACCAACCACGACCTGACAGAAGAAGATGTGAAGTGGAGGTTTCATACTTCTGCGTTTCGTCTGGCGAGTGAGGTAGCCCGGGACCATCTTTATTGAAAGGTGGCACTGGCAACGCGTCTGTCTGTACACCGTGACGTATACCCGCATGTATGCAGGCAGCATCGCGGTGGGCGGCGGCGGCGGCGGCGGCGCGGCGGAGGGCGGCTGGTCGCTGGGCACGCTGCCGTTCCGCGTGCTGGCGCGGCTGCTGGACGCGTCGCCGCCCGGCACCGACGACGGGCGCGCGCTGCGCGGGGCGCTGCTGAGGCTGGGCCTGGCGCGCCTGCTGCTCGCCTGCCTGGCCGTCTTCACGCACCACCGACCCGCGCCCGGCGAGGTGAGCGCGCGCCGCCTCTCACTAGGCTGCCTTCGACGAGGCTGAAATCTCTCTCGACCTCATTTTTCACACTTCGTCTATCGTTTGTCCATTGATACTATGGCCTATCGATGTCCCTCTCGTAAAAATATGCAGGTTTTCTCGCGTTTTCCTTCAAAGTCGAGTTGCGAGAATATATTGAACTGAAAGCAAACGCTTGTATATTGAGCGGGAATAATAAATGTAACACATGAAATACATAGAATTTTAATGCACCAATTAGTGCTTAATTGCTTCAATTTATAGTCCACATCATGTGAGCATCTTTTAAATCGCTGCCATTTCTTTTTATTATAATAAATCAGCCGATTAAATAAATTGATGAATGATAAAATTAATGTTTTAAGATGACGTTCTTTTCTCTTCTCTGCCTTCACAGAATAGTCAGACGTCGAACGGTACCGGTAAACCGGAGGAGAAGAGTCAACTTTACTGGGCGAAGGGCACCGGCTTCGGCACGGGCTCTATCCAGCAGTCTTGGAATGTGGAACAGGCGTTAGTGCGACAACGCGTCGAGGAGGAGCACGTCACAGTGCTTCTGCAGGTATAAATGGTGCATTGTTGTTTGCAATAAGAATGAATGCCCCCTAGTCATGTATTGTGTTGTGGCCATTTTGTAGTTGGTTTTAAATGAAAGCAGTAAGCCACGTATGTAAGTTATATTCAGGGTATTTTTTTTATTTTATTTATTTAATCTTTATTGCCAACCTTCAGTAAAACAAGGTAACAAAGGGCGGACTTAATGCCCAAAGGCATTCTCTACCAGTCAACCCAGGATGTGGTGAGAGTTTATGGTAGGTGCAGCAAAAGATGTAAGAATAATAAAATTTTAATTAAAGAGAATATATATGAAAGTAATATTATAATTGGATACATATATATATATATATATATATATATATATATATATATATATATATATGTATTCAAATATTTAAATACATATAAAGATGTATACTTGTATAAATAAATAACAATTAGCTTCTGGCTTTCTTCTTCTAAATAGCAATTAGCTGGGTACGACACTGATAGAAACATACAAACAGTCAAGAGACATATAAAAGAAGTTATATAGAATAATGACAAATACTAGGTAAAAGAATTTAGATCGGAAATAGAAAATCAATAAAATCGCGAGAATAATTATAATAACATAATATACTTATGCTTATGCGGTAAAAATTGATAAGCAGAAATCTGCATGCAGCGGGCAGCCGGTAGCAGGTAGCCCTTTTATTATAAGGTGGCTACGCAACTGATGATGGGCGGCGGCTGTCCCTTAACATCAGGTGAACACATTACAAAGAACAATGCGTGTCCCGGGCAGGTGCTGGCCTCGTACATGAACCCCGGCGAGCGCTGGCCGCCCGAGGAGGGCGCGCCGCAGCCGGCCGGCGAGACGGACGAGCGCGACCACCTGCTGCCCCAGGAGTTCATCGACCTGCTCGCCGCCAGCTCGCTCGTGCCCGCCATCTGCTCCTACCTTCGGAACGATTCGGGTACGCTTATGCCGCCTTTTATAAATATGACGATTTGTTGATGAGTGTATCAATTTTTTGCAATGCGATTATAAATGAAAACTGTGATATGCTTGGACTCCGTGTTGAGATGTTCTTTATATGTTCATGTTCACACAATGCTCTTATCAATGAAATTTATTTATACGTGGCTGTTGGCACGTATCGCTCACTCACCTGAGGATCATAACTGCCACTCCCAATGAACGCGCGCCGTCGACCGCAGTGCTGGACATGTCGCGGCACATCCCGCTGTACGTGTGCGTGCTGCGCTGCGCGCGCGCGCTGCACTCGCTGCGCTGCCGGCGGCTGGCGCCGGCGCTGCGCCCGCTGCCGCGCCTGCTGGCCATGATGAGCCGCACCACCAACTCCTACGCCACCAAGCTCAGGTAATCGTGCCGTCGCCACGCAGCCACCGCCTTAACCGCCAATCGCACTGCTGGCGATCGATTCACAAGACATGACGTATGTATGAGTATCAGTTTTGAAAATAAATAGAGAATCTCCTAACGAATCAGTGGTGCAAAAACAAATCCTAGCCATTAACAGAATGATTCACATGTTGCGCCCCCAAAGAGATGGTTGGGTGGATACAGTTTAGAAGATTGTCCTCCTAAAATTTTTAAAATTAAAATTCGTTCTAAACTTATTAAAAATGTTATTATTTCATAAAAGTCAACCTTTGTGGCAGAACTTATACTGAAAATCTTAGTTGTTTTTAGACAAAACGCTTGTTACGCAGGTCTGTAGTATTGATTTTAACATTTCAGAATGAGCAAGAAGAACATTTTCGGGAAAATGACGTATAGCCAAAGATTTAACACGTCGAGCAATTGCGAGCTGTCCGAGGAAGACGAAGGTCTCGCGGCTCTCATTGCTGATATTCAGGTAAGATTTCTGAACTAATACCGTTATTCAACTTTAATTATTGTGATGATTCCCTAAATCAGCCCGCCACCCAAAATCATTTTCATCATTAACCAGGTGACAGATTTTCAATCGGCACATCGTATTTCTCGTGTCTAGTTTGTCCGATCACCAATGTAGTGCTGATCTGTCGCGACTTGTCCGTTGCAGGCGACGTCGGCGCTGATGTGCCGGCCGGAGAGCGAGTCGGAGGCGGGCGGGGCGCCGCGGCCGCTCGGCGGCGCCACGAGGGAGGCGCGCTACATCCACCTCATGCGCACCATGCAGTTCGGTCGGTGGAGTTGTATATAGATATAGTCTTTTTTTTTCACCTGATGTTAACTGAATAACGCCGCCCATGGACGACTACAACACCCGATGGCTTGTAGATGACAACCTTCAAAAAACTGGGCCCCATGAGAGTGCACCTAAAAGCAACGTATTTATGCAATGTACAATTGGGCAGGCAACCAATGGCGTAAAGGAAACGTATACTACGTAGCAAAGTAGATCCATAGAATAATACATATATATATATACACATACACACTCATAAGAACATGTTAATTTACATACATACGTACATAAACATGTACTACACTCGCCGGACGAACCGCGAAAGTATAACACTTCCACTTCGTGCCGGTCTTCTATTAGGCCGCTGTAGTCCGCCCATCCGTGCAAGAGAAGCCGTAGTGAACGGTAGACGAGAATCGCCCGTCGCTGGTTGCAGAGACGTTCGAGATGATCGCCGAGTGCCCGGAGAACGGGTTCCGGTTCACGGTGCCGTACCACTTCGAGGGCACGGTGCGGGCGGCGGGCGAGCGCGCGCATCCCGCGCGCATGAAGCGGCTCGCGCAGGAGGCGGCCACGCTCGCCACCAGCCTGCCGCTCTCCTACTCCTCCTCGGTCTTCGTGCGCACCGACACGGACCGCCTCGACGTCATGAAGGTGCCCCATTGATGCCATCTAGCAGTGCAACTCGTTCTTCTTTCTTCTTTCTTCTCTCTCCCGTCCTTAGCCCACACAAGTTGGGGTGGGCACATGTCCTCTCCCTCCACTTTCCTCTGTCAGCCATCATCTCAATATCATCCAAATTCTTTCTCAGTTTACCTATAGTTTTACACTCTAACCACACACTAATCACTCTTCTAGTTTCATGTCAACCGACCACTCCTTATTTTGTCAATCACTGGTGCCTCTTTCAAACTTTCCCTGGTATACTTATTCCGGATCATTATCATTTCTAGTCACCCGGCTTAACTCAGTCTTAACAAAAAATATTAAGGTCCAAATACTTAAATTTTATGTCCGTCTTATGAATTTCTCTCCCCCAGTAAAGGAATGTATTTAAAAAAAAAAAACGTATTTAGGTTTCTTTCTTTCACATTTATTTCGCCACGTCAAGGTCTATCATAAGCTAAAGGATGACCTCACAAGCGTATAGGTATTTTGTTTTCTTTCTTTCACGTTTATTTCGCCACGTCAAGGTCTATCATGAGCGGTCCGCGCAGGTGCTGATTACGGGCCCGTCGGACACGCCGTACGCGAACGGCTGCTTCGTGCTGGACGTGTACTTCCCGGCGGAGTATCCGGCGGTGCCGATGCTCATCAACCTGGAGACCACGGGCCGCCACTCGGTGCGCTTCAACCCCAACCTGTACAACGACGGCAAGGTGTGCCTCTCCGTGCTCAACACCTGGCACGGCCGCCCCGAGGAGAAGTGGAACGCGCACACCTCCAGCTTCCTGCAGGTGGGCGCACAGACATCTAATCACAAGGAATAATGATTTCACTCAATTCACATCTTTCAAAAGAGTGAAGTGTTTTACTAACGATCTGTTATGAGACAATAAGAGTTAAGAATAAACATTTATTTTTAGTGCCAGTGTCTGTACAAAAGATGTATGGTGTTTCGTACTGTAAAGTATGCACACTAGATGGCGCCAAGCATTGCTAACAATGCATAAAGAACGTAAATAGAGGATCATAACTGCTGGTCATCGGCCTAGCTTTGCCTAATTGATGAAGCGTCTGGGTGCGTTATCCGAAAGACGCAGACTCGATGCTCGCAACGTCGAAAATTAATTTATCTACAAAAATTCAAATTTTGATTACTATATAAAGGATGTATCCACTACTTCCTTCGGATGAATCCCCCATCAAATGGAGGGACGACCTGTGCAAGTGTGCAACAAGTCTATGGGTGAGGCCCATGTGCGGTAGCGGAGTCGAACAGGAAGTGAAATGGTGACGTTGTGTCCGTCAGGTGCTGGTGTCGATCCAGTCGCTGATCCTCGTGCCGGAGCCGTACTTCAACGAGCCGGGCTACGAGCGCAGCCGCGGCACGCGCGTCGGCAACAGCTCCTCGCTCGAGTACAACTCCAACATCTACCAGGCGTGCGTGCGCTGGGCCATGCTCGACCACCTGCGCAACCCGGAGCCCTGCTTCAAAGAGGTGACCTTTCGACGGAGCGGGATATGCTTCTGCCTTGTTCGACAATAGTAGTAATGCGTGGACCACTGTGCGAAATCACTTAACAAGTTAAATTTTCTAACTTGTTCAAGTGATTTTGCGTTAAATTAGTTTTGTTAACAAGTGAATTTATGTTTCACTAAATTATAAAATACACATGTAAATCCACCTATCTTTTAATTCTAATGGGGTTGGTATACATTGATAGCAACCCCTGATCTTAGTTTTAATTGTGAGTACAGAGTGTTTGTCTGTAGGAAATCCACAAAACTGTTAACCCATTGCAGCAAGCTGCTCAGATTCCAATTTTGATTTAGATCACAAGGCATTGTTGTCTAAAATAATTTTAAAAATCTTAAAATAACATTGCAATAATGTAATAAATACAGAACTGCTAAAAAAAATTTGTATTGAAACATTGTCAACCCTAAATTTATATTGAAGGTAAAAAACTAAACTTTAAATTCATAAATATAGTTTTACAAGATATCGGTTTCATTTCAGGTTATTCAAACTCACTTCTGGATAAAGCGAAACGAAATAATGCAAACCGTTGCGAATTGGATCACCGAGTTGGAGGGCCAGAGCGGCGACGAACGCACACAGCGCAGCATACAGCTCAACCTAATGGCGCTCAAAGTAATCGGCTTTATATTATTCAGTTTCAATGTAAACAGCAGATGTTAATATGCTATGAAACATTGTTTCAACTGAACATATTGTGTGATCTGCAATAGGTTATGTTTATTTTTAAAGACTATGGTATATTGCATGGTGTGAGCATGTTATGAGAAGAGATGAAAGTTATGTGAGTGGAAGTGTGATGCATATGAATTTGTGGAGGGTCACAAAGCTAGAGGAAAGTTTTGGATATAAGATATGGACTATGATGTGTAGAGTGTTATGTCTGTGAATGGCCCACCATATTGAGACGACTGCTGGTTGAGGAAAATGGAAGGATACTGCATATTTGATATGGATTGTCTTACTATTGAAATGGGGAGAGAGATTCTTTTGTGAAATATATCACGATCAATTATTTCCTCTCTATTTGTGAACCGATTGGCGTGGGGAGTAGTGACCCTGCCTCTTGCGCCAGAGGGTGTGGGTTCGATCCCCACTACTAGAAAAATATTGCGTGATGAACATAGTGTTTTTCCAGTGTTTGGGAGTTGGTATATGTACAATATGCATTTATTTACGAAAGTAAAGTATGTTAAAGTATGTTCATCAGTTATCTATTATACCCATAGTACAAGCATTGCTTAGTTTGGGACTAGAGAGTTATGTGTAAAAATCAGCACCACCGATCCTCCCGTTCGCCATCGTCCAGAAGAGACCGAATGGAACATTGACTTTGAACATTTCGACTTTCCAGCGGCACTACGTGAAGCTGCAAGAGGAGCTGGCCAAGCTGCCGGTGCCGGCGGGGCTGGAGGAGCTGGACGAGCCGTTCCAGCTTCCCGCCGCGCCGTCGCCGCCCCCCTCCGCGCCCGCCGCCCCCCTCCCGCCGCCCACCAGCGACGAGATCGACCACGACATGGAGAAGATCGTCTCGCAGGTCCTCGACTGATGGCCACGCCCGCCGTCAGGCGCACGCCGCGCTCGAGACATCTCCCAAGATAACCAGCCCTGTGTCGAGGCCCCCTCCCCCCCCCCCCCCCCACCCGCAAAGTACAAGCCACAAGGGAACGTTGCGCGCGGCCGACGTCGCATTTACATTAGTCTAGTTTAGGATGAGATTATACGCGTATTATACATTCATATTTATTACGTTTTATTGGTTAAATATTATATATAATTTTTTAATCGCGACCCGCGTCGACTCGCGCAGTGTCTCCCGGAGCGCGTGTGCGTTACGCTTGTGACGGAGTTTCGTTTTTTCTATAGATTTTTATAGGTACATAGGTAGCGTTTAGTGGTCTAGCTTCGTTTTAATTTAACCCATATTGTGATATTATAGCGGGCAAGCGCCCGGTAAGCTGTTTCGTTACGCACGTACGGACCGACGTCGTTCGCGACCGCACGTATACAGCATCCATATGCTTTTAGTACGGGAAGCGGAAGACTCGCGGTGACCGCTCTACATATCTCAAGAGTTGGCGCGACTCAAAATTCCAAACCGCTTGCATATAACGGTTTACATATAACACGGCCGGGCGGGGTGACGCGACGTTTGCTACAAACGACTTAATTTTTATTAACGCCTACTATGTATATTAAATTATAACTTGATGTATATAAAAAAAGCTGTTTCATCGTGTTTCATTTTTTTTATTCTTTATTTTATACAACTGTATTTAAAGTGCCGTTTCGTCGCTACTCTCGGAGGGTAGGCGAGCGGTTCCATTGACGAGGAATGGTTAATAACAGCCGTAGTAAATTGTGTGAATTATAACGCATTCGCGAATTAGCAGCGACGGTGGAGCGGTGACGGTCACCCGTGGTCAACTGCGACCGCTCCGCCGTCCGCGCCCCACGTGGCGGAAGGTGTACGAAATTGCGACGGTGGCCTGTATATAGGAGAGAGTATGAACAACAATCTCTTAGGATGCTTTCGATGTACTTTCATCGGTTCAGTGGGACGTGTGACGTATATTGGATATAATGTTTTATTGGACTGTGAATTTCGGTATGGATGTAAATAAAAATTTACGTTATCACACACAGTTTTTTTTTTGTTTTTGTTTTCTTTCTACTTCGTTAAATTTTTTGTATTGTATCCCTGCCTATGTGTAAGATGGACCGGAAGTGTATATCCTATACCTGTATACACGAACCCGTTTGAATGAACAGTTACTATAAGATATATGTAAATACAGTCTGCGGGTGTTGCCCTAGTTGGGTGTAATTAATTGTTTAGACTAAACATGATACTATTACCAGTCATTTAAAATATAAACTGTATGAATTATTAATCATTATTTTCATTGAATATCCCTACGCAATTTAAATTTATTTTTCCATGTTTCAAGCTGTTTAGTGTAATTGTATATTTAATTGTTATACACTTCTTTTTCTTTTTCATAACCCGGGAGAGGTCGGTGTTAAAACAAAACTGCTCGTAGCAAGCTTAGTATCATTTGGCGTTCTGACACAATGAACTATTTGCCTGTGGTCTGTACATAAGTTCATTTGTAAACACAAAGCATATGAATGGGTTGAATGAATTTAAAAGAGACAAAACATACTGTTAGAAGGATAGGATGTTACAAATTTTGTTTCTTTTTTACTTAATTAGTTTGAAAATTTTTTTTTTTTTAATTATGGATTTTGTTTGACATTAATATTTTTTTATTATTATTGGCAAGTAGCGTTAGACGCGTTTTAATTTATTGTCGCTATGGTAACGACACGCTGTATATGTTAATTATGGTAAAGCGGAACAATTTTTAAGCCGGGGCGGGTCGCTACAGAAACTAACGCAGTTCGTGGTTCTGAATACAGAAACTAACTGAACTCGCCACGCGCGTCGCCGGCACTGGAATATAAAAAAGTCCGCCATTGTACACTATTGCGCAAATAAGGCCAAGGTACTTCATATACAGGCCTACTCTTGTCTTAGACCCATACATATGGACGTCTTGTGCTTCCGTGTATCCTGGATTTTTTGGGAAACCAAAGTCTGGAGAAGTGCTATCTCCAATCCCCAGTACCTACCGACGACGATTTTAAAGATTTTAAAATTTACCCAAGCTCGGCTAGCTCCTTTGACCTCATGGAATTTTGCCTGCTAGACGCTCAATGCAAATTCTGATCAATGATCATCTCATAGAACAAATCCGATAGGACAGTAATCCGTACCCATAAGCAAGGTATGATGTTTAAAATGAAAGACATTTAGTATCAATTATACGCACTTTATTGTTCGTCTATTTACACCGTCTCAATATAAAATTCCACTTAAAAATATTATTATGACTCACAATAACACGGAAATTGGCTCTAGCTACACTTAAGAAGCATTCCATTTAAACACCTTATGTAATAAATAACTTAAGGGACGCCCTAGACTCGATCGAAATTACTGCCATCGTAATGCATCTGTTTGTCAGTGCACGATCTAACTGCAATTATCGAGTCAATCGGACGAATCGATACAACTTTTGATCTAACACGAAACAATATATAATAGTTTATTAGTAGGTATTCGATTCCATCACAGATGGAGACATAATTATTTACATAAACAATTAATTATCCCTAACTAGATCTATTGGTATTATTATTTACTTATTAAGGAGTGCATGTAGTTTAAGTGTAAATTATTATTCAGACATGCTTAAGTGAGTTTCTTTTCCTCATTAATAACTAAAGAATCTAGAGCTTGGGTTATGGCACTTGTGACCTCGTTTCCAACGCCGAAGGACTCCGACCGACGCGTTTTAAATTCATTAAATTCTTATATATTTTCTACACAATTTTAATTAATAAACGTTATAATAACCACTTGTTAAACGCCGGCTCCAAATAGAAAACTATAATAGATTTCTAACGAATTAAGTAATTTAGAAACGATTGAGAAGTTAAGCATAGTATAAAATTAATACGCAGTAGAAACTTCACAAATAAAATACAACATCGAAAACATACAAGTTTTCAAACATACAAACAAACAAACAAGTCTCTTTGACACGACTTGCTTGAGTATCGCTTGCGCTTATCTTATTTACTGCATTAGGCGCTAATGATTTCGTATGCCATCGGTCGTAACCCTTGGCCTCGTATCTAATGCTACGTGTAGGTAACTAACTCTGCACTTTACTACTTAACAAGTAATTCTATATCCTGCGGGGAGAGTAGGCCGGCTTCCACGCACGATCTGCAGCAGAACCTGCAACGGACAACAGACATTAATATTCATTACGAATACCAAAATTGCAACTTTCCAAATCTTTATTTGGCGTGATTTTTTTTCTACATGAAAAGTTTATTTATTTATTTGGCTCGATTACATGTTTAAATGATTAAAGACTAATACATAATACTAAAGTTGCATTTCAATAACAACCGAGCACAACATTCAATTTGAATATGTTATATTAATAATGTATGTAATCAATTATAATTACTAATGTACTTATAACAAATAAGCAGACCAATATTTTCATATTGACAAGCGAGCAGGCGGTACACCTGATGTTGAGTGGTCACCGTCCATGGTTACCAAACATTAGGAATGTGGTACCCTCCCGCACCACACAAAACGCGAAAGTATAATAATTTTACTACACGCTGGTCTTCTGTGAAGACGTGGTTGTAGTAGCTGCTGCGTGGCCCTATCACAGTTGAACGCAGTTGCGGGTTCAAATTCAATTGAAACAAATATTTTCATGATGTACGACACCATTCGTCGTTGCCTTGAATCAATAAACCTTCAAACACAAGTCTCAATTAGGTGCTTAATCAAAATCGAAATCAAAAATATATTCATTCAAATAGACGCTTGAGCGCTCTTATGAATCGTCAAATTTTACATGAAAGATTATGTATATAGGTTCGTAAGGTACCACCGGTTCGGAAAGCAGTTTCTGTTGAGAACAGACCGGCAAGAGACTCGTAATAATTGTATGTATGTAATTAATGCACTTACTTGGAGTAGTACTTGTGTGTGCAGAACTTGCTGCGTACTATGAGGTGGCAGTTCGCGAAGAATGGGTTATCTGTGCACGTCGGCGGGATGTACAGTCCTGGAGTGAATATTTGCATAAGATCAGATTACCTATATAAATCCACCATAAACCCCTAAGTCAGCTGTTAGCGATATGATTAGTTTGAAAAGAAATATTGAACGGACATATTTTCGTTTAAACGTACCTGATAGGTCGTATAGGATCTGACATAGTCGCATCTAATAAACATGAAAGAAGTTTGGTAAAGACATTGTTTTTTCCATCACAGCTCTTTGAAAGTCGCCTTGCTCGAAGAGCCGTATGCAGGCCCTGATATATCAGCTCACGAGATCCCCTGATACGTACTGTAGATTTTCAGTCCATTAAATAATACATATCAAAAATTAATGAAGCATAAACTGGTCGGAAACCACATTGAACGGATCAAACGCGAAAGTATAATACTTCGTCACACTGGTTTTCGGTGAGGCTGTGGTATTTACTCGTATGACCCTGCCCATTCGTGCAACAGTATAAGCTGCTTAGCTTACGGACAGTTGTCAGACATTTGTTTAAAAATATGTGCGAACATTTCAATATTTTCTAAAACATTCTGTAATCTGAAAGTTATAAAAGGACAGATTGTGGGCTCACCTTCGACGTTGATCTGCAAGGTGGAGGAATGCGAGCTAAAGCTGTTCCTCGCATGGCAGCCATACAGGCCACTGTCGTTAATATTCGTAGACGTTATGGTCAGCCGAGACTCTGCAAAATATATTACTACGCATTAACAAACAATACTATAATAATTAAAATACGCTAAATTACAAACAATACTAAATCATTAATTTTCAATTCTTTTCTGCATAGTTTATTTGTTTTTAATAGTGTGTTGTAGTCCAGAGACTATTGCACAACTGTTGGATGTTAATGAGGTAATTTATCTTATATTGTCAAATGAACATCCCTTTATAATACTGTGGCAAAATTTCAATGGTAATTTAAAAATAGAACTGGTCCTTTTAGCCGGAGAAAGTAAATGATTTTCACTTAGCTTTTTAACGATCTTACCAGTGATCAGCATTCGATCATTAGTCGACAGAGGGACTCCGTCTTTGGTCCAGTAGACTTCTGGCTCAGGGTAGCCATCCACTTCGCAAGGCAGAGACAGTTGAGCGCCCGCCGCTATTGTTGTGGGCACCGTCAGGATGCGTGTTGTCACCGGCACTGTTTACGCGAAAACTTGTTTAGTGTACTGCTATAGAGTAGTAAAGTATTAAAATCTTTGTAGATATGTTAGAAAATATTTATATTTCAAGTTATAAATGACTTTAGAGATATTTTGTATTAAAATTTGATCACATTGAAACTATGGTGATCAGAACTGTTCAAATGAAGTCAAAACTATACAATAATAAAATTAAACATTTTCATATGGACCCTGAGTGCACCAGCAATAGTACACATGCAAAATTTGCCTTACATATGAATTCTAATCATAAGAAGATGCATTTTAAATGCTAACATACCTACATACGCCCCATCAATATAATTTACATACTATTTATAATTAATAAATTACAAACGGACATCGTGATGCATAGAAAGTACTTTGTATTTTATTTATAAATATATACTTGTATATCTATATTGCTGAAAAATTCATTAATATATATTCACATCCAAAAATACCACAACGTAGTTTTCTTTTAAGAATGACTTGGTAAATATTTCTTCGTGATAAAATGTATATAAAGGTAAATTTTAGAGGCAACACTAGCGATTTTGTAATCAAGTCACAAGTCTGCATCGCAGTGCAGGTATCAAATAAAAGTAAGCTTGTCAATGCAAGTAACCTTGTAGTTCACGGGTAGAATCACAATTGTACCTGCGAACTACAAGATTCACAATAAAACCTTGTGAAAAATTCAAAAGGTACAAATATAACAGTAGGTTAGGAATATAGGCATTATAAAAATAGGCATAAAAGTAATTATGTCGGAGAAAACATGCAAACCATGCAACATGCACCGTCCAAGGAAGGGACAGGGAACGACTAAGCCTTCCCCATGCTAAATTCCCGATCTTACCGGTGTACACGGGCTCCGTGATTTCCGGGAGCGGGGTGGTCGTACTCTCCGTCTGCGGCTCGCGGGGCGTTATCAGCACCTCCCGGTGCCTGTCCACCAGGTACTGGCTCTCGGTGCGATCGCCGTCGGGCCTGTACGCCTTGACCACCACCGACCACGAGGCGGGCTTGCCCACGCCGTTGTAGGCCTGGCAAGCGTATTCGCCCAGCGTGTCCAGGTCCAGCCGCCTGATCTGGAGCACGCTGCCGCGCGCCTCGTACAGCGAGCTGCTGAAGGGCACCATCGGCCCCGAGAGGCCGCGGTACCACACCACGATGATCGGCATCGGGTACCCGTATACCATGCAGCGCACGTTTAGGACCCGACCGATTTCGCCGGTGATCACGGCGTTCTCCTCGCCCGCTATGCCGACGGGCGTCGCCACGGGATCTACCCACCCCGTTAGTTACTAATCTACGTGGGTTCGGTGCTCGCGATGTGCGGTGAGCGGTGACGTCACGGCGTTTTGGCGATGGATGCGGTTAGTTTAACGAGCAGTTCCCACTCCAAACTTTTCTAGTTCATGACCGTAAATTTTATTTGTTTTATTTTGTTAATTATATTCACGGTTAATTATTATAGTTTATGACCGTAAATTTAATTTTTATTAATTGTATTCACGGTTGACTATGATAGTTTATGACCGTAATTTTTTTTATTAATTATATCCACGGTTAATTATTATCCATTACAGTTATAATATAATAGTTTTACATAAATATGTATTATAAATTTAACCACGTAGCTACTACTACTATCGTAATAACTCATAATTCCGCAACGTTATTCTTACTCCACGTAAATTGTTGTCCTTTTTTTATTAATGCCCACAATCGTAGTAAGTAAAAGAAATCGTTACGATTCGTTGAAATGAAAATACCGCAAAATAAAATTTCCAACGCCAAAAACCGATAATGTTTATTAACAGATTGTGCCGGATGAGCGCACCACAAACCCATTTGTTAATATTAAATAAGCAAAAAATCTAAGTCTACTCCAAACCAAAATATTTTGGATACACCTGATTTGGCAACTGCCAAACAATTGGCCATACACACTGGCCCAATATCGTTTAATCGGTCGTTGGACTCACAATGTGCTTTCGGTTTCCAAGAACCCTATCGTGAGCTTCCCGGCCCGCTTATCAGATGACCACTCATACTTTAACGGCGGCTGACTGTACCACGTCAAAATAAAATTTATTGTAATCGCCATATATGAAATGGAAACGAAACTATAAGGATACGAAACTGGTGACAGTTTCTGGGCATGGGATAATTAAATAAAATGTAAGATATTGACTTTTAAGATATATAAGAGATATCTTATTTGATATTTCAGCATTTTTATTTTAGACTTACGGCCGCTCAATTCAGAGAGTTTAACCATCGTTTTGGCAACTTAAATAACATTTGAAAAGCCATTTGACAGCTGATTAGTCAACTTCTACTATGATCAGTGTTTCAGAAACCGAGCGTTAGACTAAAGTTTTTTCATCGCGATTGAATTGAGTTGTCGCAAGGTCTGGAATTTATTATATTACAATAAAATAATTTTATGTTTTACTTTTACACTACTTTTACAATTGTTTCACATCATGATTTTTTATTACCATATTTTCAGTTGAAGTTTTTTCCGAGCTGCGGGCTGCGGCAAGTATATTTAATTTCTCTAATAAATGTGGTAACAGTCAATGCATCCTTCAATAAATTCATCCAGCAGACAGCGTCACGGTGATATTTTATGTATGAAGTAATTAAAAATTTCCATCAGTGCTGTAATGGTTGTTAATTCACGAGGAAATTGTGCCATAATTAAATAATAATGACCGCAAAACAATGATCGGGTGTATCCAAAACGTGAAAGTAAGCAATAAGGATTGAACCTCCATAAGCGCCGGCCCCAGCCAGCAGCAACCACAGCGTCAGTGAGGAACACAGAAACATCGTAACAGAATCGCGCACGCCACAGACAGTTGTTGACCGCGCGAAATACAGATTCAAACTGAGTAGGGTAATCTTTATAGTTATACTGTATCGGTTGGTGTCGACGCATGGCGATTTTTAGATACGGAAAGGATGAAAGAGTGAGACAGCAGATGTAATTTTTCAAAGTTGTATTGTTCAACCTTTCATTCATCTAGAACTTCTTGCCAAGGACCATGTTCAGAGTAAGATCGAAGACCATAGGTTAAAATAGGAACCGTTAACTTACAGTCATTCAAAGCGTATAATTTGAGTGTAGCAAATATTTTAATTGTGAATAATTTTGTTCCAGTCACATATTTGACTGTACCAGTCATATGTTTGACTACATGTTATGTTTTAGTATATTTGACGAAGGGTCATCGAATCATGGGGGCGTTTGTATCCTGATATTCAGATAAACGTATGTTGACTGGTAATGATTGTGCATAGTTATGCTGCAATTATTTGAGTTATCGCTAAAAGTTACATTACACTGAATTGTTTGTTAATACGGGCGAATGTTATTCCAGTATTGGGGTCAATACAAAACCTATCGGGTAATGATAAAACTATTAACCGTTTGAACATTGGCAATAACAAGATTTTAGAAGAACGAAATAAATATCAATATATAATAATCAACGCACTAAGATAAATAGGACGAATGTGAGGAGTCTTCAACGACATTACTTTTATAATAAACTGTTTAAAAATATCTAGATAAAATAGTCACAAATTATTTTCCCAGTGCCAGGATTCGAACCAGATTACGGGTCCAGATTCTCTACTAAGCCAAGCGGTCGACATTATCGCCGCGCGAAATTATCGATGTACTTCTGATGATTTAATGTACTTCCTTTACACCGAGTATAATTTCTCAAAGTTCGTTATTACAATGAATATTTCAAACTAGAGATGTCGCGTTTGCTATTGAAATATAATTTTATTTTTAAAAATTAAACTACAAATTGTTTATCATTGGCATGTGTTACTCGTTAAAAGTCTTAACTAAGTTAGACTTAGAAAGGGTAGTGGGTTATGCTTCCGCAAATATCCTAAAATCAATGATATTATGTAGAAATAAGAGGTACTAATACGGCACTAGTGCACCGAAACTGAGACACTGAATTTACTCCAATTGGTGTAATTGGTTAATTACATTGCATCTCTATAGACTGCTATCTCTTTCCGTATCATATGTTCTACATCATCCGTCACATTCACTTATATATGTCATATAATGTAAAGGTAAAAATTTTTAAACGCCGCGCACTATGGACTTCTCGGACTATCAGGAAATAGCAAACAAATTATTTTAGGTTTGAAGGTAACCGGGTATACCAGGAGCGAATGCCAGAAGTTGTAAGTACTTCGCCTGTAATAAAGGCGGCTAATAACGATAAATACTAAGTAGGTATTAAAAATAACTCTACACGCCGATTTAAAGCATCGCCGACATTCGATCCCGGATAGAGGCTTTAGAAACTTCTCACCTCAAGATCAAACTTTGTTACGCTGTATGGAAGTGTGATAATATCGAGGCGCGGAAGTGTAATAAAACCGTACTGCAATTGCATTAATGTTATCTGTAAGGGTGAAGGGGCATCTACGCAAAGACTTTACCGCATTAGACGAATGTGCATAAACAGATTGTTTTATAACTCTTGATTTTCAAAACTTTCCGCGTTAAATGAATTAAAACAAACCACAGAGGTCATAGGGACTGGGGAATTCCTTAACTTTTCGCTATTTTTTATTTCTTATCTTTTAAGAAACATTGGATCCTTTTGTAAAAAGGAGTTCTAACTATATTGGGTCTAAATACCGTTGTGTAAAAACATGTTCTAATCTATTCCCAAAGCTGTTTGCCCTATTGTAAAAAATTACTCACTCGACGTAATCACCAAACGAAAACAACAACCGAGCCAGTTATCCGAACGTTATCAGGGCGAAACTGTGTCAACAAATGCCCGTAAAATTTGGCCGTGCACAGATGAAACGATAGTATACAATTACAAACGCACGGTGTCCCTCAATGACGCTATGTCCGTGCGATATCAGAAAAAGAGTGATACATAAGTAAGAGAAACAAAGAAGAGTGCGTAAGAGAATTCGGTAAGTCACAGAAAAGGAATTGTGAGTAATCTACTTCTACTTCTATACTACGATGTTATTCAATTCCCATATGCATCGGTTTATTGCAGTAATAATTGATTTGCACGTCACCAATAAACATAAATCAATATAACAGTAATAATGTTATACAATCAAACAAAGATCGGAAAAGATCACGGCCGTCCACGGCCTCATAGCCGACCGGCGTGACGTGAAAGTGTTACTTAGCACTATCTTCCACAAATATGTAGTCCATCATAAATCATATTATATTAAAATCATATTAATCCTCCGTTTAATATAAGATAATATCAAGGGTTATTGGACAGTGACGTGTTTATTGGTCACGTGCAAAGCCACCACTGCCACCGTCACCAGCGTGCTCGGCACTCACCGTTGACGACGAGCCGTATCTCCTGGCGAGCGGTGCCCAGCCCGTTGTCCGCGATGCAGATGTAGACTCCGGTGTCGTTGCGGTACAGGGAGACGATCTCCAGCGCGCCGTCGGACAGCAGCCGGTAACGGTCCGTCTCGCCGTCGATCTGACGGGCCGTGTGTCATTTTAGATACATCAATTTCACGTGAACATGCATCCAGATGCGAAACAACTATCTGTGGATCGCACAAACAGTTGTCACGTATGGCAACTGCGTAATGGAGTCATCTATGTAATCCTAGTTATTTTGACTTTGACAGGAATGAGCGCTGTAAGCATTGGCAATTCTATTTTTGAATGTCTTATTCAAGCACAACAAAACACATCAACATCTCGCCGTCGATCTGACTACAGGCCGAGATTCAATTTTACGCCATCTTTGTCACTTCGACTATGACAGGAATCATCACCACGGCGAGCATTGACCATCTTCAACCTGACCAACCATCGTCACTTCGAGATTGCCGACGACTAAAATTGTTGACTTTTGTCGCTACTACTTGCGCTGGATAGAATTGGAATTGGGATTTGGTTCATTGTTACCTATTTATCACTAAACAATGCCTGTAGCAGTTTCTAGAGCGTCATGGATTTGGCGTATTCTTTCAACATACAGAACACACTCCAACGTGAGATAATAAATTGTAATCGCGTGGACACCAAACCTGTTACTGTATCGGTGAGTATCATCAAACGCCTGTTACTGTAACGGTGAGTATCATTAATTTTTCTCACCTATTTTCTGTTTAATGGTTGATCCATTCCAACCAAGTAAGGATGTCCTGTCGTGGGTATTTTGAATGACACTTACTGTTATTTCCCCGCGGCGCCAAGTGATCTTGGGCGGTGGGTTGCTGTGGAAGAGGCAGCGCAGCGTGGCCTTCCCGCCTTCGTTTGCGGTCACTTCGGGTTCCGTTTCGGCACTCGCTTGGGGCGCTTGCGCTAACTCTGGTGTAGAAAATAACATCTCGATTAAAACCAAAACAGTTTTAACAGTCTTTTGATCTTTGATGGTATTAATAATACGGAACCAACTGAATATCAACAAAGGCTATTTTTCCTTAGAGAATATAATATAGTAGTAAACATCAGTTTATTTAAAAAAAACTCAAACTTCAGTTTAACTTACTTCACTATCTGCAATTAAAACAAATTGTCATTAGATGGCAAAATCAAATATTCTACATAAAAAGTTTTTTAGCCATTGGTTATACGCTAGTATGTGTGTGACTAAAGGCACGCTACTAACGCAATGAGCAGCGCCACACACATGCTAGTGTGCGCGTAACTAAGAACACGCCACCAACGCACTGAGCAGCGCCACACACACGCTAGTGTTCGCGTGACTAATAACACGCTACTAACGCAATGAGCAGCGCCACACACACGATAGTGTGCGCGTAACTAATAACACGCCACCAACGCACTGAGCAGCGCCACACACACGCTAGTGTTCGCGTGACTAATAACACGCTACCAACGCAATGAGCAGCGCCACACACATGCTAGTGTGTGCGTGACTAATAACACGCCACCAACGCACTGAGCAGCGCCACACACACGCTAGTGTTCACGTGACTCATAACACGCTACCAACGCAATGAGCAGCGCCACACACACGCTAGTGTTCGCATGACTAATAACACGCTACTAACGTAATGAGCAGCGCCACACACATGCTAGTGTGTGCGTGACTAATAACACGCCACCAACGCACTGAGCAGCGCCACACACACGCTAGTGTTCGCGTGACTAATAACACGCTACCAACGCAATGAGCAGCGCCACACACATGCTAGTGTTCGCGTGACTAATAACACGCTACTAACGCAATGAGCAGCGCCACACACATGCTAGTTTGTGCGTGACTAATAACACGCCACCAACGCAATGCAGCGCCACACACACACTAGTGTGGGCGTGACTAATAACACGCTACCAACGCAAGGAGCAGCGCGACACACACATGGCGCACGCACACGCACGCGTCCCGCACAGCGCACTCACCGGACGCATAGGTGGAGGGGTGAGGCGCGGGGCTGGTGGCGGCCACTTCAGCCGGCGCTAGACAGAGCTGGCTGCAGCCGCGCTCGCAGCACTTGCCCGCCCCGCGGCAGTCAGCGTCGTCGTTGCACTCGCGCCGGCACGAGCCGTCCACGGGCGGGGAGTCCTCCACCGACGGGCAGGTGCCGGTCTTGTTCACTGAGGGGAAAGTACGCAATTAACGACCGTATCAGATCGGGCGTGTTTAGTGGAGAACTCCGGAGGCGTAGAGTGCAGCCAACTAACTGTACTGCTTGACGAGCCATCGTCAATTCCTACATCGCGTTTTATTAGCTACTAGATGGGAATATTTATTAAGGTTCTTGGTACCTGCTAAAGAACGAATACTCTTTAAGTGATATGGTAGACCAGTATTTAAATCTCTTTGACGGTCTATCAAGCTCGTGAAAACTTAGCCTCTCAACGAGTGCCCGATGAAACCACATGTGGTCTACAGACCGAAGGTGAAAACTCGAATCTATCGAAAACAAAGAACAAAATATTGAACTTAGGGACAATCTATCCGAATATTTTAATGCTAATTTTATGCCCAAATTACCAGAAACTTTTACCGAGTGACTAAAGTTCTTCGTAGAAATAGGGATTAAATCATGTATAGCATTGTCGGGTTATGCTCACCAATGTTACATCCAGCTATGTAGCTGATCTCCTGCAGCACTGGATCCCTAAATACAGTCGGGACGCAGCGCTCGCCCTCCGCGCATTGCTTGCTCGCGCAAGGGTGGTCCAGACATTTGCACCTGTTGGACGATAATGTAGGTCAGGGAGATAGCAAAAATTGAACCCAGATTGCAATAGTTAATTAAAATAAATTAAAGTGGTAGCCTATACATGTCTCACTGATAGGCAAAGTCTGCTAAAATTTTTTCGTTGCTGTGGGTTTCGAGTCTGTGTCTTCCGGGTAACGCAGACATTCTAGCCAAATGAACTAAGTGGCCGATATTTTTTATATTAACATTAGTATTTCACTTATTCTATTTTACTTAATACTAAAATATTGAAAAAAAATTTCAATTTTAAAAAATGCGTTATTCATTCAATTACGATGATACAACACACATAGTAATCGATAAACATACAATTTTATGCGTTTTTACGTGCTAGTCTATGCACTTAAGATTAAACGTCAAAATTTTTAAAAAAGTACGAAAATATTGTCGCCGCTGTGGCAATCGAACCCACGTTTTCGAAAATTGCCACACGCCGACGAAAATCTTCACGTCTTTTATCTACATTGTTTTTAGCATTTGAAGCAACGCTTGGCGCATCCATTGTTATATCCTTTCCAGACGTTTAGCTTAGTGGCTAAAGAGTCAGGCCGTGAACGGCGAAGACGTGGATGCGATTCCCACAGCGGCGACAATCTTTTCGTACTTTTTCTACAAATTTCAACACTATAAAACTCATGAAAAAAAAATGGACACGGGCATACCTCTCGCAGCCGTCGTCGCCGGTGCTCCTGACCATGCCGTAGTTGCATTTCAGCCGTTCGCACTCGAGCCGCAGCGGCTCGCAGTCGATCTCCACCTGCACGCAGGAGCAGCGCTCGCAGCCGGTGGCGGTGCGCGTGCGCTGCACGCCGTACGCGCAGCGCAGCGCGGCGCACTCCTCGTTGAACGCGTCGCAGTCGGGCAGCACCTCGTTGCTGTCTGCGGGGGGAGCGGCGCTTAGTCTCGACGTCTTCCACTCGTCACGCCAGTCGTGGCAATCGGTGCAATATGCACTTGCACAGGGGGCGTTGAAGTGCTCGCCGACCGTACCCGTACATTGCACAGATTGTCTTTAAATGGTCGCCGATTGCACATACTGTAGGCACGTGTTGAACATATTTGTGGTCCACGAATACGTTTCCACTTGTTTTGTATTGTCTGCGTGCATTTTCTTTTTCTGAAACTTTACTTTACGGATGCCCGTATCAGAAAAACGCCGTTTAGTCGTTGCAGTGCTGGGATAGCAGATGGGTTTTCCCTCGAACTGATTCTTCAAAGAATCGACAAGAACACTCGAGCTAATCTTTACACCAAACAGTAATTCAAGTGTCACAACCACATGCTACATCAACACAACATTGTGCATTAACGTACATACATATACTGAATTTGTGAAAAATAATATTTAACTATACTATAAGTACCAACCATTCTTATATAACAACAAACATAACCTTACGCTATTCGATGTAATACCTTACTAAACTTTTAGAAATATTTACCTTCTAGGAATAGAAGATACAAAATAACAATATGAATAACGATCCCCCAGGGACGCCATTGGTGCATTGTGCTAAAACCAAAAGGAAAGCGTGAGCAAGCGGTGCAGGAGATTAGTGTTATAGCCAATCACGTCAGTCAGAAGCTCGACGGTAATATCATAGGACGGTTAGTTTGAAAACAATCGGTCGACAGCGAGGACTGACACGACAACGATTCCACCGACTGTGACGTCGCATGGGACGGGCGCAAGCGATCGTGTATTGTACCGGCGGTCGTCGGAACCATGCAGAGGCCCGAGCACTCGTCGTAGTTAACAAAGTTGTTCAGATTGCCCCCGCAGCCGAAGTAGATGAAGGAGAGGCAGTCGCCATAGACGCCGCTGTAGTGCCAACGGCGGGACGGCTGCCCGCACTCGCTGGTGCCCATCGACAGCGGCTGCAGGCACGCCGGGTCTGCCCCCCACCACCCCAAGGTTAGTCACCCCCGCGAGAATGCCTCGTGATAGCGGTTTACGGACGCAGCCATAGGATTTATAGGGAAAAAGTTTTATTGTAGTTGCGATGAGAGACCATGTAGCACCAGTTTTCGAATTATTTACGAAACGCAGACCGAAGTCTCAAGCCAACTTTATACAGCGGACGCCCCAACTAAACGGAGAAACTTTAACTTAATCGTTACTAAAATAAAGCCTAAGAGAACTACTTAGAATGTAGAAAGCTGATGGAGATTTTAGTTTAGATCGCACTTTTAGTATAATTATAGGAAAAGTGTACTACATAAGTAGAAAATCTAAATATGATGTGTTAGTGTTAAAGATCTGAACTACATACCGGGTCCAGTGGGTCCGCAGACCTCTTCACATTCCTCAACAGAGGAGAAGCGGTTGGGCCCACCGAGGCAGCCGCCATACGCGAACGGCTGGCAACTTCCAGTGCTGGCCTCCCAATACAGCTTCATGATTCCAGTCTCCTGGCATGGGCCAGGGTCAAGCCGAGATCCACAAACGTCTGTTATAGGATCATCGATATATTATTTAGACGCAATTCGATCAGATGTAATTGTAAAATTATTATGCGGGATTGCAAAAGGCGACACAGCAGCCGCCTCGACACGTCTAGGAGTCAGTTAGTAGTCGATAGTTGGTCTTAATCCTGTGATTTTGACCTTGGGAGCTTGAGTCCATTGTACTCTAAATCTTGACTCACCAAGTCCACGGAAGGCGCCGCATCTCCTCTCGCACTCCTCTTCGCTGCGGTAGGAGTTAGAGTAGCGGCAGTTGCCGAATTCAGCTACGAGACATGCTCGTCGCGAGGAATCGTAATAGAACACTGTAGCATTGCCACCGCATGGCTGAAGAGACTCCGGGGTGCGGCATTCCTCTTCGACCGGCTTAAGGTTTGGCAAGAAAATTGGAAGATTAATTGTTAACTGTCATTCATAATTTGAACACAGATACTGAATATCTCCGAATATTATTAAGTAATGCTCAAAATATCTAAGTAAACTTCTGGAGAAGATTTATCAGAAAGATTAAAAATCATCAAAGATATCAATGAAAACTTAAATAACATGTGAAGTTCAGTCCCTAAGACTTTTTTCGGTGGTAAGGCCACGCAACAGTGTTTGCTGTTGCACGAATGGGCAGGTCCGTCCGGGTTAGTAACACGACCTCACAGACGACCGGCGTGAAGTAGAAGTGTTGCACTTCTGCGTTTCGTCTGGTGTGTGAGTTAGCTGGGGCCCACTTTATTAAGATGTGGCAACGCATCTGCAACCCTACGGGTGTTGCAAATGTCCATGGGCAGGCGGTTATCACTTAACATCTGGTGAACCGCCAGCTCGTTTGCCACTTTAAAAAAGACTGTTCGGTGTACAAATTGTTGTTCCGAGCTTAAGTGTTCTGTGCCTGGGACAATAATCTTATAACCTAGTCTACGTCCTCGGCGGTTAATGCCACTTGAAATTTGATTGTCCCACGTGATAGTACACAGTAACTTTTATTTATCAGTATGCTAGAACTTACTATCTCTTGCGTTGTGGTTGTCGGCGCAACGGTGGTGGTTGTCGTTGTTGTGGTGGTGGTGCTGTCGGCTATCGGTGAAGTGGTAGAGACGGCGGCGACTGGCGTCCTCACGCACCGTCTCTCGCATTGTTCACGAGTATCGAATCTGTATTGTAATGGTGTTGTAAAGGTCATTGTCGCCAAAGTCAACGAATTGCCTATTGTTTTAGAATAAAACGCTTTTGCCTTTTATGCTATTGACTATAAGAAGGCTGGTTCTTTTCTCCAGCTAACGTGGGCTAATAATGTGGAATTTAATTAGTTTTTAATATTTTTAACATTTTCTGTTATTTATTACGCTATAAAGGTAACGTACGCTATAAATTATTCCTAGATCTCAGTGTATAAATGTCGCAATGGAAATCTTTTATCAATAAAGATTTACAATAATGAAAAACACCACGAAAAACAAAAAATTCACGATAATTGGAAGCCCAGTAATCCTCAATGGTAGAAGTGAAAATTTCAGAAGAAATGTGCATATATTGCAGAAAGGTAATGACACTACACAATATCTACCTATTGTCATTCCCGTTGCAGCCGCCGTAGACGAACTGGTTGCACTCGTCGCGAGTTTCGTCGTAGTACCACATCACGAGGTATGCCAGGCAGTTGCCAGGCTCTGGCCGCTGTTTGCATGGGTCTAGTGAAAATGGAGACATGTCAGATTAGCTCTCCTCATTATTCTCCTCCCCTTTCCCGCCGTTAGTTACTTTTCATTCTTTTCTAAAATGAAATCATTTGATCGTCTTGTATTTGTTAAGCTTTTTTACTTCAGAGATTTCCCGAGATTACTGGTACCCTCCAAGTTGCGCCTATCGAGCATTCAATTCAGTTTTGTATCAGTTAGAGTATTAAATTGAAAAGCTTTAAGAACTACGCAGAATTCATTTGATTCCAATATTTTAAAGTCTCTTGATGATATTGGTTGTAAGTTCAAAAATTGCTATTGATAAAATTTCCTTATACAAGCAAGAAAAGAAAATAAGGGTACATAATTTTTACAAACAAAACATGAGTATAACTAGAGGCCAGTGGAAAACCAAACCAGACGAAAAATTGATGATCAACTTTGTTACCTCTTTAAGTCAAACAGTCACAAATGCGTCTAAGGAAGGATGGATGTTTTTTTTTTTACGCGAAAAGTTGTCAAACGAGCAGACGGTTCACCTGATGTTAAGTGAATACCGCCGCCCATGGACATCTGCCACACCCGAGGGTTACAGATGCGTTGACAACCTTTTGAAAATTGGGCTTTGTATGTGCTTACCAGATTGAGGCTTGCAGATCTCCTCGCACTCCTCGAGGCTGGAGAAGCGATTGGGCCCGCCGTGGCAGCCACCGTACATGAACTGATCGCAGCGGCTGGCTGACTCGTCGAAGTAGAATTTGGGCTCGAAGGAGCGGCACGGGCCAGGGTCCACAGGATAGCGGCACACCTCTGAGGAAGGAAGGAGGAAGGAGTTAAATGTATAGTATTTGCACAAAGCTAGTCAGGAAAATTGTAATACATAAATAATCCAAGACTGGACGGTATCTAATTTGCAACCATACATGTCACGCGTTTGTAGACACATTGCATACATTACGCCTCTTTATTTACTTTGTCTCCGTGTGCTTTCTTTTTTATCGTCTGTTATAATTTTTTCCATTTGACGTAAAATCGTAAATTTAATCGAGTAATTTAAAATTTGCCAACTTTTTTATTCGAATACGTTGCCTTTTGCTGGAGTCTATCCAAAAGACGTTTTCCTCGCTGCATGATAACCTTTTCCTGATAGGTTTCCGAGTCTATATCTATACTAGTTGTCCGCACCTAAATTTCTCGTGTCACTATTTGGGCAATCGAACTGAAGTTGTTACGCTGGATAAAGGTTTTTTTTACACTTATGTCAACATAATAGCTGTATTCTATTTTTATTTTTATTTTAATATTTTTGTTTTAGTTGTATTTTTTTCTATTTAACATACATTTACTTACAAAAATACGTTAATATATCAATGTTGTGTTTGCCTATAATTTGGATGTGCAATTAGTTTTAAGCATTTACATTATTGTATAGATGACCTAAGTAAGTTTTATTGTCACATCTGCAGGTGAGCTTAATAAATTAAAAAAAAAAAGGTAGCTCGCTTAGCGGTTGCGCGAATCCAGGCGTCCTGAGGGTTTACTCACCGATGTTGCGGAAAGCGCCGCAGCTTCTCTCGCAGGCCTCCTGCGAGGCGAAGGCGCCGCTGTTCCTGCAGGAGGCGCCTGGGCCCGAGTTGTCGTGGGCCAGGCACTCGCGCCGCCCCGCGTCCAGGTACCACACGGTGCCAGGAGCCACGCACTCCTCCAGGATGGGGGACACTTGGCAGATTTGCGGCAGCACCTCGACCTGTGGGGGGATGTGCTACATTATCTTATAACTGGCATTAAAGTTATTTTCTTTTCCTCTTTGTATTGTAATCTTTTCTATGATCATAATCGCCAATTAGGTACTGGAACTACACCAAACGAAATATCTATCAATAAGTTGAATGTTGTGGTCTTTAAATAAATATAATTTTTCAGTGTGAATTAACGTGATGGCCTGTATTTAGTAATGAGGATTGGAACCCGGTTCATTCAGGATACGCTTTATTACTTCTTTTTTTTACAGCAAATGACTACTTTTTCATTATATGAAAATTTACGATGAAATTTTTGAAAACTAGACATACATTTGCTAGTGAAATTTTAAAGAAAATTAATATTTATCCTACAAAGTCGTGGAGTCAGACTATTTAATTATGTTTGTAATATTTCTCTGGAGTCAGACTATTTAATTATGTTTGTAATATTTCTCATTTAATGGGACACTTTTAGAAGTTCCGATAGCTACAGCTTCCTGTTATTGGCACAAACTCCAAATCTTTAAATCAAACTATCGACTAGTCCGGCAGATTGAGCTCGAATCAGTTTTTACCGCAGCGGGCGTTGTCGTAGTCAGTGGGCTCTCGGTGATTGTCGTCGCGATCGTGGTGGTGGTGGTGGGGGATGTCACAGGCTCCGCGCCACCAGTCCTGCAGCGCCTCTCGCAGGCCTCCAAGCTCTCAAAGCTGCAAAATCAACGAACTTTAAACATCTTTTACAAGACATGATAATAAAAGATCTAACCGTTCACTTGACATTGAAAGTTCAGAATTTCCATAAAAAAGCAGGTATTGGTAGTAAAGAAAGGGATTATTTTATGCGAGACGGTGGCAAGCGAGCTGGCGGTTCACCTGATGTTAAGTGGTAACCGCCAACCATGGACATTTCCAACACCCGTAGGGTTACAGGTGAGTTGCCACACTCACCAGACGAAAGCATAATTGTGAATGCTTATTTTTGCTCACTGCACTCGCTTACCGGTTGTCGTTGCCGTCGCATCCGCCATATGTAAACTGACTGCAGGAATCCGTTACAGGATCGTAGAACCATCGCATCAAAGAGTCGTCACACGGACCGGAGCGCATCGGCAGTTGGCAGATGTCTAAACCGAAGGAACGCATGTAAGTAATCATCACATCTAGATAATCGACAAAATTGAACATTGAGTTAATTGGACTTCTCTTTCTGGACATAATTATCCAATACTATGTAGGTATACATTTGTGTTTGTATATGTGTGTATATGTATATGTACTGTATATATACTATTTATGTAAATATTAGTATACGTGTATATTTATATGTAATATCTAATATATAAAATTCTCGTGTCACGGTGTTTGTAATTGAACTCCTCCGAAATGGCTCGACCGATTTTCGTTAAATTCTGTGTGCATATCGGCCAGGGTGGGGAATCGGACAACATCTATTTTTCATCGTGGCTATTTAGCATCTCCTTATTTTCTCCTTATATTCGTATAGAACACCTAATGGTGTTAAGTCCTTTTGTACTTTTTATGTGCATAAAGTTTTAAATAAATAAGTAGCTTGGTACGAGTGCGAATCAATGGCGCAGTTGCAAGTTATTGGCTTCGGTTACGGTTTCGATTCCCACAGTCCCACACGTATAACGACAGGTATTTGTGCGACCCACAGATAATTGTTCCGGAAACTGCGTGTTAATTCCCTTAACTAAACGAGGGTTGACGTCATTATGAAAATATTCACATTTTATGCCGACTCTACCTATGTAGGATAAGGGAAAAGTAAGGTATTAAGATACAGATGGGGCAGATATAGCCGGTGCTGCTTTTCATCGAATACATTTGGTAAGAGAACAGTGAATCTATAACTTCGCTCATTTTCTGTAGTCACTACTATAGATCTATGTGCTTCAAGAGTTATAGAGTTGTAGAGTTATAGCATAACGTCTTTTGCCAACACAAATAACTTCACTGGCCAATGGAAAACTAATTGAAGATTCATAGCAATGAGATAGATGGATATAGGAACCAGACCATATTTCCGTACTGGCACTGGACATGGTGATGAATTTCACACTTCGCCTTCAGTGACGGATAGTTTGGCTCACCCTGTGCACTGGCGCAGAAGTATTCGCAGTGCTCCCGGCTGGGGAAGTTATTCCTGTTCCCGCCACACCCGCCGTATTGGAAGATGGTGCAGCCGCCCAGGGAGGGGTCGTAGCCCCAGCGCGCCTCCAGCTGATCGCACGGCCCTGGGTCCAGCTCCAGGAAGCAGTTGTCTGCAAGTCAGGGCTTTATGTAAACGTCTTTAGAGATATACTGGGATGTTAGCATGTTAACTTTACTAGGTAATTCTTGCTGAGCGGGTATTATGTCGACATATTAATACTTGAGGCATAAACTTTGTACTTTTTACGAAAATTGCGCGGAGGTATGTGAAATTTCCCACACTTATAGTTTATATAGAAAAGGAGTGCAGAGTGCTAATATTTTTTTGTAGTTGTTATTATTTTGTTTAGTTATGCATAAAAATACATTAAATCAATATAGAAAATATTACACACACTACTATGTACTTGACACACACGCATATATACTCTTTTGTTTAATATTCAAACTTATAATCTAAATTAATTATGGTCGTATTTTGACCACTCAGCGTCCACTAGTTGTAATAAATGCAATTAATATTATTGGAAACAACGTTAGAATTGTAAATAGATGTGTTGATGATGTTTTATAATCAATTGAAAATTGTTAATGTGGCTATTAATTTTTAGTTCACATACTAGTAAGAAAAACTGCCTTCATTACGAGATAATTGGGTCCTGTGATGTTGGTGCTATACAACACAGATAAAGTGCGAATGGATATGAACCCTGTTTATTGTGCAAACGACGAAGCTGATGCTGAAGTACAACGGATACAAAGCATGCCGGTGTGAAGTGAAAGTATAATACTTCTGCGTTATGTTCGGTGAGCGACGTAAATGGGGTTGTTGTCTACAGTCTACAGTTGTGAGGATGGGGGACACTTGGCAGATTTGCGGCAGCACCTCGACCTACGGGGTGATGTTGTATATTATCGTATAACTGGCCATAAACTTCCTTCCTATTCTTATTTCTTATTGTATTGTAATCATGTATTTCTTCTTCTTTCTTTATTTTTTTTTTAAAAACATTGCCCTTACTTTAGCATAACATTATCCTGTGTTGTATTTTGTATGTTGTGGACGTTTTACAATTTAGTTTTAAATTTCACGTGGACAAACACCAAGATGCGAAACATCTATCTGTGAGTCGCACAAATAGTTGTCCCGTGTGGGACGTAATGGGGTAAGGGTAACGAGTGGTCTTTAAAGGTCGGCAATGCATCCGCAACCTCACGGTTGTTGTCTACAGTTGGTGACAATCACTTAACATCAGGCGAGCCTGCTCGCATATGATTCTCTCTAGTAAAAAGTCCCTTACGAGGAATTGCTTACCTGACAAAAGCCACGCTGAGGCTTATAACTTAGCAAGTACAGGATGGTATAAGTTTCGGTAGACTACTATGCTCACCGGATTTGTATGGCTCTGGCGCCTCCGGCACCTCGGTGGTCGTGGTGGTGATCTGGGAGCAGCGCGCTTCGCACTCCTGCTGCGTTCCGAAGCTGTTCTCGTTGCCGCCGCATCCGCCGTAGTAGAAGTGTTTGCATCTGGTGGTGAGAAGACATAGAGTCAAGACACCAATTCTTTTAAAACATCGCTCTTACTGTGGTATAACATTATCCTGTGTTGTAAGGACGTTTTACATACATAAATTTCACGTGGACAAACACCCAGGTCCTAAACTATTATCTGAGGGTCACACAAACAGTTGTCCCGCGGCGCCGAAGCCAATACCTTGGCGTCTGCGCCACGGAGTCATCAATTGGATCATCACGGAGTCATAATTACAGCACATATGGCGTTGACGGTGAGGTATAAAACGCCCCGGCTTTGCAATGTATTATACATATAAACCTTCCTCTTGAATCACTCTAGCTAGTAAAAAAAACTGCATCTAGATCCGTTGCGTAGTTTTAAACATCTAAGCGTACATAGCGACAGACAGACAGCGGGAAGACTTATTATACTATGTATGTAGTAATAGTCCGCACCACGCGAAAATTGACGTTTTATTTACTTTATTTTTATTGCATTTGTAGCAATGGTTGGCGTTATCTAATGTGAATCCATTACCCCAATCACACACTCTCAAATTACATTTTTTACATCGAATATATACCTTTGCTATTGAAATTCATTTTTGGTGCCAGTCGCTGAACTTAAGATGAAATTTAAAAATGTGTAGATAAAACTGACGCAAAACTTTTTCTGTCAGCGGCGAAAATGGACGCGAAATCCGTAAGGCGTAATTTTCGGTTTTATTTCGATAGGGAAAATAAAAGCAGTGGCGGATTTGTAGTCTTAGCCGTCCTAGGCCCCATCCTATGTAGTAAGTTCCAGCCGCCCCTTTCTCAGAGCCCATCATATATCTTGTTATCATCAGTGAAGTTTTTGTGACGATTGGCCGCCCCCAATATGTGGCCGACCTAGACCCGGGCCGATTGGGCCCATCACAAATCGCAAATCGGCCAATGAATAAAAGTGATTGTTTCAAACACCCGACGCTTCGAATGTTTTACAGCATTCTTGGTCACGGGTTGGCCTGAGTGGATCGGAATAAAATTTATAATTTTGAAGCTCACGGTGGCCCGAGTAAACAATGTCACCAGGCGCCTGACATCTCAAGTCCCAGGTCAGCCCGTGACTATCCCACAAAATATTTGGTATTCCGCGTGTGGCCGAATATATTATTCGCTGCAAGCCTAATAATCTGTGTTCACAAACAAAATCGAATAACAATCGTTTTGTTCTACTCAGCTGGTATTAAGAGCTAGACAAATCAAACTGCATCTCACCGACACACTACCATTGAAGGTGTTGCGCAAACACCGAGACAAATTAAAGGCTTATATAAAACGCGATTCACGCGTTGATTTGTATCCAACAGGAGCAATGGATATATAAAATAATAACTGATACCCATGAATTCGTCTGCGTTGTAATGTGTTTCAACTAGAATGGCGAGAAAACACACAACACTAAACTCGGTGCTTATTAAACTTGTAGTGATATCACAATATTTTTTTGGTTAAGGGTGTTTGAAAAATAAAATTGAAAATGTTTCATTCAAATCAGTAGCTTTTTCCGTGATGGCCGCACAACAGTAGACCTCTATGATTGTTTTAAATATAGATTACAATTGGTCTTTTGCTAAAAAACAAAAGGAATTCGTCTTGAATTGGCTGTAGAACAGGATTTTTTTTTCATTTACCTCGACTCTGTTGTGTCGTAGTACCACCGGCCAGTATAATCTGCACACTCTCCAGTTTCCGCTGGGAGCGTACATATGTCTGGCGCTGGAAAGTGAATAACGAATGTAGTTTTTGTCAATCTTTCACTTTAGCCAATAGATATAACTATAGGAGTGTAAGATTTCAGCTAGTTATCATTCATTAACACCATTCAGTAATAAAGTATTTTAAACCAAAACCATGCTGCTATCTAGAAGAGTGTGATAATTTATATGCACGTACGATAAATAAAGGACTTTTAGTAAAAGAAATACAAATATCATGCAATGCAATACCATTAAAATGAACCCATAAACTTTAATGTTAAAATGTAAGTAAACCAATAAACCTCCAATAGTTTGTAATTAAGCTGTCTTACCAATCGTTCTTCTTTCAGAAACTTTTTATATTTTGAATCATCTTACTAGTTATTCGATCGCGATTAATTTCATTTTAACATTTTACGATGTGTTTTTGGAAAATTTGTTGTATTATTTCTCGTTGGTAGGCTTGCTTGAGCTACGGCAGTGCGCGTCGGCCTTTCTAGAAGCTTCTTTCGTTGTCAGAGCTTACCGAAGGCGCTCGGACACGCGGCCGCGCAGGCTCGTTCGGAGTCGAACCTGTTCCCGTTGCCCCCGCAGCCGGTGTAGTAGAACGGCACGCAGCGGTTCTCCGTCTGGCTGAAGGACCACGCGGCGTACCTTTCCGTGCAATTGCCCGCCTCTTGGGGCAGTGCGCAAACCGCTGTTCCAAGCGTGTTAGTCAGAAAGTGTAGCGGTTCCATTGATTTCGGCATGATTTATCGAAATAATTTCAACAGTTACTCTACGCATAGACGCGTAGACACGTCAACAGCAATGTCAAAAGTTTTTAAATTTTAAAAAGTTATGGAATTTTGTGCCGTCAGATAAGGAGGGAATAAGGGGATAAGTTTCGGAACACCTTCCGAACGCGACGAGTTTAAAAAATTCAATAATTTTATTGTTTTGAGTTCGTTTAAATTAGGAAGATCTGGTAACCGATAGCTAGTTTAAGATAGTGGGCAATAAAAAAATTGCTTTGGGACATAAAATCAATGGAAGCGATAGTTAATTATAAATTAAATAATACCAATAAAAAGCATCACTTAAAATCACTAGAAGCACATGTTATTTTTAACCAGAAAGTTAGAAAGAGATAGATAATGTAGACAGGACAGATATTTACAAAACAGACTCAGGCATGCATAAAGTGTTTAAAAGAATAGATTTCACACAAGACTAATTTACTTAATCTTTTTACCATCAAAAACATAAATGGTCTTTTCAAATGCAATGGCAACAGAAGGACGCAATGCATAAAATTCGAAGAAATATCATATTTTTTCAATACATCTTAGTTAGTTTGTTATGATTTTACATTAAACCCGCATTTGGAATGCACGTGGAATCCGCATCCACGCTCGTGGGCGTAAAACTTGCTTATAGTCACAGTTTCCTGCACCTCCCAACGCAATGCAGATTTAATTTCCACGTAATCCCGGCATCACATCGTGCAATCTTCCGGAAATACTGGGCGTGAGAACACGTGAGCTTCCGCAAAAACCCTTTAAGGGCGGCAAAGTGTTTATAAGCCCTGCGATGCTGCAGATCTTCATGGGCGGCGGTGATCACTTTCCATCGGGTGGGCCTCCTGGCCGTTCGCCCCTTTTTTCCCACAAAATAGCCTTCTTGAATGTTCCCGAGGAGCCACTTACGCTGCGGCGAGCCGGGCGGCTGGCAGCGCTGCATGCAGGCGGCCTCGGTGCTGAACCTGTTGGTGTTGCCCTCGCAGCCGCCCCACATGAACTGCTCGCAACGCCCCCTCTCCGCGTTGAAGCCCCAACGGCCGAAGGTGCCGGCGCACGGGCCCGGCTCGATCGGCAGGCTGCACTGGTCTGCGGCCGTCGAAAGGTACCAAAGATTACTCGACCAGCCACAGATGGTAGAACACGTGCAGTTAGTTCAGCGGCGTTTTCAATTTAGCGATCGCCGCTTGCTCTTAGCACAGTTTCATTCGCAAGTCGATTGCTATTTTCAAAGAACTTCAAAAAAGATGTCCCCAATTCGGATGTATTTGTATTGTTTGTCAAAAGATATCCCCAATTCGGATGTATTTGTACTGTTTGTCAACTTCCGAACTTAGCCATTTATAGTTTGAAAATTCTTTTTTTTGTATTGGCTCCGGTTTACCAGCTATGTTCTCCCATATTAATTGCATACATTGGAGAAATCCTCAAAAACAAATAGAAAATGTATTGTAATGTAAGTGTAGTCTGAGCAAGATATTTGAAGTCTGTTCCATTTTTGTTAGAAAAAAAATATTAATTTATGTGTCTTACTTAATCGATTTATAAACGATATTTATTTATAAACCGATTTGAATTTTTTTTAATTTTGTTGGAAAGCATATATTTTCAAGTTGCATTTTAGTATCATTGGCATTGGATCCTGGGTTTCGAAGAAACATTCGGAATACGACGATCGAAGAGTTATGTGACATAAAAACTAGCGAATATCAAACATAAAAATAAAAAAGTTCCCTTTTCCTTTCAAAATCGACAAAAAAATGTGGGAACTGCGTTTGATAAGTTAATGATCACGCACTTATCGACATTCGTACAGCTTAAGTTATTAGAAAAGCACTGCAAGCCTTAAATCAGTAATTGCCAACCAATTTAGGCGGGGGTAGTAAACCTAACAGTTGTTTTTTTTTGTTCAATGCGAAAAGTTGTAAAGCGATTTAGCGGTTCACCTGGTGTTAAGTGAATACCGCTGTCCATGGTTATCTACAAAACCTGATGGCTTGCAGTTACGTTAAACCTTTTGAGAAAGTGGGCCCCAGTTACCTAAGAAACAGCACCAAGGCACTGAAGCTTATCTTGTCCTTCGTAATGCATGAGGGTACGGCTATGGCTTGAAAATAACACACGGTCCATTAACAGTTGTGAATAGACCGCAGAGTATTCCATTAAGCGATGAAGCGTAGTCAATTCGATGTCCGACTCACCGTCAGACCTGTCGGGCTCGCACTGCTTCTGGCAGAGCTCGCGGCTGTCGAAGTTGTTCTGGTTGCCGAGGCAGCCGCCGTACACGAACTGGCCACACTGCTCGCGCTCCGTGTCGAAGTACCAGCGCAGATGGTAGCCGACGCAGGCGCCCTTTACCTTAGGCAGCTTGCACGCGTCTGCGCAGTACGGATGTCTTATGCCATTGTTTCTTTCACGTTGCGCCTCCACCCGACTTCAACTTAGATTTCACGTTATGACTACAGTTCGCTTAAGTTTGGGTCTTTATGAACATTTGACCCATCTTAAAGTTTTTTTTATTGTGCTAATCTCTGCACTTAAGATTGAACATTAAAACATGTAGAAAACAACAACATTAAAACATGTAGAAAACATGTAGAGATTTTCGTTGCTATCAGTTTCAATTCAGTCCGTTTAGCTCAGTGGCTAGAGCGTCAGGCCGCGAATGCCGAAGACGTGGGTTCGATTCCCACAGCGGCGACAATCTTTTCGTAATTTTTCTACATGTTTTAATTTGACCCATCGTCTATAAGACTCCAGTAAATGTTTGTTTTAACAGATGATGTGTCGAAAAACTTTTACGCGCTGTGCTGTCCGAATTCTGTGTCTTCAGCTTGGGCTCAGCGGCCTAGTGATGTAGAAGATGACAGAAACGAAAACGGTTCTAATCCCACAGCGCCAAAAACATTTTCGAAAATGTACTCGCATGTTAATTTAATTGGAGTGCACATTAGCACTAAAAATTAAAAATATTCCTACAAGAGTCCACAAACAATTTAATGAGTTTTTTTTAGTTTTTGTATTTATCAAACTCTGTTCGGCGCCTTTGAGTTCAGTCTTTCATAGAAAAAATTTAAAATAAACTTTTGATAATCAGTAATTGAAGGTCAATTATGTATGTATCAAATTGACCAATTTTACTACCCTTATTCACTCCGTGAAAAGTTTGAATTGATATTCGCTCAAAACGAATTTTCAGGGGGGGGGGGGGGGAGGGTATGAGGCAGTACCTTTGGGCGCAGGCTTTTCGCACACGTCCACGCACTCCTCCTGGCTGGCGAAGCGGTTCCCGTTCCCCTCGCAGCCGCCGTACCAAAATCGGGAACAGCCGCCGTACTCCATGTCGTAGTACCATTGCACGGTGTAATTGCGGCACGGCCCGCGGTCGGTGGTGAGACTGCAAGCCGCTGTGGGACCAAGAAACTTTCGAAGTTTCACAAAGATCTTGTAAATGCCGCTTTAAAGTGATACTAATTGCGAAACCAAATTCATATTCTAAATACTATAAGCGATAAGGATGAAATATGTAGGTGACGTATCGTCGAATATCGAAACATACTCAAGCTGAGCCATTTCATTTTACCGGGACATCGCACAAATATTATTCTCTGTGTTTATTTGTCGGTTGACTGGTAGAGAACACCTAATGGTCTTAAGTCCGCCATTGTACGCCTACTTTACCAAAAGATAAATAACTTTCATCTCTTATATCGGTAGTCTATCAGTACCGTCAGCACCAGCGTCACGCTTCCGAATAACGCCTTATCATACCTTGTCTATTCTCAGGGGCGTCGGTGCAGCCGAGGAACTTGCTCCCTTTGGCCTCGGTCTTCCCGTCGGGGCAGCAGCCGTACTTGCTGGCGGCGCAGCTGCAGCCGAGCTGGTTAGGACCCAAAGCGGGGGTGACGCCGTCGCCGCAGCATCCCTCCGGCGTGCTCTCGCACGAGCAACCCTGCTGCTTGGGACCAGTCGCGAATGTGACGCCGTCGGGGCAGCACCCGAACTGGTAAGTACTGCAGGGGCAGGCGTCGTCGCCAGCCGACTGAGCAGCGGTGTGTCTAAGGAAGGTTTCTCGAATGACTCAACTATTTCTAGAACCAGCTAGGCAGTGACAGCATGTGCCTAAACGAGATTTCTCGAATAATTCAATTATTCTTTGCATCAACCAGGCAGTGCGCCGACTGCACTGCGGCCTAAAGGAGATTTCTCGATTAATTCAACTAATTTTCGATAGTCAGGCAGTGGCAGCAGTACACCACAGTGTTCGTAGACTACTTCGAACAAAGCATGGCTGTGGTGTAAGGCTGTTTATGTGGGCCCGTCGACACATTCCTTAAATTGAACAACGTGGAAGATGTGCGGTGTGAGTTCGTCAAGGTCCTTGTTCCTCGCAAGTTTTGGTATTTAATCATTATAGAATTATAAAAAAATCTATAGACCACTCATAATGGTTTCCCTGAGTGAAGTCGTTACAATCTAATGCATTTTATGTTAACGGAAATTATCGCGTAAAAAAAATAATTAAAAATAGCAAATACAATAGCACAATAGTAAATAGCAACGACATTCATTATTCACCAAAGTGCAGTCGAAGCACGGCGGTTTCCTCCGTATACGGACCGTAACTATATATACGGAGTAATAATAACGTATGATTTAATTGTATCCGAGTTAAGAAAGCAAAACTTGTTTCTTGCTGTGCGTAGTATAAAAAAAAGTTGCGCGTTCGACGTATTCGACGAGTGATCGAAAGTGTTCAGGTATTACAATGTTGCATTGTTACCGGTCTGGACAGCACCCGAACTGGCTGTACTGGCATCCGCAGCCCTCCTTGGCGGGTCCGCGGGCGATCGTCACGTTGTCCGGGCAGCAGCCAAAGTGGGAGTACTCGCAGCCACAACCTGAGCAGAGCAGCGAGCGAACTTCGTTTAAGAACACTCAAATTATTAAAACAGCATGTGATCACACTTAGTTTGGACCACCGAGGTGACGACACCAGGTGTTTATCAAGGTTATTTAAATACCCGATTAGGTATTTCAATATTAAGATTAGGTCTACAGAATCTGCTTACGGAAATAGTTATTAGTGTTTTGAATTATTGAAATATTTTCTTTACATTATAATATCATAAATGTTCCTTGCGTTCTTAAATCATATAGTTTGGCCGTATCAGTGAAAACTTAAGCAAAGAGTGTGAGTGTAAGTTTTCCCCAGGGCACTAATGGCTGGTCATAAATCAAAGAAAATTGAACATGATATGAAGATAAAATTATTTACCCTCTAGATGTGGCCCTTCAGCCGGCTTGTAGTTGTCAGGGCAGCATCCGAAGGGATACTGCAGACAGCAACCTTCGTATTCGGGTCCGTGCGCTGGTGTTTCCCCGTCCAAGCAACAGCCGTAAGCAGTGGAGTTGCATGACTTTACGCAACCCTCCATTTGGCTGCCCTGAGCTGAAGGGGGATATAAAAAAAATATATTAACTCCCTTGATAGAGTCCATCCAAGGAGGTCTACAAGATGCGGATGATCATGAGCGTCATAAAGAACTATAAGGTGTCTTTAAAATTAAACTAAATCCATACCTGGCGAAACACCATCAGGGCAGCAGCCGAATTCAGTAGCGTTGCAAGGGCAGCCTTGCTCGTTTGGCCCGGTAGCTTCTGTCTGATTGTCTGCGCAACACCCAAATTCGCTGCTCTCACAGCCGACCTTCTCGATTTTGGGTTCTGGAATAATCCACATTCCACAATAAAAAATTAAGTTACTGGGCGCGATTACGTAAGAGTAGAGGGCACTAGCAACATTTACAAGTCTAATTTTAAACAGCGTAAGAATAATTTGGAGGAATAATATAATTCCGTGTGAACAAAGGATATAAAATATTTGGAAGATATGAAAAGTTAGTTTTGTCAGAACATTATTCACCTGTTTCGGGGCATCCTTTCCTTGCCGGTCCGGTCGCTTCAGTTTTTCCGTCGTCACAACAACCATACCTGATGCAAAAGGAATTTAATTAAATAGAACTCCATTATCACTTGGTTTGCTGTATATTGTTTATGAGCTCTCATAAACACCGGCCAAGTGCGAGTCGGACTCGCGCACGAAGGGTTCCGTACCATTGTCTATAAAAACGACAAAAAACATGTCTGTTGTACGGAGGCCCCATTTAAATATTTATTATTCTGGTTTTTAGTATTTGTTATTACAGCAGCATCAGAAATACATTACCTGTGAAAATTTCCCCAGTCTAACAATAACGGTTCATTATATACAGCCTGATGACAAATGAAGAGACAGACCGACACCGGCGCCTTAGTATTAGGGTCCCGACATAATACTAAGACGCAGCCTATTACTCAATTATAGGTTTAATTTTGCCGTGTTTAGAGAAAAGGCACGTGAGTAAATGGTGAACTTCTGATTATGTTAAAAGTTGGTATACCGGTTCACCTTATGTTTATTGTTTACTGCCGCTAATGAACATCCACCACCTGGGGGGTTGAAGATGTGTAGCCAACCTTTAATAAAATGGGCCCAGAGTCTCTCCAGGCGAAGCCTGGCATTTCACATGGTCTTCTGTGAGGCTGCAGTGCTTCCGGATGAGCTTGTCTATTCGTGCCACAGAAGCTGTTACATGGCCCTACTACATTGCTTAGACGCGAATTAACCGTAGATGGTAAATGCGTTGCCACCTTATAGCATAAAGTGGGCCCCGGATGCCACTCACCATACGAAACGCAGAAGCGTGACACTTACACTTTACGCCGATCTTCTGTGAGGTCGTGGTACTTACCCGGAACGACCTGCATATTCGAGCAACAGTGAACACTGTTGCATGGTTCTACCACGTCAAATTATCTTACATTATACCCCTCAAGGTGCTACTAAATAGATATACATAACAGGGAACACTATTGCGTGGTCCACAGTAGATGATAACCAATCAAGCAGTTATATGAATTATTAAACAAGTTACTATACTTTGACGATGTGCAGGCAGACGGTGCTGGTGGGCAGCCGTCTTGGTCATTGCCCTCCGCGGCGGTGATGTTATCAGACAGACAGCAGCCGTAAAGTGTGTCTGCGCAGGGGGAGATTGGACAGCCCTTGTTCCTGAGCCCACTTGCTGGTGACACGCCGTCAGGGCAGCAGCCGTATTTGGTCTCCTTGCAAGTCTTCGGGTTGGGGCATCCTGCAATGGAATGACTTGTGTTGATAAAAATCACAAGACTTCGCGTATGTATCAGACGGATTGATCGCGTTGGTGATGGATTTGGTGATAGATGGTAACTTTAGAGGTTTTAAGCTAGGTAGTATATAGATAGTCATTTATGCGTAAGAAGTTTGAATTCGTATCCTTCGTATGGCTTAGATAGCCCCATCCCCGTACTGCTGCCCCATCCCTGTACCGGCCTCGGCTTGTTGCCTTCATAGCGACCGCTGTGCCTACCAGAAACAGGGGAGAACTATTAATATTTAAGGGCCACGACGAGATTCGCGAGCATCCCTGCGGCCCTGCTTCCGAGTGCGATCCTTCCTCTCTCTCTCCCGCTCAGCAGCCTCCTTCTGGATTCTCACAGAAGCTGGCTACGGCCCTCCATGCCGTATCTCTACTCAGCATCGCCGACACAACTGCTGGCAGACCTACGCTGGGACCTATAACTTTTTAGGACCGAGGTACTGCATGTTACCGTAGATTAAAAGGCAGCCAAAATTATTACGTATTTGGTATGATAGCAAACTGAAATAAAAAAAATTAATTTCAGGAAGTTTGCTCCACAAGAGCAGTATTAACATCACCTTCCAACGTCACCTCGTTAACCCTAGTAATGTTAGACCTACCTTCATCAAATGGTCCGGCAGCCGGAGTCCTTTTATCAGGACAGCATCCAAACTTGCTTTTAAGGCACTTAGCGACCTTCTTCCTTGCCTTGCAGCTGGGTTTCGCTGTGTAAACTTCAACAGTCGTGGTCCAGTCCCAGGGTGCTATGGAAAATTTTATATGGTTTTAAAAATTGGTTCAAAAATACTAGCTAGATTGTTTTTTTTCCAGAATATAAGGGCTTGTACCCTTATTTACATATAAAAATACGAAGATGAGCGCAGAAACTAGAGTTTTTCTTTCTTAAACTCCTTCTACCGTTTGGAATATGTTAATGTATCTATAATACAAAATATTATTAATAAATAATATGCTAGTAAACAGTTTTTTAGTATCAATATATATCAAAATAGGAAAAATACTAAAATTGAAGTAAACAATATAAAAATTTGCGTGATCCGAAATGGATTTGTTTTACAGCTTCTAGATTATATTTGGATATATCCAATATGACGTCTTCGCATTATCTACATAAACAGTATTTATTCTATCCTTTTTAGTAAACTCCTATAATGAGATAGATATCTTACTGGATCCGCGTTCAGTTGCTGACCCTTCAGTAGCTGAAATTTCCGTGGTCGACGCATCTGTTACTGTGCTTTCAGTAATTCCAGTTGTAGATAATTCTGTAGCAGAACTTTCCGAACTGCCGGAAGCGGATACATCGGTGGTAGAGCTTCCGAGAGTCGACATCTCTACTGTGGAGCTTTCGGATGTGGAGGCGTCTGTAGCAGAACTTTCTGTGGTAGAAGTACCGTCTGTGCTCTCAGTTGAACTTCCTGAAGCTTCGGTTGCTATGATGGAAAATAGGGGTTATTAGAAACTACTAAAAAAACGTTAAGAGGTAATATTTATATTATACTCATTCATCAGTAGGTACGAGACTATACTTCGTTTTTAATATGTTTTCTAAAAAAAGGCCTTTTATAAGGTTTGAATATTTAATCTTATGTAATATTAACTCACATGATCCGCTAGACGTCGTACTTTCTTCGGTGAAAGCAGAAGTTGAAACAGATTCGGTTGCGGTCGCAGTCTCTGTAATTTGTATAGTTTCTTTAATTGCTCTATCGAAATTCTTTACTTTGCATTAATTTGTATATCAAAAATATCTTTCGTTAACAATGCCAATAATTGTTATGTTCATGCTTCAACTAATTCTTAGCTTAGATTAGTTAAAATATTAAATTTGCCAAGTTCAGTGCTAACGATGAATAATAAGATAATCACTTGACACACAAATTAATATGCTTGGTTTCCGTGGTAAGTGACGTGTCATTGTGGAATAATTGTGAGCTTTTTTAAAATAAGGATGTTAATTAGTTTTATTTTGTAAAGAACGTTAATTAATTTCTCATTTAAAAAGCATTAAAAGAGAAAACAATTGCAAAAGGTAAAGTTATGTATAAATAATGCCGTATGTGTACTATTAAATCATTAAAATCGATTTTATTGTTAAATGAATACTCAGCTTCTTCCTTTACGGAAAAGTCTTTCTTCCAAAGTATTGACTTAATGGCTGGTAACTAATTTAAAATTTATAATATTACGAAAATATAAAGCACAACAAAAATAATATTTTACCTGTTTGGTCGGACGCAGTTGAACTAATATCCAATTTTTCAGTCGTACTGGACTCAGTGCTTTCCTTTTCAAAGTTTTCTGTTGTAACGCTGCCTTCCGTCACGCTTGTTTCTGATGATTCTGTGGTAGCACTTGCTTCAGACGTTGTGCTTACGGATTCCACGGTGCTAGTCAGCTCGCTCTCAGTAGACACTGCAGTGACGCTGGATTCCATTAACGTTGTTACTTTCTCTGTAGACTCCGACGTTGGCGTTTCTTTTTCCGTGGATGCTGCAGTTGTACTGAATTCGGCGAGGGTTGTCTCTCCTTCCGTTGATTCTGTACTTCCACTTGATCCCGATTCTGTTGTCGTGGAACCTTCTGTTTCCGTCGTCACATCAGTTTCTAATTCCGTGGTTTCACTTGAACCCGAAACAGTCGTTACCGTTGCTTCAGTTGTGCTGTACTCTGTGCTCTCTGTGGTACCGGTTTCCTCGATTGTTGACTCACTAGCACTAGTAGAGCTGCTCTCACTTGTACCCTCCGTGCTACTTGTTTCGGTGGTGTCTGTTAATTCAGTTTCAGTAGAGGCAGAGCTTAAATCTGTTGTTTCCAGGCTCTCTGTTACCGTAATATCGGTTGAATCCGACTCCGAGAAACTTGTTGTAGATGAACCTATAAGAAAAAATTATTTTAATGTTTCCCGGGAACATGATTGCCTCATTGTTTCATTATTTTTAGACTTCTAAGGCAGCAGACTCGAATAATTGGATTAGAATTGAGTGAAATTTCAAGTAACTTGTCCTTCGTGACATTTTATGGAACGTTTAGGCACATGGTTACGTGAGAGAGAAGAGACTTATAGCGTATAGAGGGAGATAGAGATCGATTGTAATAAGTTGTATAGTAAAATGTACGCATTGTTTTATTGTGTTTTGCGATCATTTACGTTTTTCAATAGTTTCACGTCTATCAGTGCTGCACGTGCAATTTTGCTTAATTGATTACCTTCTGTGCTACTAATATCAGTTTCCCGAATAGTAGTGGTATCCATTTCGTTAGTTGTAGATGCATCTGTAGTCACATCACTTTCCGTTTCAGAAACATCGGTGGTTGCATATGAATCGGTGGTTTCGGCTGTATTTAAAAACAAAACATTAGTGTTTTTATGAAATAGCACTTTAAAGTGATAAAGTGATAGAAATAAATATGTATTTTTAATTTATTTTCTTTTACTTGTGAGTGAACAAAGAGCTACGACCACCTAATATTACCTTGTATACAAAAAATTACATTAAATAATTACTTTAATTTCTTAGAGTAAAAATTACACTTGGAACAAGGTCCGAAGTGAATGGTTTCTCTGTTTCAATACAATCTTATATAATTATAATAATTTTAAATTGACTCAAAACGAGTCTTAATATTTATACCGTTATAAAATCACCCAAACGTTAGTGTCGCTGTCGTGGTGAAATAATAAAAAATAAAAATGCAGCCAACACAAATTACCTGATTCAGTTACACTAGTGCTGGTAATGCCTAAAGAAGTCTCCGTAGACGTGTCAGAGGTGGTCGTTAAGCTATCTGATGTGGTAGAGCTTGAGTCTGAATAGCTTGTTGAGCCTTCTGTTGAGCTTGTCGAGCTGTCTGTGGAGCTTGTCGAGCTGTCTGTAGAGCTTGGCGAGCTGTCTGTGGAGCTTGCTGAGCTGTCTGTGGAGCTTGCTGAGCTGTCTGAAGTACCTGCAGTCACTTCTTCTGCTTTCGATGTTTTAGTGTCCGTTACTTTTTTCTTCATCATGATGAATTCGCCAGAGATGTCCTCGTAATAATCATCAATAGTCGATTCCGTCGTGACAGTGATGGATGTGAATTCAGTAGATTCCTCCGTGTAAGCGGTCGAACTACCACTGCCCGTTTCCTCGGTCCAAAAGCTTGCACCAGTGGGTTCTACGTGGTAACGCAGAAAACATTATTGTTGGCGTATTGTGAGGACACAACAGATTTAATGCATATAATAAATATGTTAGAACAGACGTTGTCTAGACCCAAACTAGGCAATACTTGTGCTATGGATACTGGGCAACTGATAAACAAACTTAGCATTGCTTTAGTAAACAAATAGATTTATAAACACCCAAGCAATAGATTTAGCCGTGATAGCTCAGTGTACCCGAGCAACCTGAGTCCGATCCCCGGTGCCGGCACCAATGAAATTGTTAATTTTAAGTAATGAATCATCGCGTGCTCATCGGTGATAGGAAACCATGTGTATGTTTTAGAAATAATAACAAAACCAAATATTACGAAGAAATTTGAAGTCCACCAATCCGCATTCGGCCCGTGTGGTAGACTATGCCCTGATACCCTCTGTGAGCAGAGCAGGCTCAGCAGTGGGACATGTATAGGCTGTTACTTTACTTTTTACAAGCATTAGAAAGACTATATTCTTCAAACAATAATTTCCAGTAATGGGGATGGAATTCGCACCCCTTGAAGCAAAATATACTTTTAATGATTCCGATCGTTAAGAAAGTTAAATTTAAGAAGATCAAGTTTACCTGATCCGGAGCCAGTATCGAGAGTAAATTCGGATTCGCTGTCGGTGAAAGCAGTTGAACCTGAACCTGAGCCCTCATCTGTGAACGAATAAAGCATAATGACTGTATTGAAATAGTACGTGTCATATTTAAAGCAACATGAACGAATAGTTTAAAAATTACCAGTAAACGGACTATCGCTGAGCATCGTGTCGAATATCTGGAAATTAAACCAACGATTCAAACAAAACATTTATTGAATATTGCGATTAGTGTAAGGTAACATTATCTTTAAATATAAAATCTTTTTACATATTAATATTCTGTTTCATTGTAATATATCTGATAGCAACTCCAAACTTCTTATAATCTTATGTTGCGGAGATCTAACTTGAGGAGCCCAGATGACGATATAATTGTGAGCGGACTAAGATCACTAAAGTCATTTAAACTAAACACTAACCGTGCTACCAGTAAGCGGTATCAGCTCCTCAGCGCCAACTTCTGGGTAGTCGTCTTCCTCTACGCACTCTTCGTAGTCGTAATACTCGTCGCTTGTTGATTCCGTTGTTTTAGTTTGGGCTTTGGGAAATAGAAACATTCGTCATTATGACCAAAAGATATTTTTGAATAGAATTAATGTCCTTTGGATCATTATATCATGTAATGACTAAGTTATTGATAATTCTCACATCAATATGAAGTCGAAGGAAATCTTACTTTTGTCACAAGGTGCGGTGTTACATGACTGCAGGGTCTCCAATATGGTCTCTTCTGGGCAGGCGTTCATCTCGACCCCACCGCTTAAGCACATCACACGACGGTATTGTTCACCACCACCGCAGTCTTTTGTACACTGTCGAAAATCCAACGGTCAGTAAATCCTCTCGAGCTGTGTGTATCGTGCAGTATCAAGGGTTATTTGTATTTGTATTTTGTGTGGAACGGGTTGGTTAGTAAGTGCCAAAGACCACTACGACGAAGTCAATACCTTGATGACTGCGCCACGGAGTAATTAAGGGTAGTTCAAGATAGTTTTTATCTCGCGCAAAATATAAGTATTAATTAGGAAGGAAATATACTAAGCGTTCTTGCCATACCTCGAATATAACGATATACATACATATCGAAAGAAAAAAAATTATAGCTGATTTACGCATCGTTTGCTACATAGTTTTTTATCAGTGAATGTTTAACAAATGTATGACAACCACATTCAAGCACCGTATCTATTTAGCAGTACTCTGAGGAGTAGAATTGTAATCTTACACGGCCACTAATAACATCAAATTATCTAATTTTATTTTATTGACAATTTCATTTGAATGTGTCAGTAAGATTGAATAGCAGTAAGTTCTACTTTAATTGCCGACCCTTAATTGACTATTCAGAGTTCGTAGTCACGGGACGAAGAAATAACAAAGGTCAACAATATCGATTAGAGATAACGCTAGTCAATATCCTCACCTCGGACCAGGGGCCTGCGTACCATTTGGCGGCGCACTTCTCCGAAGCCACCTCGCAGGGCTTTGTGTCGTTGTACTTGTCGTTAATGTCGCATCGCTCGTCGTCCACTTTTATCACGGACGCGCCGTCGAAGAGGCCGCAGAACACGCGTCGGCTCTGGACCCCCTTCCCGCATTCCACTGAACACTATTTGCCGATAAAGGACATTTATTCACCTGTTGTTACGTAAAAGCTTAAACTATAAGACTCACTTCGATCTATGAACATAATCTTACGTTGCAGCGAAAGATAATGGGCACCAAAATCATATCACTCCATTCGAATAAAATAATTTCAATATATTATTATCTATTTTATAGTAGCTTAACTGTGGTAGGACAACAACAACCACGAAACAGTTTTCACTGTGTCAGGTCCGTCCGGGGAAGTACCGTGACCTCACAGAAGGCCAGTGTGAATTGGAAGTGTCATAATTTTCTGCGTTACTTCTAGTAAGTGAGGTAGCCGGAGCCCAATTTTCAAAAGGTTGTCAACGCATCTGGAACCCTCGGATGTAGGAGATGTCCATGGGCGGTGGTATTCACTTCCATCTGGTGAACCGTCTGCTCGCTTGGCAACTTTTCACATAAAAAAAAATTGTAGTGCGTGGGTGTCTTCAAGGCAAGAATGATTAGGATTTACTGAGAGTATACGTTTACCATCAAAGGCTGCAACGCCACTTACCATCGGGTGGGGTACTATCAGCACTGGGCAGTCTTTTATGAAAATATAAACAGTAATGTGCAGTTTTCAAGAGCAAAGTACAAAAGCCAGCTCCACATACCTTACTCCACTGCGTCGCGTACCACAAGACCTCGCAGGAGGGTAGCTTCGTGCGGTCGCAAGTCTCTTCTAGAAGCGGTGTGGGGTGGTAGGAGCAGAAACTTGGGTCGACCACTTTGTGGTCCTTCGTAGCACAGTGAGCTATTCGCGTGCGAACTTTCGATGTGCAAGTGTCGCACTGAAACAAATGGAACTCTACAGTCGCAGAGACATGAGAACACGGTCACAGTTTTGTAAGCCGATGTAATTATTTCTTACTAAAACCTCATCTTTGATCAATAAGAAATCACTACATCGTTCACGGTAAGCTAACAATCCAAACAAGAATCGAAGTATTTGGAGAGGTAAGAAAATTCATTCATAGGCAAACAAGAAAAAAATTATTTAAAGTTCGTCAGGCCGCGAATGCCGAAGACTTGGATTCGATTCCCACAGCGGCGACAATCTTTCCGTTCCTTTTCTACAAGTTTTAAGACTCTAGTATATATTTATATATTTATGAATAGCGCGTTTATGAGGTTATTTATTAAATATAGTTAACTTATTTTTTTAAGATATTCGACCTACCTGAAGATCTCACCAAACCATAGTTAGACTGATAGAAGAATGATTAAGGCAATAAGTCCTCCTTTTGTGTTCTTCGACGCCGCAGGTTATGCAATAAATCTTTATTGTATACAATAAATATTACTGTGGTAGGACCGCGAAACAGTGTTCGCTGTTGCACGAATGGGCAGGTCCGTCCGAGTACCACGACCTCACAAAAGACCGGCGTGAAGTAGAAGTATAACACTTCTGCGTTTCGTCTAGTAAGCGAGGTAACCGGAGCCCACTTTATTAAAAAGGTGCCAACGCATCTGTAACCCTGCGGGTGTTGTAAATGTCCATGGGCGGCGGTTACCACTTAACATCAGGTGAACCGCCAGCTCGTTTGCCACTTTATTTATATATGCTTTATTGATCACCATAAAAATATAAAAGAAATGTTACAAAAATAAGTTATGTGTTAGCACAATAAGGCGGTCTTATCGCTAAAAAGCGATCGCTTCCAGACAACCTTGCGGCTAAAAGTATAATATTTTCGACAACGGTAGGTGGTGCAAATGATAAACTTACATACTAAGATCTAAATACATTTCTTTCACACATTAAAAAAAATCTTTGTAATTCCTCCATTGGTAGATCTCTACGAATGAAGGTCTACGTACCCCGGACCAATCGGACAGGACCCAATCGACACCGTCACAGGGACGCAGCATGCAGGATTGCTCCGTGGCCGGCTTCTCGTCTTCGCAGCTTTCGTCCTCGAACACTTCGACTTTGCCGTTCTGCCTCTGATGGCAGATCACTTGGCGCGTCTGTTTGCCTTCCCCGCAGAGCTTGTCACACTGGAAGTCAAGAACAAACGAGAACAGGTTCCGGAAATTATTAATGAAAATTAATGTTTTGTCGCCGGTGAGTTATTTCGTTATTAAATACGCAATTCGAATTATTATAGTTAAAGTAATTATAAAGTTAACTCCCTACTGAAGTTATGAACATTGATTGATAATCAAATAATAAAGTTGTTTGTGAAATATTAAACTGGGGAAGTATCATTTTTAAATATTATCTGTGAATCATAACATTAACTAACCATAACATATAAAATAAACATTTAATTTTGGTAATATCTTAATATTTATTATCGTTTTACTTTAATATCGTTATCTTTCCACCATTTGGTTTAAATTTTGCCACAGAATCTGATACGCAGGTATATTCTCACTTTAAAGTTATAAAATATACTACCAGATATATATGGTTAAATGATTATGTCCTTCGGGAGCGGTCTACTCACCGGTTTCCATGGTCCTGTGAACCAAGTTGGGCAGCTTGCATTCTGGTTACACTCTTGATACAGTTCTGGCTTAGGGCCAAGCAACTCGAAGCACTCCTTGTCAGCAACTATCGAGGGGAACCTAAAAATTTCTCTTAAATATAGCAACTGGTCTATTAGAGAATACTCTCAATAAAGTTTATTTGAATAAAAGTAGTAATAATCCTGATATCCGTGGTATTAACTCTCATGATCTCCATCTAATGATTTGCACTTGGTTTAGCCTCACAGTTTTCATAATCACAAAAACTTTTGGATTTCGAGAAAGAGATAAACTTTATAACAATAATGATACAAAAATTAATAAAAAAAATGATTTTTGACATAATAAATTCCACGCTAAATTAGCAATAAATTATGCGTGTTGCTTAAATTTGTGCGAATTGTCTGAAATGTTAATAGTCTTGTAACTTATATTCGTAAGATGTACATGATTATTATTGGCAACATGTTGTCTTACTCGTTTATGATGAGCTTCTCGCAGTAGACTTGTCTCGACCTGGTACCACCCTCACCGCAGACCTTAGAGCACGGACCCCAGGCCTCCGCGACCCACCGCGCTGGACAGGGGTCCGTGTTGCAGTTCTGATTGGTGGCGGGCTTCAAGGCCTCGTCGCAAAGGTTGTCCTCGACTAACTCCAGGTCCTCGCGTGATCGGCAAGTCACTTCACGCGTTTGGATACCTAAATTCGTTAAGAGTAGTATTAACTTTTTTTTTGGAAAACTTGAGAAGCCCTCAGGATAGTTTCACTTGATGTTAAGTGATTACTGCCGAGAACCTTTCATTCTCATCCGTTGCCGGTTCTTCGATCTATATAGCTGACCCATCGTCACTCCAGCTTACTAATCTTATGAGCTATGTTGGTTATCTTTGCTCTATTGCGGATAGCTTCAGAAATCTATCACTTTTACTAGGCATCACCCACCACAGTGTAGGACGACCCCTCAATGGATGAGTGACTCAAAGTCAAGCTTCGTGCCAGTTTGTGGGGAGGCCTATTTTCAGGACTCTAACAGGCTGAAATTATGAAGATGATGAAAGATGATCTCGAATGAGCCAGCCCATCGGCTCAATAGCAAAGGCGTCGCCGTATGAAAGTGATAATATGGTTACAATTTTAAATCCATCTAATCTGAAAGGTATTTCTCCCGATACTCATTTGCATTAGAAAGTACTTATACGAATACGATAGAAGGGCAACGCACCTCCACCGCAGGTGGCACTGCACGGAGTGAAGTCTCCGTGGACCCAATTGTACTGCTGCGTAGGCGGTGGCGCCATCGAAGAGGGAACACTGTATTCGTATTCGATGCCCACGTTTTCGTCTTGCAGAAGAAGCTGCGAAGAGCATTGCGAAAATGGAACAATTGCAGCCTGAAGATGAATTTAAGAATGATTTTGATATTAAAACATGTAGAAAAAGTACGAATAGATTGTCGCCGCTGTGGGAATCGAACCCACGTCTTCGGCATTCGCGGCCTGACGCTCTAGCCACTGAGCTAAACGGCTGATAGCCACAACGACGAAAATCTTGACGCCTTCCTTCTACATTGTTATTTAGCATTTGAAGCAATGCTTGGCGCATCTATTGTTATATCCTTTCCAGCATACAAACAATTTCGAATATCGTTTCACAACGATAATTCGAACGGGAGATCGCCATTGCTTTTTATAAATAGATATATACGAAAAGATTGTCGCCGCTGTGGGAATCGAACCCCTTTTCGTACTTTTTCTACATGTTTTAATGTTCAATCTTAAGTGCAGAGATTAGCACTATAAAAAAACTTAAAATGATTATGATAATTCGATGATGACTTTCTTGTTACTAATGTTATAGTTAATAGTTCAATTCTTGGTCGTTCTTAGCTTTTTGTGACAAGACTGAATAAAAAGCTGATAGTAAAAAAAGGTAGGAGAGCGGTTTAATTTGTATATTGAGTTCGCTTTTGCTCATGTAATAAATTTGTAGTCCACGTGTTAACTCATCGGTATAATTTTTATTGTTATAATGGAATTGGTGAATAGAAAACTTATTCTTTGGATACCTTCGGCACTTTTGAAGCTAAACCAATTAATAAAGACGTCAACAGATGGCGCTAACAACTGTCCGTCCATCCATTTTTCTCTCTTCGGGGCAAAGTACTTACTGAGAGGTACAAAGGCTCGGTTGTGGGTCCGAGGCAGCGGAGCTTGTCAGGCGCTGCGAAGCCCTGCTGGCTGCGCTCGTAGTGCCACAGAGTTCCGGCGATGGTCAGGCTACGGGGGAAGTCGATGTGGTACTCCCCGTTCAGGTAGTATACGTTGTCCTGCTTCGCCCTCAGCGCTATAAGCATTCAATAGTTTAATGTTTTATTCAAGTTTATTACATTAAAAAATCTTTAATATTCATAGCATATTTAAAACAATAATCATTTATAAAGAGCTAGATTCTATTTGCTCAGTAAAAAAAATCAGTTACCCAAATAATTATTCGATGCCCGGACTTCAGAAATCACAATGCTGGTGGCTCCTTGAGGTATCAGCAAGACGTCGTTGTATCCTGCAAAATATAAAATCAGTAAATAACCCTCCGTAGTGATGTATTTTATTAAGTACCGACGTATGGACCTTACCTTTTCTTAGGTCTGTGGTGTCGATAACTCCAGCGACCGTGTGACAGTTAGTGCCGTTGCCTCGGCACTCTCGACACTTATCTTCGCGCGCATTTGAGCCCAACATCATGTCGCAACCCACAGCCTAGAATTAGATTTTTCAATAATTTTATCGTGAATCCGTCGGTATTTTATGTGCAGCCAGAAATGAGCAATATGTAACAACAACATAGGTCAAATTGGTGAGCCTTTGGGGACACCACACTAGCTGCGTAATACACCGGAATATATTTAATAATTTGGTATATCGGGACTATAACAATTATGATGAGGAATGGAATGATGTATATGTGATAAATGATGAAGTAAGGACGAATATGCTGACAGTAATATTTTTAAAAACACTTCACATTGCTGTACCTGGCAAGTGCCACTGACGCACACGTCGAATGATTCGTCATTGCAACGGGTGCCGTCGATGACCTTGTCCTTCTGACGGTAGTAGAACCGTTCGCCACGCGGCATACAGTTCAGCTCGCAGGGGTTTGGAGCGTTTGTGTACGGTATCCATCTGTGGGGTTTCATAATGAGGCCATGATATTTTATAACGGATTATAGTTAGATTAGAGATAGTTAGTGTGAATTATTTTAGCTCTGTGAGGTCATCAGCCACTAGCTTCATTGGTAAAGCGTCTAACTCCGCAGAGACGTTAGTATTTCCTTATTTATTTACAAAAAATCACATTTTAATTTTCATCTTGATTGCAGACATTAGCACAAAAATAAATATGAATCATACATGTGCAAAGTTATTGCATTTTTGCTTCAGTTTGAGAAAGTTTGATATTACGGATTTCCATTGCTTTCGCGTGAACTGTATCCACTTGCGACTACTTATGAGCTCAAAATTAAGTCAGAATGGTAGATAAAGACTGAGTTACTGTTTCGAAGATAGAGATTTCCTCGAGTAATCGTCCTTAAACGCAATTTAACTACGTTTGATAAATCGGCATTCAAAATTTAATTTTTCAATAGAATTAAGCCGTTACTTGAACGGAGTTTGTAAGTTTATCGACTGTAATAAAGGCGAGCGTCTGGACAACTGAAACACCAAGGTTTCTCCCGAAAAAAACATAACTTTAAATAGCAATTAAATTCAGTGCTATCTATAGGGTCAACATATAAAGTGCAGATATTTCTATTTATACAAATAATCGGTACTTACTGGTATTTGATGCCTCTGAACGCGACGTCGTCGTACTCCGAGCATTGCTCGGACCTGAAGTCGCCGGGGCTCGGACAGTCCTGCGTCTGACACGAAAAGTACTTCGTGTCCCCGCCTGTGCACAGAGGCTTGCCTTCCGAACTGCGGATCAGAAAAACGATAGGCCATTTAGGTCACAGCCTTAGATGGACCTACAGTGAGTGACGTTTCACTTGGTAGGTCGTAAATTTATACCAGAGTTGATTTGATCTCTCTTTTTTGATGTGCAATGCTATTACATCTCTTTTACAAATTTATGAATTTTTAGCGTTGACCGTATTCTGACGCTTACGGCCATAATTAGACAAGCCAATTAGCTCATTAAATAAATGGAGAAGCTTTTAAGAGATAGCACTCTATAGAATTGCATTCTAATTACACCAATTGGCATAATTTGAGTGCCTCAGTTTCTCATCTCTACCTCGTATCTCGTCGTAGTCATATCATCATTGGCTATATTATTTTCATGCAACTGACTACTAGATGGAGTAAGATTAAGCATGGTGAAATTTGGATGGAGAAAGCATAAGTAGTTAGACATGCGTTGTCTTTGAAGGGAGTCTATGTCGCACATGTGTGTGTCTATGGCCTTTTAAGGTCTTTTAACTAATCATGATGCGGTTAAAACAAATGAAAACATTGTACATCGTTAAATTAAGTTTAATTAGTACTATAACTATTAGGTTGTTGATGGGAATAATCTAACATTGGGAAGCAAGTTCATTAGCTCAGATTCCGGAAGTGAACTCGTAAAATTCCGGTAATCGTTCACAATAATCGTAATATTGGAACTTAAAATCGTGCGTGCATTCGCGGTTTTCTTAAAGTGAAACCTGTTTCTATTTAATAACGACATTACCGCGAGTTGGTTTAGTTAACTTTACATAAGTCAACTAGGTTTTAACCATCTTTCTACTTTTTGAACCTGCGGTGTTAGCAATCATAGACAATAGAACAAGTTATTAAGTATTATCTAAGAAATATACTCGAAAAAACATAACAAATATATAAATTTTTAAACCCATCTTTTACACACATACTTTTACCATTTCTTTCCTACTACTACCCGTTTATGTAACGAGTACAGCTCTAATATGTTTATGTTATTCTTTATGATGATTAAATAACACTCTTTTACGAATGGTATCCCGTTTTCTACTATAAAATGTCCATGTTCACGAATCTTGGATGCATCATTCGAAAAGTTAGGTTTAAAACGTCAAATTCAAAAACATTTATTTCCTATAAATAGGATTACATTGATGATCACATTAATGACTGTAGATTTTATCCATTTATGTTTATTTGACAGCAATTGAATTGCTAAATTTAGAAAAGGAAATAACTTAAATAAGTTAAATAAAAGGGTAAAAGATAAAACGGTTTTATTTAACCATTTGTTATATTCGTTTAAATGCCAGAGATCATTATATTATTACTCTTTTCTTGATATGAACCCTAAAAAAGGTGTTAACGAGGCAACATCCGAATGTTTCCTTAAAAAAGGGAATAGCGGGAGAGTGGTTCAGCTTATAATAAGTAGACATCACCGCGAGCTGATGGTGACTGAACTAGATCACTCACTTTACTTCGAGGCATATGCGCTTTCGGCTGGCGACGCCACCGCCACAAGTCCTGGAGCAGGGGGAGACGTCACCCCACTCGCCCCAGGCGCCTGTCCCCTCACCCCCTGGGAGCACGTAAGAAGCGGGTAGGTAGAGGCCGGCGCCCTGACGCCTGTGTCTGGTGCGGTGACGCGATAGCTGCGGAGACAATAAGTCGACTGTCAATGTATTTATGGGGATAAATAAGTTTGTACATACGTACGTAGTTGAATAATGAAAATTTGTAGTCGCCCAGTGGTCGAAATTCTACCATAATTAATTATACATGGTAGTGTGTGTAATGTTTTTTTATATTGATTTAATGTATTTTTATGCATAATTAAAAAAAATCATAGCATTTCAGTGCATACTGCACTCTCTTTCATTTCTCTATATAAACTTTAAGTGTGGGAAATTTCATACTTCTCCGACCGCGTAATTTTCTTAAAAGGGGTACAAAGTTTTTCCTTCACGTGTTCTATATATTAACTGGTGGATCCAACAGACGTCCAGTACACGCGACTTAAATCCGACAACTTATAAATTAAAAAAAGACAAGAAGAAAACTAATTGACACACAAAAATTTTTATTAAAATCGGTCCAGCCGTTTAGGAGGAGTTCAGTGACATACACACGTACGGAAGAATTATATATATAAAGATATAGAATACGCATATATAATTCTTTGCTTATTGTGTATTGTATTTGAGAATAGCTTAATATTGTTCAAACTTGGTCGGCGTCTATGTAATATAGAGATATGGTTATATGTGACAAACGTTTAAACGCCAACGCCACTAACGAAACTATTTAACTAGGGATTCTCTTCGCTTTCTGCTCTTTTCCCACCTAGATGGTGGCACAAGATGTGAACCATGTTGGTATTGGCCAGGTTATTTTTAACGACAGGCCGCCTGCTTGATGTAAACCTTTGTTGGGAGTAAACACCCAGATCCGAAACACAAACGCAAATACTTGTCTCGTTTGGAAATAAATCCCATGACAATTAGTTCGAAGCCAATGGATTATATACAGTGTTTAATTTGACGCATTGTGGCAATGTACCTAACATTGCCACACCTTCAAAAATTCGCGACTCACTAAAATCCAAAGTAGATGACAGATATTAGTTTAGGCTATCATTATAACTTGTACAGTCGAACAACCTTCAGATTTTTCAGAATGAAAGTGCAATTCTTATGTACCGTTATATAATACCTGGAAGAATATTAAACGCGATTTGATAACAGATTTTTTTATACTCGATAACCACAACCACGACTATGACTTTCCCACGGAATGTGCTCTTTGTCCAATGCACCGTTACGTCTTGATGAAATGAATTCTATGAGCACATTATACCATCTTAACGACGATTAAGTTGATTGCTTGAAGCTTAACAATATAGGTACAAATTTTATGATGACTCGTACTCTGGCATGTGTAAGAGAATTATCAAAATTTTCACATATTTATTACACGTTTAGGCGGCATACGTTGTAAGCTAACCAACATGTTATTATCCTAGTCGAGCGTTTCATTATATGGGGGTGAAAACTTGCACTAATGTATCTTTGACTTGGTTTCGCATTATTGCCGATGGCCATTAGAAAATTAATTTCGGTCGTTCAAAACTCTATGACCAACCAATTCTTAGTTTAAAATTCAGACCTGTATGAGGATGATGAATAAGAGACTAAGGTCTTTCAATCCTGTATCCATTTATTACTCGATAGCGAAGTCAATAAGCCATTGGGTTCGGCGTATATAAATATAAATTAATGGAAGACATGGGACATGCTGTTGTAGAGTCGTGAACAAAGATCATGAATGATGGATGGATAGGTTATTGTAGTTTACCAGTACATATTGGCGACTTAAAACTTCATTACTATTTTAATCATTGTTATGTTTGCTACATTGTTTTGGCTGAAAGTTTATTGTTTATTTACATTTTAAGTCCCACACCTGGACGTTGTTGCATAAGTTTAATTATTAATGGAGTATCTATCGAGCAAGTTAATCGAGCTAATTGGAGCTTAATTAACGCACAACTTGAGCCTACGGTAGTAGCAATCCGTGTATTTCATCTTAAATGTACGTTTTAATTGAATTCGAATCTTAATCGAGAATGTAATAATGGTTTTATAAAGCGCTGCGCTGCGCCGGTGGACGGTTACGGAAATTTCTTAATCTTCAATGATTCGTTGTGCTGTTGATTCGAGCTGAACGGGTATAGCTCACAGAAAGCCGTCTGAGAACCGTTTCTAAGAGGAACGGTAAAGCCGGTTGCACACGTTGGGCAAATCTCTTCGTTCTAGCAATAATTTAGGCATATCTTTTTATTTACCTATTTAACTGTCCAGATTGATAGATGGCGAACCTAATACTACACGGCATTTTTAGCTGCCAACTGGAATATACGCGGGAAGAAGCAAATGTTAGTATTAATTTAAACTATGAAATATGTAGACAGACACATGAATTAAACGTTTTTTTTAAACGTTAACACGTAAACATTTTTATAATATACGGTATGAGTTCATAATGGACCATCTATCAGAATGGGCCCGAACTTATTACCGCCCAATAATTTATGAATAATGAATCGTAATGAATAAGATCGACATATTGTAAGTTTGTTAAAACGGATGGCGCAATGGTTTAATTAAGCCTATGGGGCTTCATGTTGTCGGTGTGTTCACACTAATTACAAATAATCTTGTTATCTGTAATTTTTTTTTTTTAGAAATAGACAGGACACCTAGTCCTTTTCTTGCATTTCATGTTTGCGCAACGGCCTACGACACAGAGAGTGCTGGAGTTGTGAAAAAAGCGAGGTTAGCTCGAAAACCTGAATATATTGCTTTCGAAAAGCTTTATTTAGGTTTTATTTAGCCTGTTTTAGTCCACTGCTGGACATAGGCCTCCCCCGGAGATCACCACGAAGCGCGGTCCCGAACGACTGAATCGATCGATCCGCTCCATACGTAATTATAAAAACCGCAGTTTACAGTTAAATTACGTGGACGTTTGGTGCAGTTGCTAAGACGTGGGTGCGATTCCCACAAATCATAAGTTTCTTTGACTCATAATTTTTTTTTTCAGATCTGGGTGCTTTTCCGTGTCTTGTGTAAAACGTGCTAGCAACGCTTGATAATAATATTAACCTATGATAAAGTCAATGGTTATAAAAATCTTTTATTGTATCTTAATTTTCATTATTTCCAATTTTCCCATCTTCATTTCTTCACTCTTAGTCCTATTTTAGTTCGACACACTTTTTTATTATTTTTAATTATTACCCGTAATATTTCTAAGACAAAAACTATTAAGAAACCCTTCTGCTGTGGACGCGGCCTTAGTTTTAAGACGTCGGACGAAGCGGTTGTCCGCAGCGGGCCTTAGAAATTAATGTTATGACGATAAACAACTTGTGCAGTGCCGTGGACTCCGATGTGGCAACGCTGTAAGGCCCTCGAATGCCCGTTGCAGCCTCAGCGACGTATTCGCCTATAACCAAGGAATTTCACAGCAACACCATGAGTGTTCTTTAATGGAAAATGAAAGAGGCGGTAATCATTGCTGACTGATATTGTTGAATGACTGTGCCGTTTTATGCAGTCTACTTGTAAATAATTGACTGGTAACTCTAACGCTTTTTCCCGTAATAATAATAGACTAATTCGCGTATGTTGAATTGTCCATAATAGTTTTAGACGCATTACAATGTATTGTATCGGGGTTAGGGTGTTGAAAAGTATTTTAAAGTATTAATTAAAAATGAATATACATATATACATAAAACTGAATTGAGAACCTTTCTTTTTTATGAAGTCGGTTAAAACACTTATTTATTTTTTAAATTATTTATTTTTGGGTCAAATTAATTTTTAGCCCGTGCTTACAAGCAGTTGCGGGAGTAACCACTTAAGCCGTGAAGCGACATTTTTGAAATCAAAAGTTACATGTCGAGATGTATTGTTGTTGGACACTTTGTTGCACACATGTGCATTTCATTCTGCACGGCCGCATTCAGCAACAACAAACAAAACCCCAATTGTAATTTCTTCCATCAATATCAAGATCAGGAAAGATCATTAAGCAGCTGAAGTGCAAAATACTCTCATTAATAAAAAGTAATTTTTTAACAAAAGAAGGAAAAAAAGAAAAAATGCTTCTGGACTCGAACCGCGGTCTTCTGGTTTCGGGACCGCCCGATTTCCCACGTGATTATAACTTTGTAGAAGGTGGCGAAATTTACCTTCGTATTCTAATGATATTGTAGCAGTTTTTCATTGCCTGAAAACATGGATAAAACGACGTTTTCTAAGAATTGAACCTAGCTCGATCGATTTATCGCTCCCAAAACCCCGGGGGTTCTAAACTACTAAATTTATATTACAAATACTAAATTTCATGAAAATCGTTGGAGCCGTTTCCGAGATTCAGGTTATAATTATATATACAAGAATTGCTCGTTTCTAAGTATTAATTATAACATACAAATGTAAATCCCGAAAATTAATTTATATTTGGGAAAGCTAAAATTTCTCTTATATTTTCCATACGAGAAAATACTTAGTTCCCCATCTGAATAAGAAAAACATGCTGTGAGATTTTGTTTATAGAGAAAGCTCTCGTTTGAACGTCGATCGAGAATCCTACACATGTTTACTTTTCAGCAATGGCACAGTTAACAACAATTTAAATGTGCACGCCTTTAAAAATAAAACCATGGAGAAAAGAGCAAAAAGAGGTAAAGAGAACAACAGTTTCTGTGTACAAGACCTGCGAAAGGAGTTAAATTGGTAGCGCTACGGTAGCGTAAGGGTATTAGGCAGTGGTTGTGAACTAATAGTTGCCATGGCTACAAGTTACTAAAATTCAACTCAACAAGATAATCATACACGTTAACTACGATCATTCCATTATGGTGGGTCCGTGTTCATAAACTACTGTAGCAACAAAATATGTTCAACTTTCCTACTCAGCGAACTTTACTTCGTCAACAATGTCTAAGTTCATTTCATACTCTCTTGCTTTGCTACACTTTTGCACCTGAGACAGTTCTCCTTACATCTATCCTAGATAAAAAGAAGTTTCTTCGGTCTTCACAGATTAAAAATTGTTATTAATCAATTGCCGAAGGTGTCGTTCACATCGAGAACTAGATGGAGCTGTCAACAAAAATGGAAATCTTAAGTGAATGAAGCGATAAATCATCGGGCATTTGAAAGATCGTAAAGTTAATTGCCAAAACGGCTCTGCTTAAGTGTTCCATGAGCCTCGTAAATTGTTTGGCACGTAGTGCTATAGACTATCTATCTGTGGCGCCTATGCTGATTGCGCATCCCGAAATAGTGTTTTCGGTAACTGTGGGCTGGCGACGCGATGCTAACGCCCTCATCATCTACGGCGCCTGCTCTGATTAGATTTACGACTGTTCACATGCCTTTCAATTGGAGTTAGGGTTGCCACGTGAATTCTTTTAATTAGTCTCTCTATTTCTATACATGGTCATTATCTTAATAAGATGATGTTTTATACAACTGCTTTTTAAGTTTTCAATTAATTAACAACTTAGAACCAGTTATAGAGAACAACATCTGGATTTATTTAGCAGGAAAGTTCGCTACAAATTTTTGACAGACAACTACTGTTGCTAATCATTTTTTTTTCAGTCAATATTTCATACAAACTACTTTCATCTTTACGCTGTTCTGTTGATATTAATATATTCTTAAATAAAATAAAATACAATGTTAAACCTCGTACAACCCTAATATCATCGTGCCTATATAACGTAATGACGCCTGTCTATGATCTCACGCTGTGCCTTCCACGTGTTATTATATCGATATCGCGCCGAGGAAATCGAAAGTAATCCACCCGAACATCACTAACTTACGGCGCGTGTTTTAAATAGGTTCATATTTCAATAAATTTTTATCTTTTGTCTCTGAATATTACTAAGTTATTGATCTTATTTACACAATCTTTTGAATGCACACATTTGTTGTTAATGTTTATTTCTAGGGTAGTAAATAAATTAGTACCTAAGTAGATAATTTTATTTTAATTGCCTATTTGTGTCATTGTATCTAGAAAAATCAAAGGGTTCCATATCCGAAGGAAAAGACGGGAATTTATTACAAAGCCTCTGCTGTCTGTTTTTTTTTGCTGTTTTTATAGATAAAGGTACGGAACCCTTCGTGTGCGAATCCAATTCGCATTTCTCCGGTTTTTTTTAACTACGATATGTGAATTTTCATCTTTATTGCTATTTTTTCTCCTACTATCGACACTTAATATAATCCTCGAGACCTCGAAGTTGCAGGTTAATGAAGACATCAATATTAAGCGTGACCCCCGTTTGTAAAGCGGCGCATCAAGATAACTTTCCCATTGTTTCGAGGGTTGCGTCGAGTTTGGTGGACGATGCCTAATCATCTACATTAAACGGGGCATTGTTCGGTATTAATCGAGTGACGTTCGCCGTTGCGGACGATAGATGGCGGTGGCTCAAAGTCAAGGCCCGCGCGGTCAATAGCATCGCCCAGTTGTGAAATATTACGTCTTCATCTGAGGGCTGCCAAAAACGTCCATCGCAATAAATCTGCCGATTATAGTCAAATAATCTTTAAGGCATTAGCATTGTATATGCAAACATTTAAAATAATGCTTTATATTTATCGTTTCATTTTCATCCTCAATTCTGTTTATAATATCATAAGTACTTATGTTCGGCCAGTTTTTTTAAACTTCACCGAACTTTAAATAACCACTTTAATAAACCTGTAATCTTAAAGTATTCATAATATTTTTAATTTTGTTCTACTGAAATTGTATAATAGTCAGTTAAGTCAAATAAAAATTATACGAAATGCCGCACAAAAGTAATGTGGCACGTGGAGATAATTTTGACATCAGAGCCATCCTTATCCAAATTTAGCTTGGACAGTGCAGCAAGGCGTCTTCCTGCAATAAATTAACTTTCCACCGTCTAACCGCATGATAATGTCATCCCGTGCATTCCTCGCCGTGGACTTTGAATAGAGCGTGTTAGGTTCAAATCTATTGTTAGGCTACTTAAGGGTTTTACGGTAAACAGATGAAATCAAATTCATAGACAAAATCAATTCATTGTACACTCATTCACTCGCTATAAAAGATTGTATTGTTGAAACGCATCTGTAAGCCCTCGGGTGATGTTGATTTCCAAGGCGACGGTATCAGACGGTTCACCTGATCTTAAGTAAACATCTTATCACATAAAAGAAACTTTTAGAGTGCTTTTTATGTGAAAAGTTAGCGATTACATCTAATATTTTACAATATAAATCCATATAAAAAATAATATTATCTTTACATTTAAGGGTGAGAAGTAAAATGCAATACAAATACCGGTGTCATTCTATGATTAAATAAATGAATCTTCTTGGTTTATAGGAAAAGACTTAATTTCTATTAATTTATTTCTTTCATAAGGGATACTATCATTTATGATAAATAATAATATTTATTTGTAATACGTGAGACAATGACAATGGTTACCATTTTTCCTGAGGAATGAGGCGTAATTGACGTCATAATTTCCCTACCATTTTGAAATGGTAGCGAAATTATATGTTTTGAATATTTCTTGGATCCAGAACAGTACAAATTAGTGCTCTACTCCATTTCTGCAATAGTATGGCTTAATTATATTCTTTAGAGTAGCAGTGGAAATTTGACAAAACATCTGAGAAATGCTATTTAAGGTAGCTAGTACGAATCTCTGAAACGCGTAACAATGCATGTTTGGTGTTTAAGATTAACTAAGAGTAAAATTCACCAACTAACAATAAGACTGCAAAGCATAGAAAGAAAAGTGTGAAAAGAAAATCTTCCTAATCGACCTCCATAAAAAAATAACTCTGGGTAAAAATTAAGAGAATAAATAGTAAGTCACAATTATATGTCTACATGTTTAGTACTTTATTATTGTATTTAAGTATAGTACATAATCATTCCAAGTAACAGCTGGCCGGGAATTCGTTTTTTCTTTAAATGTTTCGTGAATAAATACATCTCTATAGTCTGTCGTTTAATCATGATGAAAATTTTTATTGTTACGTATTTGCTAATGAATGAAACAGTTGACAGTACTCACGTTGTGTGGGTGGTGATGACGTGTCGCAGTCCATGCTAGGTAATTACTTAATAAGATGGCTGCCAGTAGCAGCGATCTGAAAATAAGGAATTTTGCATTAATAAAAGGAAAGGATGAAACGGATACCTATATCATCACATAGACAAGTTCTGGCCTGGAGTATTACATTTTCGCCCATAGACGCATAGTTCAAGCTGTCAAACGATTTTATTGTGACTTTTATTTTATAATTATAATAAGAGTGACTTAATGATAACTAAGCAAGTAGACGTTAAATAACTTGCATGTACGAAAATAAGTTTTTTCAACCGCCTCAAAAAAAGTGGAGGTCCTTAATTCGGTTTTATTTTCTATGTTTGCTACCTCAGATCTCTGTCATTTATGAACCAATTTTAAAAATTCTTTCTTTATTACGCTTATAAGTGATTACCACCGACATTCGCAACAATGGAGGAGTTACATATGCTTTGCCGGCCTTTACAAGTAGTCTCTTCTAGAATTTCCCAAGTGGGTCGAAACTGTTTCTACAATATTTAATAAAATGTGACAACGCATCTGCAACCCTGTTGCAACGAATGGGAAGGTCCATCCGGGACGGTGGGTAAGACCCTCACAGAAGACCAGCGTAAAGTAGAAGTGTTACACTTCTGCGTTTCGTCTGGTGAGTGAGGTAGCCGGTGCCCATTATATAAAAGTGGCAACGCTTCTGCAACCCTACGGGTGTTACAAATGTCAATGGGCGGCGGTTAGCACTTAACATCGGGATAACCGCCGGCTCGTTCGTCACCTTCTCACATAAAAATGTAAGAGCTGTTAATACTACATTTGATTAATGCGGTTACCAAGCATTTAACTGTGCAGTAGTTCACACTCGAAACGGTAGTGTTTTCTGAGATATCCTCGGAAGCACTAAAGCACTCAATAGTAAGAGACGTCATTTATCAAAGCCATTGGTCATTGATCATCTTAATACATGAGCGATAGGACGCCGATGGATCTGCTAAGAACAGCTACAACTTGCAATTTATTGATATACAGACGAGATATTTCGCTGTGAATACTAGCAGAGATATTCATATTATTTACTCTCAGATTAATTTTATCAAATTGGAGTGTTTGTATGTTAGAACCAGCTTATTTCAAGCTGTCTCAATTTAAATCGAGCTGTCTTCCGTTGATTGAAGAATGTTGTAAGCTGTACAAGTTCTGGAATCAACTATTAGAGTATGATAGTAATCATAAAATTGAACCTAATATTAACTATATATTTAACTGTGGTAGGACCACACAATGGTGGTCGCTGTTCACTTTTGCACGAATGGGAAAGTCCATCCGGGTAAGTACCACGACCTCACAGAAGACGGGCGTAAAGTAGAGTGTTACACTTCTGCGTTTCGTCTGGTGAGTGAGGTAGCCGGGGCCCATTTTATTTAAAGGTGGCAATGCTGCGGGTGTTGCAAATGTCATGGGTGGCGGTAATTTAGCATCATGTGAATAGCCAGCTCGTTTGTCACTTAGTCATAAAAAAAACACCACCACCTCGCTTGCTACCTTTTCACATAAATAAAAAAAAATAAGATTTAAACAAGCAGGTACGAAAAAAACTTTATGTTGCCTGTTTATTATAGAATATTGTTTTATTTCACTTTTATCAGGAGCCCCGTAACCTTAGATATAACCTCGTTCTTCGTCATAACATCCGCTAAGCTGACTTCGAACTCAATGACAATTTGCATGTCCTTATCGCGAGCGCCCTTCAAAGTTTCCTCCTCAAGCTTGATATCAAAGACGTCAGTGGGATGCGTCGATAAAATCACTTGCGAGTAAACGAGGTTTTATGTAGAATTGAGCGGTTAAAGCTGGCAACTAAGAGCCAAAGGGAAAGAAATACTTTTAATTATAAATTAAATGAAAGTCCTCGTATATTTTAATTTGAACGTTTTTAAGACGTAATTCTTTTATATATATGTTCTGAGTTAATTTCGCATTGGTTCTCCTGAAATCTGCTTAAAGTCAATATTATTTAATAACATTACTTCGATGTTTTAGAATGTACTTTTATCGAGATATACTTTCAAATAAGAATTAATGTGTGTATGAACCCATTTTCATTCTTTTAAATTAAATTTACTATGGAAATATAATCTACTTGTGGAGTTAAATTTTTATTCTTTTCACGCATAAAAAAGTGCCCTTTTAAAAAATTAATGTCTAGTTCGGAAGGCACCGTAACAGCGTTAAATGACGTTCACCCGTTTTGAGGATTAGGGGTTAGTATCGTATCGTATTCACTGCTTAGCTTTTAATATTACGATACACACTAGAGCTCGGAATAAATTCAAAGTGCTCATATATTTCACAGCTTCTTATACTTTGCACAGCCCAAAAATCGAAGTGATGTTATGCCATTCACAGTGAAGATAAAAATACCTTACATATTTAAATACAACGTCATCATCGTAATCAACTAAAAGGAATTCGAAAGGACAAGCCCCATCACTAAAACAGCAAGTTGTCGAACAAGAAAGATGTAATATATGTAATTTTATGTTTAAGTAGAATATTTATATCAAATATAAAACGTTAATATTATTCGTACAAATATTTTGGCGGTGTTTTAATTGCGTGCCAAACATTTTTTAAATGTAGTCACAAAATTTTTATCTATTCAGTGGTACTACCTTTTCAATTAAATTATTATGATTTACACTTCAAAACAAGCAACACAAAAAAACAAACCAATAAAAATTCGAAGAAATGCTGGTTGAATGTAAAATTAGAGTCGAGTGAGTGAAGCTATAAACGATTTAGAAAAATGTTTCCACACGTACGCCTGTAATGAATGTGTAGTAAAGTACACAAATAACGGTGCGTAATTCACTTTTGATATATAAGTTTTATGGTACCCTGGTAACGGTGGAGAGTTCATATGTAACGAGTCACGCCCCGTAATTAGCTCCATCCACCATCAAGTTTGGATGTGCTGTATGGCAGGCCGCCCGCCAAGTTTTTGAGCCAAACTAAAACTCACCTTATTTTTTTATGATGCCCGAAAGCTTATGTATGACCTTATATTTAAGAATATAACCATATTAATATTAACAAAATTACAGAAAAATAAGATCTTAAATTATTGGCATCATTCATTTCTTTGTTTATTCGCGAAAATAATATAATGGGAACGGACGGTTTTATACATATTTTTCAAAGATTTTTACTTCTAACCCACCTTTGATTAGCAAAATGAGCAATCTAAGATGGCCGACGGTCGATATTAATCGAAGTTATTATATCGAGTATTGCGTATAGAAACCAAAATCAATCTTTCTTCGACGTTAGTATCGTACCGACGCTGTTAATTCCCGTAGCGCTCCAATAAAGATGCTATCTCCGGCTTGGACATACAGGGCGAGTCCCGTATCGACGAATTATATCGACATTTTAAAGCCCGATGGCGTTGGAAAATAAAAGCGTCTATCATATTTACATACCATTAGGCCTTGTAATTGCCTTCGTAAGGCCTTCACGCCACTCGAAACACGATAAATGTGGCATTTATATTTCCTAATAGCACGTTTCCAATTTTGTTCAGGTAATTTCTTTTTCTCTGGTCATTTTGGTGTTTAATGAGCAATTAATGAGCATGACGTAGTTCAATATGCAATGCCTGTTTTCTTTTGTAATATAGATGTTTGTTTCACTTAAGTTCATCTTCATGACCTTAACTTTTAGATAAAGAACTGTAACTAACATTGTGCATATTATGTGTCATGATTGATGAATAATGTTAAAAATGAGAGTGTACGAAAGAATACGTTAAAATTGCACGCGGCAATGAAGCAACTGTTCGGCATGGTTTTTTGTCCAATGTTTCAGGGCCTGTGTCCATGAAGGTATATTTCTTCTTTCTCCTGCCCTTATGCCATCTTTGTGGGACAGAAACAACATGCGAATCATGTAGTTATTGGTATTGACTATATTTTTACGGCCTACCCGACGTCGACCCTCTTTAGGAACAAACGGAATCCAGAATAATTATCTGTGGGGCGCACAAATGCTTGCCCTGTGTGAGAGTCGAACGCATGAATACCGGCTCTGAATCCGATAGCTTAGCAACTGAGCCGCCAAGTCATTTTTTTATATGAATCGATCCTAATAGTTATTTGATTCGAATTTTAAATATTCGATCACTTCTGTATATGATATTGTAATGCAACCAAGCTTAGACTACTAAAAGATGTACCAACTTGTTGATGAGTATCTGCTTCGCCTTAAAAACTAGCTTCCTCCCTAAGTTAGGTCTCAAGTATTACGCACCGAGGCCGGAACGATGTAGCCTGAATAAAATAAATGCGAGCCATGCAAATCCTAACGCCCTGAGCCGAATAATAAATGACAACGATGATGACATTCGACTATAATGGTGACAACATTTAAAAACTTCTCTGAACAGGATAGGTTCTAACAGTAAACAGTAACAACATAACCAAGCATGCTAATATTGATGATCATTAAATTCGATAATTGGATGTTTTAAAAATAGAATGCAAAAAACGGTTGATGCTTTCTACGAGTAACGTATTCAGTTTAATGATAAATATTGTAGTCTTAACCTTTTTAACATATGAACAACATCGCTGGTGATGCATCAATATATTAGACGTACCTACGTCTAACATCCGGCCAACCAAAAGATTTGTGATGACTGCATTGTTATAAATAACAAACCGTAGAAGTTTATTTAAATGAGTAATACCAATGGTTTCTTGTATTTATGTGATTGATAGGATGCTTTTAATATTTAACCGAATCTATCACAATTCAAATTCGACTTTAAGTTCATGACTTTCTGAGATCATTAATGCTCTCTAATTCATGTATACTCGTTTCTCTTTTTATTTATTAGTCCAGTAGCTGACTCGGCAAAAGTTGTTTTGCCATATAAATTATTTCTAGGGGAATCGGAACGTACGTATAAAGTGTGTAACCTACACAGACATATTTGACAGGTTGACAGGTACAGTTTGTATAGGAAAATAAAATTGTTGCTATTTCGATGTTTCATACATATTTTCCATAATTTCGCATCGTTTCTACCTTCCCTGGACTGTCAGAAATATTTCAAAACCAAATTTAGTCAAATCGGTACAGCCATTCTCGAGTTTTAGCGAGACACAACACAGACACAACAGAACAACAATCCATTTTTATATATAAGATTTTATTTTGCACCTACCTCAACTTCTCCGGAACACTCGTTACATTGGCAGAAAATGCCTTAGCCGAAGGCATTTTCTGCCATTTTTTTTAAATTTATTTATTTACAAAGCGAACTTTTAATATAATAATCATGAATTTTAAATAAAATAAATTGAACGACAATAATTTTATCGTCATTTATTCACGTAATATAATTTTATTTAACAATGAGGATGTTATGGTCCTTATGGTCTATTATAACCAAAATATATTTCAAGAAAATGTGTACGCTAAGATTTTTGATTTTTTATAAATCTAACTGTTTATTCACGTGCCCCACAAGGAAAACATTCGTAAAACTTTAGGAAAAATAGAGCTATTAGCTCTAAACAGAGAATAAAAAACCCGATTCCATCTTTTATTCGGGATATTAATGCAAACGATTTAAGTATAATTTATTTATATAAATTTTGTTTCTAAAATAAAACTTCACGAGAATGTTGCTTCTAATAGTTAGCTTTTGATTTTTTTACGCATAGAAACAACCTTTCAGTTGGATGATATATGAACTTAAGACTAACTTTAATATCACGTGATAGATCACGAGAGTTTTTAGATTTTATTTCTCGAAAATAAACAATAAAAAATAGTAACAATTTGCTAAATAGCTTTGCAATTTAGAGAAATTATACAAAAGCTTCGAATAAAACAAAATTCTGCTAGATCTTATATGCTATACTTTGGAATTTTGTACGTTTCCCCACTTCTCAGATGTGTTCTGTATTTGCCATGTGATAAATCTGCGTGACGCTTTGATGGTTGACATATGAAATATAATAATTAATTAATTATTAACCTTAACACCGATTGTTAAGCTTATTTTGCATGTTGTTTACTCTTTGATTGGTTTGGACGCAATGAGTCTAAACCTGATATTATAAAAAGTAATCTTCTGTTGGTCCTCTCGAATGAAGACTAGGGAATCATAAAATACATCGTGTACTAATATATTTATTACTGCTACACTGTTAGGATTCTTAGTTTTGGAAAGATAAACACGCGGATGGTACAAAGGCGTTCGTTGAAACCTCAAAGGTCTGGATGTACTATGGCAGCCCCGTAAAGACTGCAAATAAACACAACCGTACGGCTCAAGATGTGTTGCGATAGATTCATAAACGTAAACATGAAAGCTATTACTATAGCATATAACGAAACTATAATAATGCAGAGCTCGATTTAAGATAACAATTCATAAATGCGGTAGTTAATTTAACAACATGTTATTTTGTATTCTTTTTTCACTAAAAAAGGCACAATACTTGGTTCATTGATTATATGGCTGGTTCATTGATACGGACCAAGATTGATCTGGACCAAGTCTTTGATTATATACTTTACAAGTAAAGAATATTAGCATCACTTTTAATAATTATAAATAGTTATATATTTTTTTATACATTAACTGTACAAAAATATATACCTATTTAGCTGCAATATCTACTGACACTGGCACAAACTGTTAACTCAACGTATCTATCGGATATTATTTTATTTCATGTACAATGCTCGACGAGCGATTTTGGCAATCATGTAGGGTTTGATCTCACGATATAGGCCATGCCTAGTGTGATGTTCACAATAAATTATGCCTTGAAGAAACATTTGTATTGTAGTAATAATATGTCTGTCCCTTTTTAATATTTTATTTTTGTTTGTACAATATCTATTTTTTTATTTTATTATTGTAATGTGCAGATGTGTTTTGATTACAACAGTAATCAGTACCTATCGAGCTATTATAACATTTTTTTTTGCGGCGAAATTTACTGTCATATTCGAATGATATTTTTCAATCTGAAAAATATCATCTGAAAACAGGGACATTTTATAAAAACGAAACCGAGCTAAATCCATTTTTCGCCCCCGAATCTACGCACATATTAAATTTCATGAAAATCGCTGGAGCCCTTTCTGAGATTCCGATTATATATATATGTAGGCGTAGGATAAATAAAATCTTTATTTTGAGTATATTGTTACTATTTTCATCTTTATTTAAATTAATACATTTTAAGACACAGATACACGTTACTCGTTCGTGGCGTCGTTGCGAAAAGTCCCTCAATCCCTTTTACGTCATCCATCCTTCTCATTCACACAATACTTCGTTCAAAAATCATCTTTTGCTCAACTATTAAATAATTAATCCTACATATATATAACAGAATTGCTCGTTTAACAGATAAGAGATAATATCGTTATAAGTGTTGTCCTCAAGACAATTTCCAGACAGGCAAAAATTTTAAGTACAGTTATCCTAAATTAGGTATTGTATAAAGAGCACATAAACAGTACGCTGCTATTTTATATAAAAAAAATTGTAAGCGGCTTCTTAAGTGCTTAAATAACTTAATTATCTTTGTTAATAGCTGTAAGTTTCCCAAATAAAATTAAATTATAAAATAAATCTTTCTCTCGGATTTCCAGGGAAACATGACTTAAGCTATGACATCAGCCTAGATGTTTAACGACTCGGTTTTAACGAAGGCGTTGTCGAAATAGGGCCTGGTTGTTTTTTCGAACAGCGGTTAAATGACTTTGCCTATGATGTTTTGTGGTTAGAGCATCTAGAGTTGTCTATAATCCTTTTTGTTGCTGTGCCAAGCTACGGAGCCACTATCAGAGAAAGACTCGCATTGAATTCGCAGAGTAGTAACTATATAGTTAATTACTCTTACAAGACAGTTAATAAGAAGTGGAAATTTTTCCCCATCTGATTATCCACCAATAAGAGCGTCAAACGTGAGCAGGTACACAACGTTACATAATATTTAACGTTCACTGCCCAGCTCCTAATAAAATACAAAAGAAAAAAACTAACACAGCAAAGTAATATTTCCCAAAAAAAAAAAAAACACGTAGAAACAGACTCAATTATTGGTTTCTTTAATGAAATTGCAGTCGAGTACTGGCCATATAGAAGAAAATAAAAAGTAAACTGAGCTTGTAATAAAAAAGAAAAAATAAATTACGGCGACGGATGATCATAATGTTACGTATCAATTTATTTGACACGCCTGCTAGTGACAGTTTCTGTGTCGAGATGAGCTTGACATAGCATACGGCAGTTCCGCGGGATGCGAACCCGACACCTGGTGGCCGGAAACATCCGTGTCCGACACTCCCGCCATAATTAACCGCTGCGCTGACGGATCGTGTTAGCCGGCTTATCGATATCCTGATATTATGATACATTAACTCGTTAGAAGCGCTCTTTATTATTCAATACACAAATTTTTAAAGTAACTATTTAATACTAGCTGTTAACCGCGGCTTCGCCCGCGCGGCCAAAGGGAATTAACAATGAGTTTTTTTATTACACATCAGAATATTTCGCAGATGGATGAATTTTTTCCTACTTAGTTGACAGTTATCATAACCTATATTTTGGAAAATTCACACAATATCTTTAAATATAGCCAATCTATGTGTTATTCTGATGTGTAAGCTATATTATTGTAAAGTTTCATTAAAACCTATTCAGTAGTTTTTGCGTTAGTATTAGTAAGGAAAGGATAGTGAGGATGAACAATGGTTCTACTGGGGTAGAGCCACGCAGCAGTCTACGCTGTAGCACGAATGAGACGGTCCGTCCTTCTGCGTTTCGTCTTGTGAGTGAGGTAGCCTGGGCCCACTCTAACCCACTGCAACCCTACGGGAGTTGCATATGCCCATAGGCGGCGGTTATCGCTTAACATCAGGTGAACCGCCAGCTCACTTGCCACCTTCTCACATAAAAAAATAACATGAAATATCGAAAAGGATTTCTTTTAAGATATTCTTTATATGAGAAGTTTTTTAATATCGAAAGTAAAAGATAAATTGTTTAGATCACTGTGGACACATATAACAATAGTTACTTTTAAATGTTTTAATTGCCGTTTAAAATTTCCATATATTTTCACGCCTCCTTGTCATTATTAAACATGGAAAGGAATATTACCTTACATTCTTTACCGAAAAAGGCGTCGGTGACTCAGATAGATCGTGAGATACGAGTTAATTCGCCACTTTGGCAAAGCAGTCGCATTTTGCCTAAAACATCTGCTATTGTCTTACATCATGTTACATTTATAAAGCTGACATTTGTCTAACAATGGGGTAAAGAAAAAGAAAAATTTTACAGTATTCGAAATATTTGCCTCGTTATGATGTCACTACGAGAGTGGGTGTAATAATAGAATGTCATAAATATAAACGAACGATGCGCCGTCCGCCAATCGAATATTAATTTCGAAAAATATTGTAATGGGCCTCGTTCTATTGTTTATTTTTTAATAAATGTAAGTTGACATATTTGTAGTCTCTATAGACGACGCGCATGCAAATGCACTCTTTATCACGCGTCAACAAAGACCAGAGTCACTTGCATATATTTAATGGATGCGTTCATTTCGGGGCCACACTGCGCGCGAATATTTTTGAATTTAGAACCGTACGTCGCATGCCACACCATGTAAGTAACGGTATTTTTACCATTAGAATTCATTCAATCAAATTAATTAAACAAAACTGTTTTTACGAACTTTAAGTTCTTTATGTGGTAGTACCTTACTTACGAACTTATGTATTAATTATTTATGTTAAGTTCGACGTTAAATAAGAACGCGCAAGCGTCTATTTTAATAAATACCTATATTTTGAATTTTGATTTTTTACCATTAGATAAGAATTTAAATAAGAACGCGCAAGCGTCTGTTTTAATAAATACCTATATTTTGAATTTTGATTTTTTATTATTAATTTACACTCTGGCAGTTTACAATAGTTTTCACCTTATTGACGGGATAAAATAATTTCACTCTATAATATTTTAGGCGTAAATACAAAAAATATTGCTTCATTTTTTTTAAACTATCTGTATAACTGAATTATTATACAGATAGCATTACGTGTATACTTCATACGTACATTCTAAGTTTACACTGTTGCCGAGTAAACAACGGATACCGCGCGGATATATATCAAGTTAAACAGACTTTAATCGCCCAGAAGAAGACCGCCCACGCGTTTTTACAACCATCTGTATT